CTCGGGCAGGAAACCCTACACCATTTCGGACAAATGGCTGTCCAGTCTCTTCTTAAAAACTTCCAGTGTTGGAGCATTTACCACTTCTGGAGGCAGGTTGTTCCACTGGTTTAATTGTTCTCACTGTCAGGAAGTTTCTCCTTAGTTCTAGGTTGCTTCTCTCCTTGATTAGTTTCCACCCGTTGCTTCTTGTCCTGCCTTCAGGTGCTTTGGAAAATAGCTTAATTCCCTCTTCTTTATGGCAGCCCCTGAGATATTGGAATATGCTATCATGTCCCCCCTTGTCCTTCTCTTCGTTAAACTAGACATACCCAATTTAGCAACCGTTCCTTATATGTTTTAGCCTCCAGTCCCCTAATCATCTTTGTTGCTCTTCTCTGTACTCTTTCTAGAGTCTCAACATCTTTTTTACATCGTGGTGACCAAAACTGGATGCAGTATTCCAAGTGTGGCCTTACCAAGGCATTGAAGAGTGGTATTAATACTTCACATGATCTTGATTCTATCCTCTGTTAATGCAGCCTAGCACTGTGTTGGCCTTTTTGGCAGCTGTAGATGATAGATAGATAGATAGATAGATAGATAGATAGATAGATAGATAGATAGATAGATAGATCTACTTATACCATTTTATAAAATATATTAGTCAGGAAAGGTGCGTCTTAACCGTCTTTAAACATCTGGCATGCTTGCATTTAAAATCTTGCAGCAGTCTTCATCTGGATAATTTCTATGAATCTTATGTCAATATACAGCCTAGTTAGTCCTAATGTAGTTCTGCTCAGACCAGCTGCAATTTACCCAGAGCTCCTTAAATAACTAGAGAAGGCCCTTAACTTCTATCTACTTTGCTTCTAGTACAGATGGCCAGGCAGGAATGGACTCAGTTACAAGTTCTTGGATTTAGCAAATGGTTCCTCAAACAAGATGGGAACATCTCTTGTGCTCTTTTGCATCAAAGCACCATTCTAATTTGGAGCATTTAGAATCCTTTTGCAGAATACAGCAGGATGGAATCTTTACAACCATGAAACAGAACATCTGTTATTTTACAGATTAGATTGGTGATTTAAGAGGATAATTTGGGAGCATCATCCAAAACGGAGGCAGAGAGACTGAACACAATCATTTGGATTATTAAAGAAGAATAGGCATTTGCCATTTGTTTTTACATTAGGGTTTATGATCATCCATTAAAAAGTATTGGCATTTTAAGTTGAGCTTATCTATGTAGATGCTTGTATTTATCAGCTCCAGCATGCAAAGAAAATGGAAGAAGATTGAACAAAACAGTAGAGCATCAGCAAAATGTTCACGCTAAAGGAACATCATTACAAGTAGTCCTCAATTTATGTCCATGACTGGGCCCAGAATTACACTCCTAATTTTACTGCTGTTGTAAGTCAAGGCACCCATGTGCCTTTTTTGTGGCAGTCGTTAAGTGAACCCATTCATTTAACTGAGGTTTTTGCCAAATAGCAGCAAAAAATATTGCAAATTGCTATGATGTGAGCGTGGAACCTGTAACTGTTATAAAGCCTGACCCACCTGACACGCGGTCATGTAACCATGGGGTGTGTCTGACCATTGACAATGATTGGGAGTGCTTTATGGGCCACAAAGCACCCATCTTGTGGCCTTCCTGATTTTGAATGTCCCAAAGATGCTTTTTCAAAAAGGCAACCAGACTTGGTTTTTCCTTGAAGATGTGTTGTTTCTCTTCCAAGAAGCTTCTTTTGCAAATAACTGCAAAAAAATCTAAATCCTTCCATCCTCCGCCATTCAGTCAGAATGGTAGAAGCTTCTTGGATGAGAAATGAAATGTTTTCAAGGAAAAACAAAGTCCAGTTGCCTTCTGAAAAAGCACTATGGGGAGAACCATGACCTGGATGACTGAGAACCTCCATAGATTAATTTTGAATGGTTGTAAAACAACCAATCATGAAGCAAGGACTCTGCCTATATGACTTTTGACAAAGAATTGCCAGGAAATGTTTGTGTCAACGCTGCAAATATTGTATATTCTTGCTTTTGACAATAGGCAGAATTGTCTGGTAATTATGGGGTTAATACAGAGCAGAAGGGGGGTTGGGGGTAAAGCCCGGGAAAGAAAGAGGAAGAAAACATTGACCTTCACACTAATTGGATAATGTGAGATATGACGGCTAATTTAGGGAGGGAACATGCTGATAATTTAACTGCTCAGAGGAAGACTACTTAGATCCTAGCATCTCTCCGTTGTGCCTGTGCGGACATTTTGATTCGATAAAAGACTTTTAGGAAAATAAACGCCTGGAAGTTCTTTGACGTGTTTCATTAGTCGGAACCATAACAGTTTGATGCTACTTCATGTTTCTTGGCATTAATATATTTCAACAAGCATGCTTGAGGAAAAACATCCAGAACTAAACGCATTGATTTACCAGTTCATTAAGACCTTGACTCCCTCAGCCTCAAATGAGTTTACAAGGGCAGCAAAGAACTTTACATCTGATTGTGGAAACCTGAAAGCAGATACTGTTTAAAGAATCAGAGGATGCAGGTTCCTGACAGATGCTAAGACAAAGAGTGGCTAGAGGTCAAGGGAAGCAATAAAAGACCAACGAAGTCTGTTTTGGAAATTGCTCAGAGAAGCAAAGAGGTGGGGGCTGGCTGGCTAGCAGGAACCCAAACAAATCATTCTGCCTCATTGAACCCCAAGGAGCAAGGCTATTATTACAAATGAATCTGCTTTAAATGAAGCATAAGTAAGTCTAATCAGACAATCTCCCATCTTTCCCCCCCTTCCTTAACTGTCTTCCCATCACAGCCTGGATTTCAATGGTGGCAAGAGGTTTACAGGGAACATTCTTTCAGATTTATTCAACCCTGCCAGGTCTCAGATTAATGATGGGGTTGTTTGCAGCAAGTGGCACCTCACATCTTTTGTTGGAGCTGTGTTACATATTTGGAGAGAAGGCAGGCATCTGGATCAGTGGTGGGATTCCAATATGTGAACAACCAGTTCTCTGTGTGAATGCCGTTTCTGGAATTCCATTCTGGACCTGGGCAACAAAACAATTAGCTACCGGTTCTGCTGAACTGGTGCGAACCGGCTGAATCCCACCACTGATCTGGATATGATTTTTAAAGGGGAAAAAATAATGCATCATTATGGGGTTCAAAAATACAAAGTAGCTGGGGTTCACAGACAGCTCTAAGACAAAATATGGCTGGTCTGGTTTGTGAACCCAGATGCTGGACTTTGTTAATTGGGGTTTATGGCTAACTCTTCCAAGTGAACCACAGCCATTGTGGTTTATTCAGAAAAAAAATGTGATCTAAATTAATGGATTGATAGATCTAATGTTCCTGAACATGATACCAGATGTAATTGTGACTATAAATACTGAAATTCTAAAGGTTGAGTAGAAATGGTCTGGTTGTTTGGATCCCTAACATTCATGCTAATGCCTCTGAAGTTGTCCTTGTGTCATAAACCAGGGCCTCAGTCTCTTATTCCCCAAGCAATTGTAGGAACCTTTAAAATAAAATAATAATAATAATCATGGATCATCAATCTTTTGTCCATTCATTTACCTTATGAAGAAACTGATATTAGTGCAATTGTGTAGGTGTCGTGATTCAAGTTACCTAGCCATAGTTTAACATTTCAGTACCACCCCGTGAAGAAGTATGACCTATGAATGGTCAATAGGCTGAAGGACACTCAGAGACACTTCTGGAAGAGAACAATCAAACTCAAGTTGCTGCAGACAATGAGCAAAATGTGCTTCTTGTTCCCTTCACCCGGTGCAGCAGCTAATAAAGCAAAATAAATAAAATGCACCGTCCTATATTTGTCATCTCCACAGGAATATCTGCTAAAACTTTCCTCATTTTTCAAAACAATATCTGCATGGTGCTAAAAGCTCTTTAATTATGGAGTCCTTGGTGTTCTCTGAGCTTGATTGTTTGCTGAAGAGGTTATCTAGTTGGGTAGTGAAATATCTGCAAGCAAATATGAGAGCACCATGGACTCCACCAGCTCAACCTTCAGCTACAGATAGTCCCTTCTATTGGTACTCTTTAATTATTAACCCAGGGCATCCATAGTCTTTCTTGGATGCCCTGGGTTCCACCCAGTAAAATTAGCTGACTCTTCATTCCAGAACACAATGATAATTAATTCCTGCTTTTGCAAGTAGAGACATATTGCACTGGTGGGTTTTAATGTGCAGCTTCTGGTGGGTTTTGAAAATTATAGTTGCCATGACAACCTCAGGTGTGCTGACTAGGCTGAACTGCTTCTTTCACCAGATCTCTCTTCCCTTCTTAGTTCTCCTCTTTCAAGGAGAAAGGGGTATTATTAGTTAAGACTTGCATAGCTCAGCTCTGCTCAGATAATTGGTGCAAAGTTCACCAGAAAGACCTGGTGACAGTTAAAGACTAGCTTAATTCTGCTCCATTTTGGAAGACTCCAAGGAATTACAAAGAACTCTTTTAGGCTTTATCCAAAGCTTTCTGCTGGGGATGAAGCCACACTTAGTTTTAGGTTTCCTTTCGATGGGTAGTTTTGGGGAAAGCTGGGCGATCCTGCAACAATTTTGCAAACACACAATTTTATGTGCCTTCCCCTCAAATTAGAAAACAAATGTTTCTGATGCCAAGTTTCATGGTGACAGAGACCATTGGAAACAAGACACAAAGTCCAATGGGTGGTCAAATTATCCACTCAACTAACATAATAGGGAACCACTGAATATGTCAGAGCAGATGCAAAAATAACAGAAAGAGGAAAAATCAACTACTCCAATACAGAGAAGGAGAAAAACAGTCTTGCCTAAGTTAAATTCTAATATTGGGGACATATAACATTTGTGCAACATTTTGGATATTAGGATAGCCAGCCCTTTTAGACCTTACATTACTGTAACACCCAGCCTGTTGCAAGACAGGGTAGGATAAATGTTCAGATAAACAACAGGAAAGTATACAGTTGTCGTTTGTCTCCTGCACACCTTGACACAGAGGAATGGCTTTGTTCCAGTGGTGGTAACCCTGGGGGTGTCTCGAGCACGTTGAAAAGCTGTGGCCAACGAGGCGGTAGCCGGTGTCACAACCGAACCAAATGGTGCTTCCTGGCTGCAGGCCGGAGTGGCTGAGGATAGAGCCATGGAGAGGTGCTGGAGGGAGGCTGCAATAAGGGGCTAGACAAGTGGGAGGAAAACATACATATGCATATACTCAGAAGCATGGAACATCATGCAATTACAGGTGAAGGGAAATGGCTCTGCTCACATCCACTCCTTTTTTTCTCTACCTTTCTCAATCCTCTGACTTTCTAACCCTTCAGAGTGCAAATAATTTGGGACTCTAAAAAGCAAACTGGAATTATAAAGCCAGCCACAATGATCTCAGTGGAATAAAGTTCCTGTTGTTTGCTCAGCAAAAAAATAAAATAAAACATAATTTCTTCCAGTTAAACATTCATTCATTAATAGAATAACACCATTAATGTTTTTAGGGCACATTTAGGCATGTCCCTGCCTCAGTTTGGATTGCTTTTCATTAAGTAATTAAAAAAATTACTTTTTGCTAAGAATGGCTTGTTTAATTTTGAGGGACTCTTTGCCAAACCTTTCATAATTGCTTTTATAAAGATGGAATAATTAAAGTTCATGTGAAATCAGGACCAGGATAAAACATCCACCATGAAAATGTTAATGGTGAAATGATTGCTGTTTCTCTTCTGGGAAATTTAGAAAAACTATTACAGGTTCTTCTTTCACCATACAAAGGTAGTAAATGCAAAATAAATGAAAAATAGATTCATATATTGTTCTATGCTTGTTTATGAAATTTTCAGTAGCAGCTTCTCTTCATGTGTTCTGAAAATGATAAAAACAAGTCCTTTTTTGAGAACAATGGGGCAGGAAGATGCTTTTATTAACAGTATTTAAGAGGTCTATTGATTATAATTGTTTTATTGTACTTTAAAAAAACCAATATAATAAAATACATAAACAGAACGATAGAAAATAAGTAAAGAGAAAAGGAATAAATCATATGTGTATGTCTTCCACACTTTTCCTATTTTTTTTGTCTATTTTTCCCCAACCTCTTTATTCCACTTAAACCCAATTTGTTATTTCTTCTTTCAGCAAAATATTTCCAGTCATTCAAAAAACAAAACAAACAAAAAAACAAAAACAAAACTTAACGGTTCTTTTATTGCAATTTTTTTTTTTTTTTTTTTATTGAAATTTTTCAAAAGTTTTACAAATAAAAATCCACCCCCCCCTCCCCAACCACCCCACCCCCCCCCCGACTTCCCAGAACTGAATATAGGATTATTTAACAAATATTTTAAAAATAACATTTGCAATTTATAAAATAATTAATAATAATAATAAAAATCACAGTAATAATATATATAGAAATAATATACATAACATAAACTTTAAAATGAATAATATATACTAAAAAAGAAAAAAAAATAAAAAATAAAAAGAGAAGAGAGAGAGAGAAAGAAGAAAGAAGAAAGTAGACGAAAAATAAAGCATATATATATATAAAAAAAAAAAAATATATGAATAATAATACATTAAAAATGTATATATATAAAAAAGAAAAAGAAGAAAGAAAGAAAAAAAAAACAATCATTACAAATTATAAAAAGGCTAAATAATATTTTTCCATATCCAAATTATGTTGTATAAAATTTATCCATTTTTCCCATACCGCAAAAAATTTTTCTTGAGATTGCTCCTTTAAGAAAGCCGAAATCTTTGCCATTTCTGCCAAATACGAAACTTTATGAAACCATTCTTGTAAAGTAGGCAAAGATTCCTTCTTCCAATATTGTCCTATTAACAACCTAGCGGCTGTAATCAAATTTAACATCAATATAACCTCCTTAGCATCACAGTCAATAACAATACCTAGTAAAAATAATTGCGGAGTAAATTTTACCCTTCTTTTAAAAATTCTTTGAATATTCCACCATATCTTAATCCAAAAAGCTTTTATATGCTTACACGTCCACCAAATATGGTAATAGGTAGCATCCAAATATCCACATCTCCAGCATTTCGGCTGTAGATTAGGGTACATAATGGACATTTTCTTTGGGTCAAGGTGCCATCTATAAAACATCTTATAAAAATTCTCTCTTAAATTTTGCGCTTGTGTGAATTTAACATTTCTTATCCAAATAAGTTCCCAAGTATCCATTGAAATCGTTTCACCAATATTCTGTGCCCATTTAATCATACAATCTTTAACTAGTTCAAGTTCTGAATCTAATTCCACTAAAACCCCATAACCTCTCTTAATATGGGTTGGCCTTTGATCTCTTACTTGTTTTAAAAAAATTCCATCTTCTCTAAGCCAGCCCATTTTACAATCCATCTTCCATCTATCCACTATTTGTCTATATTGGAACCATGAATAAGTTAAGTTTTCATGTGTTAATTCTTCCAAAGATTAAACAAAAAACAAAAACAAAACTTAACGGTTCTTTTATTGCAATTTTATGGATTAAGTTTAGTTTAGTTATTGGAAGCCACCTCAGATCACACAAATATGCAGGATCCAAAGGAGTGTAGACAAGAAAAAAATGTAGCTCCCATTCTTTAAAATGCATTCTTAGTGGGTTGTTTTGTGGCAATGGTTGGGAAACAAATAAGAGTAATAAGAAGCAAAGGTCAATTTTTCTCATTTCCTTCAATCTATGCCTCCACTTCAGTTTTTTATAGATGTAGAGCAGTGTTCCTCAACCTTAGCAACTCTAAGATATGTTAGCTTGAACCTCCAGAATTCAAATAATAACAGGGAACTTACAGTATTTGCTACAACTGATGTGTTGTGAACAGTTATATATTTTAAATCTACAACTTGAATTCATATGTCAGATTTAGGAAAAAATGCACTTAATGGCATGAATCTATATATCAGCCTTCCCCAACTGCCATCTGCTGTTATTATTATTGATCATTGCACAGTCAGCCAGATGTTCAGATCGGGTTTGGCAGATCCTTACCAAGGACCTGGGATAGGCAGATGTGGATGTTTGATGGTGTTGCAGATATCGTCACAGGATGGAAACTTTTCCGAGTAAGGAAAAGGATGGAGGCTGTCCTCGCCTTTTGCAATTGACTGATGGCAAATTTGTTAATGCCAATGGTGCTCCAGTTGTTTTGGGATTGCACCCAAGGCACCTATTAGTATTGGTGCTACCCTTGCTTGCCTTTGCCACAGTCATTCTATTTCTATTTGCAGGTCTTTGTATTTTGTTATCTTATCCAGTTCTTTCTCTTCTATTCTGCGGTCTCCAGGCACTGCCACATCCACTACCCAGACTTTTTTGTCTTTCTTATCAACAATTGTTCAGTCTGGGGTCTTATGTGGCAGGTCCCTGTTTGAATTCTAAAGTCCCAGAGCAATTTAACTTTTTCATTTTCTATGAAATTATTATCAATTATTGATTATCGATGATCAATGATCAATGATCAATTACCAATTATTATCAGTGCAATGTGAAGTCACAGATGCCAGTTTTTAGCTGGTATTAGACTTCATAGCATTGAGCATTGAGTTTTTCTCAGGAACCTATGATGTCAAAATAATATCAGTGTACTATATGTGAGAATTTAAGCAGTGTGGCTTTTTGCAACTGACAGATGGAAATTTTGTCAATTTGCAGATTTTCTAAGTGCCACCCAAGAATTATTTGGTATGGCACCTATAATTATTTCACAGTTATGTCATCTCCATATGACCATGAAACAATGGTTCCCAATTATAAACCAACATTGTATTTCAGATGGATCAAAATAATTTCCTTGGAGAATGACAATGTCTGCCAGCAGAGCACTTCTCTAGAATTTAGCTATGCAACCAATGATTATTCCCCGAACAACAATAACCTCAGTTTAGTCATATTGAAATAAACCACATTATTTCTTTTTTCGCAATTCTCACTTTAAGAAAGTATGATCCACGGCGCAGAAAGTTTTATGGTGAACTGAAAAGCTGGATTGTAGTGTTTATAAAATTAAAAAGTTGCACACAAAATTAGTTGACCAGCAATAAATAACGGATTTGGGGTTTACGCACCACAGTATTACTTCGAGATTAGCATGGTGCATTCTTTCTCAATGAGCCTATAATTAATAATAAACACCCTTCGCTAAATTAATTACAGCAAAAAGTGCAAGCCGTAACCCTGAATGTGAATCCATTTACAGCACAATTTAGTTCATGCTTATTCAGAAGCAAATTGCATTAATCCAAGACTTCAGACTCAGTGACCGAAAGGATGTGTGAAAGGAAGGAATTAATTAAACAACAAAAGCAAAGCAAACAATTTTTTTTTTTAAAAAAAATCCCAAACAGGTTGGGTGATTTTTCTATGGGAAAACTAATGAGATTCATTTCTAGTTTCAGAATACCAGAAAAAGTAAGTCAAGAAGAAACATTTTCTCATCAGCTTACCCCTGCTTTATGCAAAGGTGATCGGACTTCTTTCACACTCCCTACTCACCCGAATATCGGATCCGGAAACCCTTCCTGCTGTAGGCGTGATCAGAGGACCAGTGGAGATATGCTCTGTTTCCTGAACTGGTCACCACCAGTGGTGCAGAGTAATTTCCACTTAGAGACAATAACAGTGGACTTTGACCTGAAGTCCCTTTAGAAACATCACAAAAATAGAGCATGAGCCAACGAAAAGCCATAACTGGATTGAACCAAAGCTTTTAAGGGGTCAGCATCCTGTTCAGCTCCTTCAGAACATAGAGAACCAGGCACAGGATACTCTATAGCCTCCCACATTTTTGGGGGGGATATCACAAACTTCCAGGTGAGATCTATCTCAACTCTGTCTCAACCTGCTTAGTTAATGAAATTCCTACGTCACTGTGCATGATTTAATATTTATTCCCAGATTTCTTAATTTATCCAGTCTCTGGTACAGTACTTCTCAATATCACCAACATTAAGATGTGTGGATTTCAAGTTGAATGTTCCTCCAGAATATTGACTAGTGAATTCTTAAAACTATAGAGCAGTGGTTCTCAACCCTTTTAATACCGCGACTCCCAACCGGTCATAAGTCGAGGACTTTCCCTGCCCGGGAGCGCCGCGCATGCATGGTGCCGCCCCCTGCGCCGGCCGAAGTATAGCAGAATGGGACTTTTGGCGGGCTCAGCAGGGCAGAGACAGCCTGGACAATTTCTATTGGCTTTTGAAAACCAATAGAATTAGACTCTATTCAAGAGAGTTTATTCTATTGGCTTTCAAAAGCCAATAGAATAAAAGGGAGTAGCACAGCTAAGGAAAAGGGGAAAAAATGGCAGACTGCGTTGTTTGGCGACCCCCGTAAAATGGTCATTTGACCCCAAATGGGGTCCCGACCCACAGGTTGAGAACCGCTGCTATAGAGGTTAAGAAAAACTGCTCAAAGAAACATGGGAATCTATTTATTTTGTCTCAGTTGTTTATTTCCTGTCTTTATCTCTCATATTTTTTTGGGGGGGGACTCAGAAGCATCGACAGAATCTCCTCTTATTTTACCTCTGCAACAATAACAAGAAATGCTGCAATAGAGAAGACTAATTTAAGATAATTAAATGAATTGTATGTACTATTTAATTTTATTTACATGTAACACACCCATTCATTTGTAAAGTTCTTTTTACATGGCTTTGGGCCATGTTGAAGAAAGGCTCCTGATGTAACATTCAAAGCATCATTTTGCACTTAGCTCAATGAAAGTTGTAGAAACCTACCTGGTGTGGATTTTTCATTACCAATTTTGCTAGCTGATAATCCCCATAAACCCCAGAGACCACTCTGGATGGGGTAAAGCTGGTTCTAGTTAAATATATCTGGGGGGGGGGGTATGGCGTTGGGAAGGTTATACAGAAGAACTGAGAGCATATAGATGATTGCAATAGCCTTCTTTTCTTATAAGTTTCCAAACCCTAGGATTCAGAAATACTGAATATAGATGTTTCTTTCAGCTGTCATAGTTGCAACAATAGCCGACAGAGCAATCCTTCCTAATCAATCTTCATAATTATGAATAAATTCATCTAGTGAAGCTAACAAAGGGCTCAGCAAGAGACCATGATTTGGCAGATAATCATTTGTGGGGGAGAATCTGGGAAGAAGGGCCCTGAAGACTAAATGCAGTTATCTCCAGCATGAAAGGGAAAAAGCACGGAAAGCAAAAGGATGAAGGAAGAGGGTACAATGGCTTGTAAGGCTGAGGACTTAACATTTTAGCTTGCAGCCTACTAAACTGTATGCCCTGGCAGGGAATCTCCAAAGTTACGTAAATATGCAGAAAGTGAAATAATATGTTCTTCTCTCCTGTCAATCACTTTAGTTGGGTGATCATGTCTTTTAGCCGCATGCAATCAGAAAAAAAAAGTTTTATTTACTCTTTGCAAGATATTTTATAATTCTATAAGCTTAGAATGCATTTTCCTCTCCCCATCTTTGGCAATTGATGTCTTATCCATGGAGGAACAGTGCACGATGCTACCAATCATATAATTCATAATTAATAATGCTGGTGGTGGCCACCTGATATTGTTTCCTCTAGCACTGATGAGGTTACTTAGTTGGGTAATCAAATGTCTGCAAGAAAACAGCCAAGCTCAGAGATCATCAAGGACCCCTCATTTCAACCCTGACCTATAAATATTCTCCTCAATTCTCTGTCTCACTGGGCCGAATTCTGGTAGCTACTGCAATGTGTAGTCCCACCCTGATCCCTCTTCTACCCCTAAAGGAAAGTATGTAGTTTAAGCAGTGTTCCTTCTGGTAATCTAGTCCCCCACCATCTCATCTCCAAAACCATCCAAACTTTATGACTCACCGTCAAATATCCCAAACTCATCATACTTCTTCTCACTCAAGAAATATTCAACGGTGAAGGTGATGTTGTACTCGGGTTCCACTGCTATCATCCAAGAGCAAGTCTGGAAGTGAGGGTAGCTGCCTGTGAAGGATGGGCTTAGGATCACTCCTGTGGAGTCACGGAGGACCTCATTCATTGGACAGTGAACTGATCGACACCAACAAAAAAAAAGCAAGGCACAGAGAGTTACTCTATGTCACTGTGAAGGAAAACTACTCTTGGGGCTGTTAACTGGGATCAGAAGATGGGAGAAATCTGGCTAACTCATCTAGCAGGTCTCCAACGAGATCGAGTGAAGATGCAGGCTAGTAAATTCCGGAAGTTAGTCCACAGTTTGGTGAAGATTGCCTGTTTTGGCTTACACTAGTTCACTCGGGCTCTATGAGAAGTCTTTCCCATCACCTATTTGACTATTTAACTGGGGGAAACAGTTCTGTTGCATCTTTCCCCAGTTAGCAATAGACCTTGCTTTCATAACTATCTCAGGATCTTTTAAAACTTAGTATACATGGGCCTCACAAACCCTCCTTGTCTATATTGGGTTTGTGAGTATGAGATGGATTGCCACATTGCTTTTGCAAAGAAAATATCATTTGCACAAATATAAACTATTGTTGCAATCAGGAAAATGATCTGTCGTGGCACCTCTGCTGTGTTTACCTTAGGTTCCCTTTCTAGAATAAAGCATGGGTCCCCTTTAGAAGACGGTGATGCAGACTGATTTATTTTTAGTCCATCATCATCATCATCATCATCGTCATCATCATCATCATCATCATCTATATTATTTTTAAAGGAACAATCTTTTTGGCACCTTTTCTTGGTGTCCACAGCATAAGTCTTAATATATCTCTTTGACTTCTTGTATATCCAATATTAAAAAGCAAGATATCCATATATTATTTATTCTCTGCTATGAGTTCTGGGATTTTTTGCACTTCCATCAAAGTGACTGACCTTCACACGTTGGGGGAGGGCCTTCGAACTGGAGGTGGGTACCAAGCCTGCATGTCAGGATCTCATTCCCAACCAAGGTGAAGCCAGGAAGACATTGATACCTAATAATATCACCTGCAGAAAGGAACGAAGAAGATGCAGGTGTGTTCCAAGAATACAAAAGAACGTATTTTGAACAAGGGTCATCAGATGGATCATGATTACAAGCGAACTAGATGTGAGGAAGGAGGTCGGGATCCCGTAAAGTTAATTGAAGTAAGGGGAGAGAAAAAAGCCCCTGAACTAAAACTGCCATTCTCAAATTGTTCTCGTGCCAAATGGGGGAAGACCATCTGCTATTAAATGAAAGCATGTATCTTTTTTCTCATGGTTCAGAAAGTCAACTTAGGGTAATGTTTCTCAACCTTGAAGATGCATGGACTTCAACTTCCAGAATTCCCCAGCTAGGAAGTTGATGGCCACACAGCTTAAAGTTGCCCAAAGTTAAAGATAAAGTTGGAAACACTACTTTAAAGTGTTAGGGATTTGAATTAGCCAAAAGACATGTCAAAGGAAGTAAGAGGTGGGGGATATCGCATAAGCCCTATCCCTGCTTCATGCTCTGGCACATTTTTATCTGATATCTTTGAAGTACACTTGACGGTGTCATTAGGGAGAAATCTTTAGCTGAGTTACTTTGCAATATTTCTCCCAGGTGTGTTGCGCTACACATCGTCAGCCAAGCCTTGTCATCTGCTACCTCCATTCTCTTGTGAATCACTTCCAGTTATCCCATTGTCCTCATTAATCTTTCAAACTCTGTACGCATCTGGTGTACAGGTAAAAGATCTACCCCTTAAGTCTGGATAAGCATACCACTCAATGCAGTGGAAGAATTCTGACTGGTAGGTAACATCTATTTTTTTAAGTTTTTAAGAAGAGACTGGACAGCCATTTGTCCGAAATGGTGTAGGGTTCGTGCCTGAGCAAGGGGTTGGACTCGATGACCTCCAAGGTCCTTTCTAACTTTATTATATTATATTATATTATTTATTTATTTGACTGACAGGCTTGCTAATTTTCTGCTTGAAGAAGAGTGAAGGTGGTGTTGTGTTCTGGTCCCACTGCTATCATTCAAAAGCAAATCTGGAAGTGAGGACAGCTTTGTTTTAAACCAAAGTGGGGTGCTCAAAATCACACACACACACCGCCTTTGACATGCAAATGAGGGTTTCAATTCAGGGACAAGCTGCTTTAGCTGCAAGATCAGGGATGAACTGTCTTAGTATGAGCTGATCTCCTAAGAGCTAATTAAACTAGGACCAGGTTAGTGCTGTATTTGGAAGGGAGACCACCAGAAAATCCAAGGGTTGTAAACTAATCCAGGAAATTTGAAAAAAAATAAAACCAAGGACAATGGAAAACAGTTGCTCTGAATATTTTCCATATTGTTGCCAGGAGTTGAGCATGCCTCAACAGGGGTTTTGTGGATTAGAATCCTATGAAGAACAACACAATTTAATATGCTGGTTCTAATGTTTCGGTGGTCTTCCTGGATCGAAGAATTCACTCCTCAGGTAAGTTTCTTATAAAAACTAACCCTGACTTTCATTTTAAGCTGTGCAGACCTTCTCCCTCTTATTCACAGCAGATAAAGGAAGTGTTAGAAAATTGTTGTGTGATTCCTTTTATGTGTTTCTAGCTGCATCCAGTAGATTCCTGGTGCTTACAATAAATAAGGAGTACATACTTCACTCTGCTAAGATGCTGAACTGTGTGTGTGGCAAGAACAGGAAAAATTATTCAATTATTTTCTTACTTATTGTAAACAAGTTATGGGTACCTATTTCAGAGATTGAATTAGGACTGGGAGGAGAATTGTGGGAACACCATCCATCCGTGATTTATATCACCTGTCTACATCCAGAAAATACTAGCAAAAACATGCATGCGATACCTATTCTGTAATCCTCATTCTCAGTGATGATTTCAGCATTAGGGACCATAGTTGGCGGTTGGCACTTAGAAAGTTGATAGGCTGGGAAGAGAAAGAAATAAATCAAATGCATGAGAGTACCAAATCTCTAGCTATGGGACTTGAATATGTATCTTTGTGTTATAGTTGCTTGGCAAAAATTGGAATCACTTGTTGAGATGGGCGGCCATATGAATTGAATGGATGAGTAAATAAATAATGAACAAAGAGAGAAGCCAGAAGCTGAATCTCTGGAAAATCAATTCCACAACAAACAGAACCTGCTCCCTGGGTGATGCTGGGGTGGATGGGGGGAAAACCAATTTTCTCCCTTTTGTAGCCTTCTGTGGTTCAACATTTTGAAGATTTGTTGGCCCTCAAGGGTATTTTTTTTTTCAGAAGAAATACATTCTTTTTTTATTCTGTAAGCCAAACATATCTCTTACTTTTTGGTTTACACCAACTACACCATTCTTCACGCAGCATTTGAATTTCTTCATGGGATGGTTCACACAACTTGATTATTGAATTAACCCATTTGCTTGATTTGCACAACACCTGGGATCTCAAGCTAAGTCAATGGGCAGAGTTAAGCTACAAAAAGCATCTCTAATCTTAACAATAATCAATGCATGCAGCCCTTGGCTTCTAATCAGTTTGATTAAGCTTTCTGTGCAAACCCACCCGTAAGGATAAGTGCTACTTATTGGTCCAAATTAGTGGGGTTTTGTTTTATGCTGCAGAGTGTGGTATGGCAGAGAAGGCACATGATAAGCCCTAGTTGAATACGTAAGCAATGTCCAATTGAACCCTCATTGCTGCATGCAACACGTTAGAAAACAAGCATGACCACAAAGCCTTGCATCACAGTGAGCTGTACCTACCATAGAAGTGGATGACAAAAAGGCCTCCATTGGCTGCATCGCTGTGAAACTTCATCAGAGCATGATTGGAAGAGCTTTGGATGACTTTCTTCACTGAGTGTCCTGTGAAAACCCCCAGCTGGGGTGCTGTCTCTTGAGAACCATCCCTGAAGAGAAAGGGAAAGAAATACAAAAGAGTAACAGAAAAGACCTGGTTAAAGAGTGGGAACATTATGGATCAGAGTTTGTACACCACCCAAGTTGTTGGCTGAAGACAATTCCAGCTGACACTTTTGAAAGGGCTGACCATCTTCTTGATGTAAGAGCCAGATGATGCTTGGAAGGCCAACCAGACACTCCCAGTGGATCAATCTAGCTGAAGGGATCCACAAAGTTCTCCTGATCTGCTCACAGGCTCCAAGATCTATCAAAGCCTCTTTTCCTATTTTCTTTCTTATTTTATTTGGAATATCTGCCTAGATATGCACTTGAAGATATCCCAATTCCCAGGCTAGAAATACAATACGTGAAAACAAGAATTTGCATATGCTGTACTTACATATATTGTAATTAAGCTTTTAGTTTGCAACAAATTGTAACTAATAGGAAAAAATACAAAATACCTATTATTTTAAATTTTACTATAAAAGGCACAATACTTTCTAAATGTTAAATAATGGAAAGACTTTATAACTGAAAGGTGCATTTGCATAATCCAACACAGAGGCTAAGTAACACAATACAACTCTTCAATGCAAAGGCAACAGTGTAGCTCTTCCTATTCATAGCTCAGTCCTTCTCTGGTCACCAGCTTGTTTCCTCTTGTCTTGGTGGATCCCCATTGGACCTCAGAGCCATGGAAATGAGAGTAGACAACAGCTGTTGTATATTGACAACAGGACATCTTTCCATGTTTCTCTATGATATCCATTTTCCAAATCAAGCAATTTTCATTACTGCCATTTCCATTATCACGATCTCCCTTCAGGATGTTCATTGCTACTTTAAAGTTCTTTAGGAAGCATACTGAAATTTTCCCTTTCCTCCAGGGGTTTAGAGGAATTTTTTTTCCAATTTGATGATGTCTTTTTGTAATATATATCTTATTGTCCTAGGTCCTCTGCCACCAAGCTTCCTAATCCCAGCTTGGGCAGTTTCCCTTGAGGTAAGTGAAAAACTGATATCTCCAGACTTCTCATGATGTGAGGATCTCTCATTGTCTCATAAGGATAAGAGAACATAGCTATGACAAGGTTCTAGCAACACTGCTGAAAAGGCTGGGCTCAGAGAGAGCCCCCAGGTCCAAATCCCACTCACCAGACAGTGATGAAGTCATTGTACGGCTCTGTTTGTAGCAAGGTAAAGTTGAGGTAGATGCCATATCCAGGTGACACCACAAATACCCACGTGCAGTCCTGGGAATTGGGATACTGATTGGGAAAGCCGGAGGAGTAGATTGTTCCATTTTGGGCAGTGATGTTTCCTCCACAGGGGACTGTATGCAATTGACCACAAAAGACATTAAGAGCTACTAAATCTCAGAATTTGCACAATAGTGGTAGTATGATTTTAGTATCATTTAATCTATTTTCAAGTCTTCCAAACAGCTATTCTCATGAGCTATACAGTGTTTCTTAATCTTGGCCACTTGAAGATGTGTGGACCTCAACTTCCAGAATTCTCTAGCCAACACTCTTCTCTGTACAAGCAACAGGGAGAGAGCATATTCAACTCAGTTGAGCAGGGAAGATTATTTAAACCTAAAACAAACCCATAACCCCTTTCAGTTTAAAGAAATCTTTTCGAAACCTGGTGATAACTGGTGCTGGCCTCCCTTGAGCACTTAACTGTGTGTTGTGGACTTTGTCAATTTGTCTGGACTGGGACAACTGTGGTTGCTAAAAAGGACTATTAGTAGAGCTCAGCATATGCAGAAGGTTACAAGTCATGGGAAGCCTTCTTCTAACAAGCCAAAGCTTCCTCAACTAAGAATGTGATGAGAAAGGAATATATGAACCTGTGGCTCAAGCAAATTTAGCAAAGTTCAGCATTACTATATTTCTATTCATACTGTTTTCTGAGGGAGCCATCAAGAACAAATATCCACGTGAAAGGAATACTGAGAGAGGCATGCAGAAGACGGAGGTGAACAGATACAACAGTCATACTCAAATTAAATCAAAGTTATGGGGAAAAAAATAGATTTGTCACTCCCTGAAGGAGCAGAAATTAAGGCCCATCAATAGTATAATTAATGGATATCTAGGTACTGTGGAAGCAATAAACTGAATTAGCAGTGGTCTACTTCTAAGTGAAACAGAAACCGATAAAAGTCAAAGACCAGCCAGTTCAGGTTTGTAGCCAGAAATGTGTAGTGGTGCTCGTGCTGAGGAATAGGGAAAATATATGTGTGGATACAAATGAATATGATGCCTCTTGACAAATACCAACAAGCCCAGTACACATTTAATATGTACGTGATATATCTTAGGTACTGTATACTAACTTAGTGTGTTCCTTTTCTCTTTTTTCCTTAATAATCCCCTACTAGGAAAATTCTCAATAAAGTCATACCTTCACACCTGGGCAATGGGTGGTCCCAGTTCCTATTGGTTCCATGTTGACAGGTTAAGACTGGTTGTCCAATCAACTGATAGCCAGGGAGGCACTCAAAGGAGATGGACTGCCCCACACTATAACCTGCTCCTCTTACAATGCCATTGGCGAAGGGTTCAGGATCTGGGCACTCCTGGAGTTCATAAGCTGGGTATCATAGAGTACAAACATAGCAATGGATTTAAAATCAGTTATTCCTTCAGAAATTTTTTACCTACAGATGTTGTCTTATAGAGAAAGACCATTAGTCAGTGTTGGAGCACATGCTCATAGTGAAGGCAGAAGAATAACAGGGATGGGAAGCACTCTGACTTGAAACCTTGAAACTTAGTTGGCAAATTGTATAGACCCACCCATATGCCTAATTTTGTTTACAATTCTTCTCTACTCAATCTCCAGGGCTTCCAATAGAGTACTCTTCTTCAGATCCCTCAAGAACTACGTTCAGTGGTCAAATATGGCTAGAGAGATCTTTTTTCCCTCCCTAAATGACCAAAGGTCTAACCTGGTATAAGGCAACTGACTTGTTTCCAATGTTCTCCCAGCTGAACCACATCTGTGGTAACTGATCTCCAATCTTTAAGCACAAACTATTTAGCAACCAAAGCTATGAAACCAAGCGGCATATGATTGAATCAGATTCTAGGTATCTGGAATCCATCCAAATATTATATAAATATAAGGACCAATAAATTGATAGACATTGTTCAAAAGTTCATCCTATCAGAGCAGTGATACATTAATAGCTATGGGAAGAGCTGCGCTGCCCCAAGGGATCAATTTCCCATGATCTATTTCTGCCAGTAGACTCATCCCGTCATATAGGCTGACTTACAAGATTAGTCTGCTCTGCCAGTCATCATCCTAGTCAGGTGAAAACACCATAGTTTTATGGTATCCTTCTACTTAGATTACTGTCGTGCATTCTGTTGTGATAATCTTGTAGAGATAGTCCTTGACTAATGATTGGACCTATCTGGAGGGTACTTCCAACCCAGATTTAAAGTTTCAATAGTCACCTTTCCTGCAATCACCTGACCATACTTCAGATGTTCAGCAACTGGATCTCATTGATGGACATTTGCACTGCCCTGTGGTCACATGACTACATTTTACAATGCTTTCACTGAAAACCAGCATTTACTTCTGGTTTCCTGCAAAATAGTGCCAATAGCAAAATATTGGTCTGCTTAATGACCACAGAATTCACTTAACAACCACAGAGTCACTTAACAACCACAGAGTCACTTAACAAACATGGTGAGCCACTTAATGAATGATTGCTGCAAAAATTGTCACAAAATCAGATCAGTCACATGCTTGACCCATTTTACGACTGTCAAGGGTTACAACTGTGATGGACAGGCTCCATTACAGTGGTAGTTCAAGGACTACTTGTAGTCAGTCCAGAAGAGACTAGTAGTCTGCCCAAAAGAGAACAGTCAGATTAATAATACAATCATACGATGTCAATATAGTAGCAACTTCACTGGGTCTCCATTTCCAAGTCCAATTTAAATTTCTGGTACTAATTGCTAAACGCGTTCACCTAAATTAAATCGTATGGATTCCATTGCGTTATCATGCTGTTCATTAATATCGTGCTGAACATTTTGATTATAAACCTGCATATAGCTGAAATAATTAAAAATGATGCCGGTTTGATATGTGTATGTGCCTGCATGGAATAAATTTGGAAAGTGGGCATGGGGAGGGATATTAAAACTGCTAGAAGACTGAGAACAAGGGGAAAACAATCTTGACTAGCATATGGCAGCACATTACAAAACAACAGACACTGGGTGTTTTGAATTTTGTTAAATCTGGAGTATTCCTTCTGTCGAGAATCACAATGAAATTCTGATTTTTTTCTTTTTGAGCTCTTTTCTCAAAACTAGCACCAGACAGAGGGATTCTCCTGCATTCTTTATTTTTAAATAGCAGTACTCATTCAGAAGAATTTGCTTTTGAAATTTATTTCAAAGGAGAAAATAACTTTTGTGGGTATTTCATGTACTTCATGTGGCTGGTTTTGCACATGTATGAATATAATTTGCTTTGTTCTCCCTAACAGTCTGAATTTTCCTGAACTTCCATTTAATCCGTAACTGGGCAGCCGTTGCTGCCAATGAAAATCCTTTCCTGTGAGGAACTACTGAAGAATTTCTGATTCCTCTAGAGAAATTTAGAGAAGCCATTCTCTGGTTCTTTACCTACAGATTTGGCGATCATTTTACAAAGCCACTCGTGCCCAACTGTACTTAAAATGTGCTTTCTTGGCTTCTCCTGACCAGGGGGCCTCCACAGCACGTGTCAAAATCTGCGAAATAGTAGCACAAAGTCGCAAAGCCTCACCGCTTCATATGGGTGTGCATTTTTTCACTCATACCTACAAATGTTGATTTGGTTGCGTGCAGTGCCTTACCTACCATCTTGCAGATTTTGACATCCCCTCTACACCTGTTCTTGAGCAAGATGGACATATGAAAGGGGATCCATCAAAAGTTCTGCAAAATTGACCGGCATAAAGGCGCCTTGAAGAAGTCATTCCACACCTGCTTATCCCTGGAAGGGAAGAGGGAATGAAAAGAAAAAAAACCCCTCAACATTGTCCTGTCTTTATTCTCATTGGTATAAGAAGAGATAGCTCTTTTCTTTATCTTTTTTTTTTTCAGTTTTGAATGGGGCAATTGGGAAACAGATGACCATCTGGCAGGTATAGCGGTAATGAGAGAGCCTTATTTTTTTCTTTACCTGATAAAGTCTGGCATACACCACTGCATATACAACTAAGAAATAATGATCTCCGTAAACAGAAGATGAAGACTTTTGTTTCACTGAAGTAGAAATACAGAGACAAAGCTGAAGAACAGATTTGAGCAAGGAAGAATTTGTCTGATGTAGTAATTAAGAGGCCTCTGAGCACCAAGCAAATTAACATCAGGTTGAATTCTTAGTTATAGCACTAATACCTTCTGGAAAACACATTGTGGATTAACTTGTCTATATTGGCAGGCTGCTAGGATTTAGCAAAGCTGCTCGGCAAAACAAGAGTTTCCATCACATCTTAAAAGTATTGCTTTCAAAAAATGCATTAGTTATAGCATTCTTGCTAAGTGGCCGGAAGACAATGGGGCTGCTCCATTCTTAGCCTTCTTGTCTGCCTGCTCCTTACCTTGATATTCTACTTTAAAACCAGGCTTGTTCTGTGAGTGATCACTGTGGAAATATATGGTGGTTTCGTGGGATGTGGAAAGAAGGGAGCCTGGGAGGTCGGTCCCACTAAACCGGCTGATGATGTTACTGGTGTCGTAGGGCCCATTGCGAATTTCAACAAAGTCATGGTTAGGTTCAGTGGAGAAGTTTAAGAACTGGAGATGAGCACCTGCAGATGACAGAGAAAGTGGGAGAAAAGGGGGTTTCGTTAGCTGAACTGTTGGCTGCATATTCTGCATTTGGTTAACTTTCCATCATTCTTCTTCAGCATACATCTGGCAGAATTCTCAAGGTTTCAGAGTAGGACCTTTCATAGACAATATTGTACAATGTGGTGGGTATCAGTATTAGTCCTAGTGATTACTTGAACAAGTCCCTGCAATTTTGTTGCCAACATTTTCAGAAGTGGTTTTATCTTGCCTTCCTCTTCCTAGGACTGAGAGAGACATATTGGACAAAAATCATCAGGTGGCTTCATATCTAAGCTAGGATTAGAAGTGACAGTTTCTAGGCCAGTATCTTTAACCACTGTATCAACCTGCTTCTCATGTATGTATTGCTTCATAAATGCCATTTAGGAGCATTTTGCGCCCCTTAGCTGCCAGCCTTGATTTAGAAAAAAATAAAAAAAGATGAAACATCACCAGAAAGCACATCCAGAGGGCCTAGACAGCTACTTTGGTTGCATTTGGTATTTTACTTTCTAAAACAATGCCTTTATCTCTGGCTTCTTTGTAGCTGAATAAAGTTTATTCCAATATATCTCTTGACTATTCCATTGCTATAATTCTCGGCCCCCCTCTGTTTCCAGATAATAGGATTTTTTCTCCCGGATGGTAGTGGATCTAAAGTGGGCTTCATACTTACTTTGCTTTGCTTTACTATACTTCACTTTCAGGCCACCTATGACCAAAGTACATGGGTGGAGCATACACATCAACTGGATTGCTAATTTGATGCCATCACCAAATACATTTTGGTTTGGTTTGGAAGAATGGGGGATACAGAAGGATGTATAGTTAGTTTGAAGGACAGTGAATTGACTTGTAGAAATATGTCCCTTGCCTGGATGTTGGATCACGGAGTACCAGCTACTCATAGCTTACCTACATCGTTCCTCCAGTACCATCAGTGGTCATTTGGATTTTTCAAGTTGGATTTAACTGTGACAATTAGATAGGACAATCTCCCCACTACCAAGAAGGAGAAGAAGAAGAAAGGAGGAGAAGAAGCCTACACAGAATCCAAAACTTAAGAAAAAAATGCTCATCAACTTTTATTGGAAAGGATATAGCATTCATTAAAAAACTCATTACATTTTATGACCAAATTTAAAAATGGCTCATCAGCTTCTGGATCAAGTGTTATTTTTGACTTTCAAATGGTCTTGCATGCAATTATTTTTATTATGATGATTATTTATTTAAAAGAAATAACAAGTGCAGAATAATACATTAAAATAGAACAATGTCTATGTTCTTAAAAAATTGAAAAAAATCATTGGCATACTTAAAGCCGCATAGAAAGTGATGTTTGTTATCTATATGGCCCTTAGATAAAACTACTGGATTAAATAGAGGTTGAATATTCCTATTTTCACTATTAATATCACTCATTCAACCAACCAACCAACCAACCAATTAACCAAGGACTTCAAGGTGGCTTGTCCTGTATCAGTCCATGAAAAGTATCTGAAAAGAGATGGGAAAGATGCTGTGATTTCCTTACCAAATCCCACAGTAAAGGATATCTTCCAGGTACAATCACTGTTGCTAGGGTAGTTTCCAGGAAAGCCAGGGCTTAGAATGACACCTTCCATCTCTTCTAAAATTCCTCCACACTGGGCTGTTAAAATTACAATAAATCAGATGGTCATACACTATTTCAGATGTCTTTCTCTTTGGGTTGACTGTCAGTCAGGACAACTGAAGAAAGAGTTGACAGTCGGGATACAGGCTTGATTATGTAGAAGATTCTGCATTCTACATTTAGAATATCTTTAAAGAGTTGAGTAGGGGATGCCAAATCCACTGAGACAGATTGAACTATATTCAGCTAAGTCAGGCCTAGCAACTGGTGGTTCATAGACAGCATGTAATTCCAAGCCCCTCACCAAATGTACACATTCTTTATTTGAAATTTAAAATGAAGCCATAATATACTGAAATGGGATTTTAGTGAGCTCAGCAGGCAGCCATCCTTCATGAAGGGAGCCTGGGGCTTGATCCCAGTTCTTCCATTACACATCACTTAGCCCAGGGGTCTCCAACCGTGGCAACTTTAAGACTTGTGGACTTCAACTCCCAGAATTCCTCAGCCAGCCAAGCTGGCTGAGGAATTCTGGGAGTTGAAGTCCACAAGTCTTAAAGTTGTCAAGGTTGGGGGCCTCTGACTTAGCCCACATTTGTTCATCCTCCAGGTCGAACTAACAAGATAGCTTCACCTAGTATGAATTGTGTCAAAGTTTATCAGAGTAGTGTTTTTTTGGCACCCCTACTGAGGGTGGGAGGGGGTAGGTCCATGAAGCAGGGTGGTTAAAAAAAAATCAGTATGGTGGCCACAACTACACAATGAAGCCTTGTCCTATTTAACATGTGTTATATACAAAAAAAGAGGCATGAATTTGATCTTGTGGTCATTGTTGTAGCACCGTTTGACTTTGGATGTTCCTCCCAATCAGATAAATTTCTATTCCGGGAAGCGTTTGACAATTTCTTTTCCCACCATGTACTACTCATATGCTAACAAGGGAATTTAGGGAAGTTATGCCTTCCTGTTCCTGACTCCTAGATCTAGATCAGTGGTTCTCAACCTTTTTAATGCCACGACCCCCAACCGGTCGTAAGTCGAGGACTACTCAACCGGTCGTAAGTCGAAGACTACTCAACTGGTGCAGCACCGTTTGCAGAATGGGACTTTTGGCGGGCTCAGCAGGGCAGAGACAGCCTGGACAATTCCTGTTGGCTTTTGAAAGCCAATAGAATTAGACTCTATTCAAGAGAGTCTATTGCATTGGCTTTCAAAAGCCAATAGAATAAAAGGGAGTAGCACAGCTAAGGAAAAGGGGGAAAAATGGTGGACTGCATTGTTTGGCGACCCCCGTGAAATGGTCGTTCGACCCCAAATGGGGTCCCGACCCACAGGTTGAGAACCACTGATCTAGATCAATTTTCCATCTTCAACTGTATATCTAAAATGGGAAAAAGGAATAACCTTGAGGAACAGAAGAAGAGCCACAATCAAAACAGCGATTGGATAAAAGAAATCAGAGTCCAGAGTTGAACTGTAATCTGAAAAAGTAACTGTCTCAAGCTTGACCTTTCTTAGTTTTCATGAAGATGAAGCGTATTCAGACTTGCAAGGTTCTTTTACTGAAGCCTTACAATAAAAATAATAAATAATATATTTTTATATAATAAAAATAATATTAGCATTCATAATTAACATTCGTAGTCTGGTATATCTTGAAGGACACACAATATTCAGGACCACTTCTTGGACTCTAATAGACTTCTAGCTCCCTTCAATGCAGTCTACATCAGAACCTAGAGGACTATATTTTAAATCTATCCTGACATCCGATAAGCACAGATTCCCTTCATTATATGCATTTTTTCCCCTGCTGATTCTATTGTTTTCTAATTTCATACCCCCTGATGTCTGTTTAAATGAAATTCCTTCTCAATTATTTAAAAAGGGGAACATCTGGATAAAGGAAGATGGGAAATCCCTAGCCAGTCCATTTTGTAGGGACATGGTAGCAGTTTATCAAAAGTTGATTGCTTCTGTCTTTCGGAATGTGACACAACAATATTTATACCTCTCTACTATCATTTTTTTTTTTCAGCAAGAAAGGAAATCATACTGTTAAAGGCTATTTCTTATTCAGGAGGAGCAGCCAGAAAACCAGGCATACTGATGCAACAAATTAAGCAACCTGTTTCTAAAGGGAAACGGTAAAAAAACCAAACCCATGCAAAATTGGTTTTTATTTAGGTGTTTTAATAATAATAGTAGTAGTAAAGTTGGAAGGGACCTTGGAGGTCATCTAGTCCAACCCCCTGCTCAGGCAGGAAACCGTATACCATTTTGGACAAATGGCTGTCCAGTCTCTTCTTAAAAACCTCCAGTGTTGGAGCATTTACTGCTTCTGGAGGCAGGTTGTTCCACTGGTTAATTGTTCTAACTGTCAGGAAGTTTCTCCTTAGTTCTAGGCTGCTTCTCTCCTTGCTTAGTTTCCACCTGTTGCTTCTTGTCCTGCCTTCAGGTGCCTTGGAGAATAGCTTGACTCCCTCTTCTTTGAGGCAGCCCCTGAGATGTTGGAACACTGCTATCATGTCGCCCCTCGTCCATCTCTTCATTAAACTAGACATACCCAATTCCAGCAACCGTTCCTTATATGCTTTAGCCTCCAGTCCCCTAATCATCTTTGTTGGTCTTCTCTGTACTCTTTCTAGAGTCTCAACATCTTTTTTACATTGCGATTTTACAATCATAGAACATGGAAAATAGGTTTGGAAGGGACCGCCAAGCTGCAAAAGTTGGGGACCACTGAAATAATGAATAATGGGAAAGATCAAGACCAAGAACAGCACCATATGTACCAACTCAAATGACAAAACAAGCTTTTAAAAAGCATTCAGAGAAATGTGGCTTCTGCCTTCTTCCCCTTATTCCGCAGAGAATTCAGAATTTATTTTAAATTTCTCTCTTAATGGGAATAGTCTGTAGTTTACTACATACTGCATGTCAAATTTCACTCCTGTGCGGATTGTGTTGTGCAATTCAATGCAAGTGTATGTTCAATGTCACGTCTATTGTGGATCAATGTTTTGAAAGTCACTAGGGGTTTCTGCATGTGGGGAAAGTGACTTGCAAGATCTCATCCTTTAAGCTGATCTGTCACTTGTTCCTTTACTCAAAACCGGGCAAGGGTTTTTATACTAACACTGATTCAGCTGTTTTATGCTAATATTGATTCAATTGTTTCCATGTTTGTGGAACAGAGGTCTGCAGTCAGATATAATAAAAATGTTCTGATGGAGTGCAAATAAGGGGGAGGCCACCTTCAATTACTATTCATAACTGAGTGGAACAAAATATTGATGGGCTGAACAGAGAAAAAGAGACACAGAAGACGACACCAAACAGAAAAGAACATAGGTCAGAAGAGTCACAACTAGAAAACAAAGATATATTAAAACACGATCTGCCTGTGGAAATAACAATTCTTGGTGAACACTAGCTCGATTCATACAAAACATCAAACCCTAAAACACAGTTGCCACATTCACGTAACTGTCAATCGATAAATCAAGGATACTATGTTTATAATAGGCTTGTTATGGTTCACATTGCATGCTAAAAATGATTGGCCCAAAGGTTCTTTTTTTGAAGAGGCAACTGGATTTTGTTTTTCTTTGAAGAAATTTTTTTCTGAAGAATTGAACTGAAGAATCTTCTTGAATGAGAAGTGAAATGCCTTCAAGGTAAAACAAAACAAAACAAAAAGTCCAGTTGACTCTTTAAAAAAGTACCTTTGGGACAACTATGACCTGGGTGACTGAGAATCTCCATAGACCTTTAAAAATAGTTCGGTTTTTGAGAGGGAAGAAAGGAGAGGAGAGAGAAAATAGTAAAGGAGGGGAGAAGGAAGTAGGAAGGTTGGAGGAGAAGAGGAGAAGTGGGGAGAATGGTGAAGGAAAGAGAGGAGGAGAGGAAGAAGAGGGAAGTAGGGAAGAGAGGAAAGGGAGAAAGAAGGTAGAGAAGAAGGAGTGTGGATACGGTGAAAGGGGAAATGGGCGAGCAACACCAAAAGTCATGTGTATGTATTTATTTTATTTTATTAAATGTATCTTATATATGAATGTAAAAAGAATGTATATTAACATCTGATAAATATCATGGTATATATTTGGGGGAGAGAGTTTGGAAAAATAAAAAATTATTAAAAAAAAATAGTTGGGTTTTGAGAACACACTCTACCACAAGCTATCCAAACACATTTCAACCTAGCCTGGCATGTTGGGTTAACACAACCTAAGAAGGTACTGTTAGGTATCCTGGACACAAATGACTATCAACCAGGAATTCCAAAAATGAATGACTATCTCACAGCAACATCAGTGAATCATCTCCTGTTTCTACCTCCATATTGCATAATGTTGTTTTTATTCCTGTTGCGGACAACAATTATGCAGACCAGAAAAAATGGCACTTCCAAAGTACTTCCCTCCCTTCACTTCCTGCATCAAAGCTAAATCTGAAGCTATGTTTCAGATTTATTTTTTTAATAAATCCACAAAGCCAATAGGAAAATTAGAATCACAGCTGCAGCAAAATATTCTACTGATGCCACTAAAGTCAGACTAGGATCCTACAAGCATGTACAGATAACTGCTAGAAAAAGCCTCTATTTATAGGCTATGGAGTATACAATCTGGAACGAAGCATTTTAGAGGATGACTTTCATTACATTAAGCTGGGCAGATCATATGTTTCAGAGGAGGCAAACTGAATATTCTCACCCTTGCATAAATCATTGACGATCTAGTCTAACAGATGTTCTTCAGCTATTGTTTGTAATCTTGGCAAAGTAGCAAACACATTCATCTATTACTGACCTCATTCCTGTCTGGAAAAAAGACACTTATTTGTGGTACCTTTGTTTCCTACAGACAAGCGATGGCTAAAATTGAGCACAAAAGCTTACAAGACAGCTTGCTATTTTAAAGAGAGATGAGAGATTATGAGAAAAGCATTAGATGAGAATACAGATTCACAAAAGGGTTTCTTCAACATTCAGATGCTCACTAACTTGTGAGTGAGTCTTGGAACATCAGAATGTAATACGAAGAATGGAATGGAGTGGAGTGGGGTGGGGTGGGGTGGAGTAGGGTAGGGTAGGGTAGGGCAGGGCAGGGTAGGATAGGGTAGGGTAGGGTAAGGTAGAGTGGAGTGGAGTAGAGTAGAGTAGAGTAGATTCTTTATTGGCCAAGTGTGATCGGACACACAAGGAATTTGCCTCCAGTGCATAAGCTCACACTGTACATATATGCAGCAAGTAATAGGTCATGGTTATAATCATAGTTACAATTATTAATCATAAGTTACAAACAACAATTGATACATCATGAGAAATTAGTAAGAAAGACAAGAAAATGAGAAAAGATGAGAAATGAAATAGTGCTGTGGAAATTAAGTGTTCAGCAGAATGATGGCACATGGGAAAATGTCCAGTTGTTTTGTCAAGCAATGTTCTAAATCTTACACATGAAGTAAAACTCAACATATAACAAGGATTACATTCTTTGGTATTTTTGCTTCTGAAAGCCCACCCCCCGGCCTCAGTCCAGTACCCCATTTATTCATCCTCTTCCTAATGAAAGTCCATTTGTGACAGATGGGGTAAAACTCAGGAGATCATGAGTTCCAATCCTCCACTGGGCACAAAAGCCAGCTTTCAAACCAACCCACTCTTCATGGGAAAACAGGAGGTAGGCCCATCAGGTTCATATACTGATTTGAGAGGTCCAAAAATAAAGATCAGCTACATATTAAATAACTAACGACCCTCATTAATGGATTTAGCATGTTGAGGAAAGGAAGGAGGGGAGAGGAGAGGAGAAGAGAGGGAAAAGGAAAGGAAAGGGGGAAGGGAGAAAAGAAGGAAGAGAGGGTAGAAAGAGGGGAGGGGAGGGAGGATCCTTAGCAAAGAACGAAATAAACTCTTACCTATACAAAGTGGAGGAGGATAGTTCCAGCGTCGCACAGTTCCAGGCATGCAGGAAATATGAGAGTGTCCCTGAAGCAAGAGAAGAAAGAAAGAAAGAAAGAAAGAAAGAAAGAAAGAAAGAAAGAAAGAAAGAAAGAAAGAAAGAAAGCCATAAGCAGGAAAGAACTGAGAAACAGGCCAAACGGAAAGAATAGGGAGGGTACCTATCTCAGCCAATTAACATTCTTTAGCAAAAACAGGAAATGATACATACTGCAGCCTGGAATAATAATAATAATAATAATAATAATAATAATAATAATAATGATGATGATGATGATGATGATGATGATGATGATGATGATGATGATGATGATGATGATGTTGGAAGGGACTTTAGAGGTCATCTAGTCCAACCCCCTGCTCAAGCAGGAAACCCTATACCATTTCGGACAAATGGCTGTCCAGTCTCTTCTTAAAAACCTCCAGTGTTGGAGCATTCACCGCTTCTGGAGGCAGGTTGCTCCACTGATTAATTGTTCTGTCAAGAAATTTCTCTTTAGTTCTAGGTTGCTTCTCTCCTTGATCAGTTTCCATCCATTGCTCCTTGTCCTGCTTTCAGGCGCTTTGGAGAATTAGCTTGACTCCCTCTTCTTTGGGGCAGCCCCTGAGATATTGGAAGACTGCTATCATGTCCCCCCTCGTCCTTCTCTTCGTTAAACTAGACATACCCAATCCCAGCAGCCGTTCCTTATATGCTTTAGCCTCCAGTCCTCTAATCATCTTTGTTGCTCTTCTCTGTATTCTTTCTTGAGTACAGAGCAGAACATCAAAAGAAGAGCTAAAGGTACACTTGAAAAGGAAAATAGATAAAAGACAAAGGATTTTTTTTTTTAAAAAAAGATACTGCACACAGATGTGTGCGTGTAGGTACACACAATTTTATGACTAAATATGAGATGCTCAAAAGATGCTCAGTAATAGTATTGAATATGGGTTTCTACTCAGAACGACATTTAACAGGAAAATGTATTGTGAAAAAAGTGTTAAGTATATCTAGGAAATGGTAAAATATGGTACAAATCTAAACATTTTTGAACACACAGTACCCCTCTTTAATTCTGGAGTATTTAACTCTACAATTCTAGTGTTTGATTTTGTTATTAATTTTTCAGCAAAATGCATTTCCCACACTTCCAAATACCATCATCCAGAGGAAGATGTAAATTTGATTTTTCAGTATTTTCCAGTAACATACCTGGCAGCTAACAACAGGCATTGAAATCAATTCTTCATGTTGCATCAATTTTTATACCGCAAAGCAACAGGAAGGCTCAAATTACTCAAATTCACTGAGTAATTTTCCTGAGGTCTTCAAACACTTTTAACCAAAGGCAGCCTCACCAAAGATGTTAAAAATGGAACAATTTGATTGCAACCTCTCCAAGATAACCTAGAAAGATTACACTTTATATAATTTGACTGGCACCTACAGATGCTCTTTATATTTAATGCTGATGTCTTGACAAAGGAGACTTCAAAAGAACGTTATGCCACAAAAGTTACAATAAGATTCTTTGCCTTCAAGTACCAAATATTTCTCTAGTGTTCCACTGAGCGATTCAAGAAGTGCTATGATTGAGATTGAGAGTTTCATACCACACTGAAGCAATTCCCTTCATTTTAACTGAAGTTGCTGTATTCTGTGTTCAAGATCACATCAAGTATTAATACCACTTTACAATGCCTTGGTAAGGCCACACTTGGAATACTGTATCTAATTTTGGTCACGACAATGTAAAAAAGATGTTGAGACTCTAGAAAGAGTACAGAGAAGAGCAACAAAGATGATCAGGGGACTGGAGGCTAAAACATATAAGGAACGGCTGCTGGAATTGGGTATGTCTAGTTCAGTGGTTCTCAACCTTTTTAATGCCGCGACCCGCAAGCAATCGTAAGTCAAGGACTACTCAACTGGTCGTAAGTCTAGGACTACTCAACTGGTGCAGAACCGTTTGCAGAATGGGACTTTTGGCGGGCTCAGCAGGGCAGAGAGAGCCTGGACAATTCCTATTGGCTTTTGAAAGCCAATAGAATTAGACTCTATTCAAGAGAGTCTATTCTATTGGCTTTCAAAAGCCAATAGAATAAAAGGGAGTAGCACAGCTAAGGAAAAGGGGAAAAAAATGGCGGACTGCATTGTTTGGTGACCCCCATGAAATGGTCATTCAAAGCCAAATGGTGTCCCGACCCACAGGTTGAGAACCACTGGTCTAGTTTAACGAAGAGAAGGACAAAGGGGGACAGGATAGCAGTGTTCCAATATCTCAGGGGCTGCCCCAAAGAAGAGGGAGTCAAACTATTTTCCAAGGGGCCTGAAGGCAGGACAAGAAGCAACGTATAGAAACTAACCAAGGAGAGAAGCAACCTAGAACTAAGGAGAAACTTCCTGATAGTTAGAACAATTAACCAGTGGAACAACCTGCCTCCAGAAGCGGTGAATGCTCCAACACTGGAAGTTTTTAAGAAGACACTGGACAGCCATTTATCCAAAATGGTATACAGTTTCCTGCCTGAGCAGGGGGTTGGACCAGATGACCTCCAAGGTCCCTTCCAACATTATTATTATTATTATTATTATTATTATTATTATTATTATGACAAAAAGTATTCATGTTCATCTGATAGGATTTGGCAAGCTTCTTCCAAGCCAGTGTTTTTCAAATTGGGCAACTTAAATATTTTTCAAATTTGGCATGCTGGCTCAGGAATTCTGAGAAGTTGAAGGTCACATATCTTACGTTTGCCAAGTTTTAAAAACACTGCTCTGGGCTAATTGTATAAAGTTCATACAATAATTGCCTTCTCATCTTTTCTTTTCCGTGATAGCCAGATATCAAAATGGGCTGTGATGCTCATGTCTCAATGTACATTGATGAAGACAATTTTTTCAGAGTTAAATAACTATTTGGAGAGTGGGTAGGTACCTGGAGAGCATATCCTGGCTCACATTGAAAGGAGACCACATCGTTCACCAGGTATCTTTCACCAATTTTCAAGCCATTACTGGGAACAGGAGATTCTGGACAGCTGGAGAGACCCACAGCTAAAAGGAAGCACAAATAGTTAATCAGTATGTATTTAGCATCCTAACAGTTCCTAACAGTGAGGACAATTAACCAGTGGAACGGCCTGCCTTCAGAAATGAATATATGTGGTACTGTAAAGGATGTCTTGCTAAATAGGCTTTTTTTAGCACTCAAAAATCTAATGCAGATGAGTTAAGGCAGGACAAATGAATGAGTATTTTTGAGTTCCTAAAAACAGCCTCCAAAAGGAGAAGGGGAAAAAAAAGCTTTTAAAGAGGCACTTTGTTAATATGTCAAGCAAGCCCCAAAGCAAAAAGATACATTTAATTTCTCTTTATAAGCTTCATCTTTTTCTTTTTCTGTTCCTGGAAATGGCCAGTTGAGCAGCTAGTCCCTCTTATCTTTGCATTTCTGTATGAGAACTAAGCTTTGAAAGTTGATTAATTCCACAGCACTTTGCCCTGGAGAACTCTTAACAGCTTGGTATCAAAAATATTATTGTTATGAAGTGCCAGCCATGCAGGTGCCTTAGCAGCATGAAATTTGTCTTGACATGGGGAATATATAAAACTGCTACATTGATTTATTCTGTTGATCTACCCAGCCCATGAATACAGCAGCTGTGAATAGTGCAAAGCAAAAATATCTTCTATTCTGTCTACTGGACAACTCGCTGAATGTACTGGAGACTGATCAGGAGATTTTCTGCATAGAAAAATAACGGAAAGAGAGAAGACCTCATATAATGTAACATTTTTTGCAAGATAGGAATGGTTCACAATCATATTATTTTTCAGAGTTTCAAGCTTTCATGATTTTCATCAAACAAACCATTCTGATGATCCTGTGTTTTCTATCAGGCCTTGACTTTGTTGTCTACCAACTTGTATGTTCATTAAACTATGATCTCTAGTTGATTATTGCAGCATAATATTACCTTCCATTAAAGAATTATAAAAGGTAAGAATTAGACGGGATCTTGAAGATCATCTCATCCATCCTTAACCCCATTTCATTAATCTACAGCATTCCTGTTACCTTGCCAATCAGCCTCTGCTTACACACCTCCAGTGAAGGTGAGTCCACCATCTCCTGAAGAATCATTATTATTAAGATTTTTTTCCTGATGTCCACCTGAAGTCTGTTTCCTTATGTTCCAATTTGTCTTCTTGTCCTATCTTCTGAAACAACTCTGAATTATTCTGCCTCATCTTTTGTTGTTAGTTGCAAAATTGTGTCCGACCCATTGCGACTCCATGGACAACTTTCCTCCAGGCCTTCCTGTCCTCTACCATCTTTTGCTTCAGTGATTCCATCCAGCCACCTCATTCTCTATCGTCCCCTTCTTCTCTTGCCCTCCATCTTTCCCAGCACCAGGCTCTTCTCCAGTGAGTCCTTCCTTCTCGTTAGGTGGCCAAAGTACTTGAGTTTCAACTTCAGGATCTGGCCTTCTAAAGAGCAATCAGGGTTGATCTCCTCTAGGACTGACCGGTTTGATCGCCTTGCAGTCCAGAGGACTCGCAGGAGTCTTCCCCAGCACCAGAGTTCAAAGGCCTCAATTCTTTGGCGCTCAGCCTTTCTTATGGTCCAACTTTCACAGCCATACATTGCAACTGGGAAAACCATGGCCTTGACTATATGTACTTTTGTTGGCAGGGTGATGTCTCTGCTTTTTTGTATGCTGTCTAGATTTGCCATAGCTTTCCTCCCCAGGAGCAAGCGTCTTTTAATTTCTTGGCTGCAGTCCCCATCTGTGGTGACCTTGGAGTCCAAGAAGATAAAATCTGTCACTACCTCCAGGAGAGCCATTCCACTGGTTGATTGTTCTCACTGTCAGGAAGTTTCTCCTTAGTTCTAGGTTTGCTCTCTCCTTGATTACTTTCCATCCATTGTTTCTTGTCTTGCTTTCAGGTGCTTTGAGAAATAGTTTGTGGCAGCCTCTCAAACACTGAAACTTGTAGAGAGCTTTAACTCATTTGTATAGAGCTTTATGTGCCCCCGTTTGTTTCTAACCATCACACTAATGCAGGGGTGGGCAACTATGGCAACTTTATGACCTGTAGACTTCCAGCTCCCAGAATTCCTGAGCCACGACTCTAATGCTAGCAAAATCTTTTTAAAAGGAGAGGGTTCAGATTTAGTTCTCCCACCCCCACTTCCTGTCTTCAATTATTCCACAAATTCTTTAGCCTAAGGCCATGAAAAACCACCAATCAGTATAGCTAGTAATGAAAGGATCGGTTTTATGACCAGACAAGATAAATCTTTAAACAGCATCCATAGTTTAATAGCAGAGAAAATGCATAAAACCTTAGATCAATCTCTAGCATCTCTAATTAACTAGCTCTGCCTTTTGTGTCTACCTGGTAAATCTCAGAAATAAATCTTGAGGGGATGGAAAAGTATAGGTTGAATTTAAATTCAGGGAAGAAGCATTTGCTAACAGGGAGACAAACACTGCATATAATCATTACACAATAGTGTATGTATTGACAAAAACATTAAGCGATCTTTGAAAAATCAATACTTTTTTTTTTTTAAAAAAAAAAAAGCAAGACTGGCTACTGTACACAAGGAAAGATGTTTTATGACCTGTTTCAAGCTCCATAATTTTAAAAAGTAAGGTTGCCTTAAAGGACTCTACGGATCAACAAAAGTACAATTTACAAATCACAGGAAATAATAGCACTGTCGTTTGAAAGTTTTCAGACAAACTCAAACAAGTTAGAGAAAGATGATGAAGAATATTCTTTCTACTCAGGTAATATTAAGGAGGGATTTAAGCCCTTGAAGGCCTGTAAAGCAGTGGTTCTCAATCTTTTTAATGCCGCGACCCCCAACTGGTCGTAAGTCGAGGACTACTCAACCGGTTGTAAGTCGAGGACTACTCAACTGGTGCAGCAACATTTGCAGAATGGGACTTTTGGCAGACTCAGCAGGGCAGAGACAGCCTGCACAATTCCTATTGGCTTTTGAAAGGCAATAGAATTAGACTCTATTCAAGAGGGTCTATTCTATTGGCTTTCAAAAGCCAATAGAATAAAAGGGAGTAGCACAGCTAAAGAAAAGGGGGAAAAAATGGCGGACTGCGTTGTTTGGCGACCCCCGTGAAATGGTCGTTCGACCCCAAATGGGCTCCCGACCCACAGGTTGAGAACCACTGCTGTAAAGGAACAACAAAAGGCTACAAAAAGCTAAATGTCAATGGAGACTCTCAATTATCCCAAAGATGCTTTTTCAGGAGACAACTGGACTTTGTTTTTCTTTGAAGACGTTTCGCTTCTCATCCAAGAAGCTTCTTCAACTCTGACTGGATGGTGGGGAATGGAAGGATTTATACTCCTGCAGACAGCTGTTCATTTGCATTCTTTTAGCAAGTCTTTAATGCTACCTGGAGGCTTAGCTGTGTCGTCAGGGTCACCTGAGTAGTGAAAATGGGCGTGGAGCCTTCTTGGAAGTGCTGAAAGGACTGGAGATAGATGGTGTTGTATCCCTCCCCCTCAAAGGGAAGGTCAGTGAATAGAAGACCAAAGCCTAATTTCTACATGGAGAACCTAAAGAGAATAAGTATGTTCACCTCTGAGAAAAGAAACTAAGAGGAAATATGGAATCATTTTGGAAAAACCTGATGGGATGTACTATAGAAGGCAGCCAAGACATTATTATCCCAAAAATCTTGGGCATGAAATCAAGGATTTAAGTTACAAGATGGCAGATTTCAATACCAGTTGCACAATACTAGTTACCAAGGACGGTGGTAGGCTCTCATTTAATGGCTGGTTTCAACTTGAAGTTGGAGAGTCATTTATTTGGTACACTGGAGTTGGGAATTTGGATTCCTGCACAAATCTGGGATTTGGGCTTGATGGTCTCCTCCAATAGTAAGACTTTTGGGATTAATTTCTAGGTTCTGTAGTTACTTGGTTTGAATCCAAACTGTTCTAGAACCCACCCAAGGCACTTCTCTGAGAATTTACCAGTCACTGATTGCATATCCCATCCCTTTCTTCCAATTGCTTGGATTTACCGAATCTGGGATGCATCAGAAGTGGGACACACCATATCTTCCATTTGCAGAATGACTGCAACTTGGCACACACACGCTAAACAATTGGCACTGTGTTGAAATGAGCTTACTTTTGTACTCCAGGTGAAATCCAGCAGCAGAGACACTGATGTCAGAGTAGAAGTGCAAATAGAGCTGGTTAGAGGTACTGTTGAGCAAGGCTGGGACAGTGGTACCTAATGGAAGGGGAGAGAGATGCACACACATCAGAGGAAGGAATCAGTCAGAGGGCATATTTTAGAGTGCTAGGAGAGGATCCTGTTCAGGCCAATCTTGACATGCTGGCTGGAGAATTCTGGGAATGAAGTCCACACAACTTCAAATTGCTCAGGTTGAGGAACATTGCTCTAGATCAATTTTAAAATTTTAAATGGACAATTTATATAACTGAAAGCTATAAGGGACCCTCCCTAATCGTTCATATCCTATATTCAATTGTTTTGCAGAGTGGGCTTTAGTCTGGCTTTAGTCTTCTATAGGGAAGAAACAATAAAGAAACTAGATTCTGGTGCATAGGCTTGAGCAATACATCTTTCTGAATTGCAGCTTAATGTACGGCCGTGATCCTTTGTGTCTGACAGAGAAGGGTAACAATAGAAAACCAGTCTGAGTAACTCACTGTGTCATTCTTGGTTCCTTGCACCTAAGATACCATGTCTAATGCTTTCTTTTATATACCACTTACACTTTTCAGATACATCACTTGCCTCTTCTTATACCCCATTGTAGTCGTGCGATTTCTATGGTGCCTTCAGATCTTACCTGAGAAGCTGCCCAACATGGTGGCTGTGTTGTCCCCTCCATCAAAGACTTCTAGCGAATCCCAGTTCTGTTCTGTGACAAAACTGATCACTTGAATCTGGGAACAGAGAAAAGGCCAGAGGAGAGAGGAAAAAAAAAATGATAGTGATGATGATGATGAAAGTAACAATTGCTATTAACATTACTATTGTTAGTTGTACCATTCAGAATGAAAGGTTACCAGTACTACTAACAGTACCATTTCATATGCAATCCGTAAACCAAATGTAGTTTAATTTTTGATGGTAGATTCACCAACTTTGTAAAACAAATTCTTTTCACACTTAATTTATCAGTGTGGAAATCTCAGTGTGTCTACTTTAGAGTGAAGGGTTTTGAAATGCACTGAAGAACATCTTGAGGCCTCTTCTTTGATGCAGTTTTAATTAAATATGGGGTTCCAAGTTTCATTGTTAACCCCATGGCAACTGAGATCCTGCCTTTGAATACATCTGAAATCTCTCTGCCATCACATATGGCTTAAGTCTGGTAGATAAGATCCTCAGAATTATAATGCAGAGGCTAACCAATCTCTCACAGCACTGAAATCTCTGAAATCTGTCAGTTATGCTCTCTGGGAAATGTTTTTCCCAGAGAAACACGGTTAGGGAATTCAGTTTCAGACAGGCCAATCTAAGAGTTAAAATCCTTAATCCTTGATATAATCCCTGATCATACACACTTTCTTCTCGCAATGGGGATTTTTTTTTTTAGTGAAATGGCATGCTACATAAAACATTTTCCACTTAATTATGATATCTGCCCTTTAGCCAGGATGGCATTTGGGACAAATGTATCCCATGGAAAATGCAAAATTTGTTCTTCACTGAAGGCAATAGAAAAAAACAAACACTGGGTTGTTTGGCAGGGTGGCAATAAATAACTGTTTCTGACATTTTCAGTTGTTTTCTTCCTTAATGTATCCTAAAGCCATTTTGTGAAAACTTTAAATCAAAACATAAACAAACCACAAAAGCCTTTAGAATTCATCTCAACAAAATGCTAATAACCCCCACAGAGCCTTTACAAATTGCTCCGGAATCTACATAATTATCCAACTTGTTTGATAATATATTAACGGTTCATATAGCAGCAAAGATTTTTTTAAAAGGAAGATAAAAATGAATGTAAAGTAAGGAAAAGGGGGGAGAAAGAAAGAAAGAAAAAAGAAGGGCAAAAGTGCAAGAGTGGAAAAAAGAAAAATAGAAAAGAAATAATTATCCAACTTGAATTCTATGTCATGGTTCAGACTAATGGAACACTTCAAAGAATTTACAGGCATTGTTTATCCTAAAAAGTCTTTAATCATGTAAACACAGTGTCCACAGGCATGGAGGATGCCAAGCTCTGAATTCACCTCTCTTGAACACATAATATTCCAGTTTATTTCCCTCCTCTATTTTGCAGTCATAAATCACATTCTCCAATCAGTTTGAAGAGCAAAGGTTCCCTCCCAAGTATTTCTTATCTTAATTAATCCCCACACACATTCTTTCTCCTCCCCTCCCAGCATCATCTAAGTTAACTCTAAAAATACCAGACAGCTCTACACATTTTGTCAGAGCAAGAACATCCAATGCTAGCAGCGTTGGCATTCTATATAATAGACTCCAAAGCTGGTTTTATTTTCCTTTTCATTCCTCTTTCCTCTCTTTTTTTTCAGAAGGGTTTTTTTTAGGGGGGGAACAGAGGGGGTAATTTTAAAGTTGTAATTCTAAGGTGATGTGCAGCATTTCAGCAATTGCAATGTATATTTACTACCAGGGAGAACTGCTGCTTGGGAAATGAATAATTCATACAAAAAGTCCTAGCAAGTGAATAGATTGTACAAAATCTCCTTGGTCAGATACAGCCTACAGTCCACTTCTAAGAATGCTTTTATTCTTAGCAGCTCACCTGATTTGCCAAGGATTAACCTGGAATACAAAACAGAAGTTGACGGAAGTCTAATACAATCCAGATGTTATGTACTCAGTTGGCCATTATTAAAACACTCTGGTTTTGTTTATAGCAACACAGAGTTACAGGCAGACATTCACACCTTAGTCACACATGCTAAACTGTCAACTCAGCCCAAATTGTTTGCAGAATTTCTGCAGTTATCCTAGCAGGATCCTAGCACATCGTTCTAAGGATCAGGGCTCATGCATCATGCATTCTGGTTATGCTTGTAAGGACCTACTTCATCCTTCTACAAACAAATCAAACACCTTTCTTCAAGGCTAGGTTTTAACTTCAGGTGGTTCCTTTTCTCCTGGTTTAAGGTCTTGTATGAACCCAGACTGCTTAGTTCAGTTCAGTTTAATCTGGAAAGCTAGAAACTGAGTTAATTTAGTAAAGAAGGTAAAGAAAGCAGCCTTAGTTGTGTGTACCAGTGCAAGATTTTCTTGAATTTCCCAGAAAGTTTTCATAAAGTCATGGCCATCTTCAAGGAGACATGTCATGCCATGAAGACATCACACTAGTGATGCTAATTATATAATTTGCTTCAGTTGCATCTCATTTCTGTGATGACATAATGATGTACATGGCAATGTTCCAAAGTTTGGAAAACACTGGGATAGAATATGGAGAGAGAAGGAAACAGTATAGTTCCTCAAGAAGAGGAAGAAAAACTACATTTTTCTGAAATATATTTCTTTCTTGTGAATATCATTATTTTACCTTCAGTTCATATGATCTATTAGCTTCTAAAGTAGTGTTTCTCAACCTTGACAATTTTAAGGCATGTGGACTTCAACTCCCAGAATTCCACAGCCAGCGTTGCTGGCTGTGAAATTCTGGGAGTTGAAGTCCACATGCCTTAAAATTGTCAAGGTTGAGAAACACTGTTCTAAAGACATTCTAATTTAGATACTGCTTTCCAAGGAAACAGAGAGAGAGAGAGAGAGAGAGAGAGAGAGAGAGAGAGAAAAGTATTAATAGCAGGTTGTTTTTCCCAGTAGCTCTTTCTCCACCTCCACTGAAATTAACAAATGAATGGAATAAATTATCGCCTTGATATCGCAAGTGTCAAGTGTTTTGCAATACGTTTAGCGGTTCTGCTAAAATGATCTTCCTTTTTTTTCTTCCGTGCTATAACAAGGCATACATATCTCAAGAAATCCAGGGCAAAACTAAGTAGAATTAAAAAACAACAACAATGGATCTGCTAATCAATTTTGATACTCGCAAGAAAATACGCCTTGTGAATTTGGAAGCTGCAAAACGATCCTGTTATGGCGCTAATTGGTGCCGTCTCTTTTGCCAGGCTACTGAAGCAAAGCAGGATTTTCCCTCCCTTAAATATAGATATTCTAAAGAACTGCAATTGGTCCTGCAGTTGGATCAGACCAAATTATTCCTACTAAAAATCCAAAAACTTTAGCAACTTATCATCGGTTTCAAAGAACCAGCTCCCTCACTGTATACATTTCATTTGAAAAAGCTTCATGTTGTGTATGATGCTAGTAGTACATACTACTCTTCAAACTATGTAGTCCTCAGCGAGCAAAGATTTAATAAAAGTAATATAATTATATATCCCACATTTCTCCATAACAACTTTTCCCAACCTGAAGACCTCCAGATGGAGGGTTTTTACTCTCCTAATTGCCTAGTCAATTATGGATATGGAATCCTAAAGGACGCCAAGCAGGGAAGCTTCTGCTATCAGATCATTTCTTTCAGAAATGAAAGTATCTGCGGCTTTTATCTCAGACAAACCTTTCTGAAGGTTCCGCGTTTTTCTTCGGGCATCAGCTTTCATGTTTAGCAATCTTGGATGACCACTAGCACTCTCGCACATAGTTAAATAAAATAGCTTGAAGACAATACTGCTCTCTTCCACCAAAAAAAAAAAAAAAAAAAAACTAATAATGATGGAAGATAAGGGGTAGAATTGACTTTGAAGATCAAGCCCATCCTTCTCCCAAAGGCAGAAATTTATGATAGGTAGTCCTTGATTTTTGAACCACAAAGCTGTGGAATCTTCTTTCTGTCCTGTTCCATCCCATCCCATTCCATCGTAACTGATAATCTGATAATCATATTTTCACATCCTTCACCTAAGACAGTGCTTCTCAACCTTTTTAATGCCGCGACCCCCAACCGGTCGTAAGTCAAGGACTACTCAACTGGTGCAGCACCGTTTGCAGAATGGGACTTTTGGCGGGCTCAGCAGGGCAGAGACAGCCTGGACAATTCCTATTGGCTTTTGAAAGCCAATAGAATTAGACTCTATTCAAGAGAGTCTATTCTATTGGCTTTCAAAAGCCAATAGAATAAAAGGGAGTAGCACAGCTAAAGAAAAGGGGGAAAAAATGGTGGACTGCGTTGTTTGGTGACCCCCGTGAAATGGTCGTTTGACCCCAAATGGGGTCCCGACCCACAGGTTGAGAACCACTGACCTAAGACATAAATCTCTTAGATGGCACAGAGCTTCTAGTCAACCAGCTCAATGGAAAACCGTTTGCATGCAATTGTCAGATAGGATATTTAAACATATGCCCTGTTGTAAGCATGGAGTCACATCCACCTGGGAGAGGTCCCTACTTGTAATAGAAAAGGGGTCCCCAACCCCAGGTCTGTGGACCTTACCGGGCCGCGGCATACCACAACCAGTCTGCACAAACAAGCAAAGCCCCATCCATGGGATGCAGGCAGCACACAAAACCACACACTCTCCGGTTTGCAGAATAACTTATTTCCACATAACTGGTCCCTGGTGCTCAAAAGGTTGGGGAACTCTGCCATAGAAGACATGAAATATTGACCTGTTCTTGACTGGGCAACCTCAAATCCTTCAGGACAAGGAGCTGACCATTATCCAGTGACATGTCTGGTTAGTTTAGGAAGAGAGGCAGCAGGGCGGGTACTTCTGTTAACTAAGAGTATCTCCAGTTCTCCCAATTACCTGAGCACAGCAGTGGTCATCAGTGCTTTTAAAACTGGCAGACTGCTGCACAGACTGCTTAGTGAGAAAGAATTTCTATCCTACGCTTTGCTTTCCATCTTCAAATCTGAGCTAGCGGGGCCATCAAAAGAAGAACCTTGCTATCAGATTTTGCATCTGACAAAGTGAGCTGCATAGCTCATGCCCTCTAACAAAATTTCTATTAGCCAGAAAAGATGCTATCAGATCCTTTCTGACTCTCCAGTTGCCATAGACATAGCCCTCCAACCTACAATGTCTTCTGTGAGATAAATAGTCTCCTTGACACTTGACACATCAGTGCTTTCATACAGAATTAAATCCTGGATAGTCGTTTTATCAATAACTAGGCTAACAGAGGGAAAATAGATTTGAAGACCAACATCTTGACTTCTTGGCTAGGCTACAAGCTGAAAGAAAGACAGAGAGCAGTCTTTGTTCAAATCCTTTCTTCCCGATCCCGGGCTGGCTTGTCAACCTAGCCATTCTTCACAACCGTGCTTTACCTGAATTCCAGCACCTTCAGGGACAGTTATTTTCCACACACAGTTGAGGCTGTTCAAGTAGGGCTCCGGGAATCCAGGGGACAAAATGGTGCCTTTTCGCTCTGTTAAGTTTCCACCACAAGGCACTGAAACAGACAACAAAGTCTGTGTTACATCACCAGTACTTGAGACTGAAATCATTCTACTCATGAATGGCAGTTAGGTACCCATTTCTACTCCCCAGAATTATTATCCGATTATTCTTTCAAATGCCTAGCTTCCCCCACCCTAAAACCCAAGGGCAGGTTTTGATTTTCGTTGCATAAGTTGCCATGTATTCAAAAAAGCCAAAAGACAATCCATAATTTCCATTCACCTCGGCATCTTTTGCACACAGACATAATCACTGTTCTTCTGACTGACAGTTGCTGCTTCACGTCATGATCCTCCTTCGGCACGTAACCCAGGTACCATAACCTGCCTTTCCACTTTGAAGAAGACAACCTTCCACATACTGCTTTTGCTACGGTGACCCTCCCTTGTTTGGAGATAAAAGTCTGGTAGCACCAGTTAAGACCAACAAAGATGCTTCCAGACTTTTAAATTCTGGGCTACCGTAGACTAGCATGGTTCTCCTCCTATATTGTTTGAATATAACAGGGAAGGGGAGGCAGGGCATGTTATGGGTCCCCTTGATTAGGGATGTACATCTAATGCAGGCCTGTCAAACTCGCCATGTCACATGATGTCGCACAACGTATCGGGCAGTTCAGTCCTTGGCAGATACATACCAAGACAAGTAGGCACCGAAGTGTTCCACTGGGCAAGAGTTCCAGGCATCGTCAAGCATTCAATGCTGTGGGACCCCTTGAGGGCATATCCAGCAATACACTCAAACTGGATCACAGCCCCCACCGAGAAATCGCTGCCAATCCGTCTCCCGTAGCGGGGCTCTGGCACAGAACTGCACTGGGTGGCACTGGTTCGTGGAACCGCTTCAAAAGGCAGAGAAAAGAGAACAGTATGGAGCAGGATAGATACTGAACTCAATGGAAAGCTTGTTCATTGAGCTTGGCTTTCAAGCTCTTCAAATAAACTCTTCTTGTAAGAGATCAAGGGTAAAACATGGACTTCAAAAGTGTCCTTGTGTTGTAGCCTGTGTTGAAACTGTCTTTATCATTATTTCCAGGCAAGGCAGTGAAACATGACCTTTTCTTCATCCTCCAGCAAAATTCCCAGAGGCAAAACATACGGAGCGTCATATGATAAATAGCAAAAGTTATTAGAAAAATTACTCTCAATATCTAAAAGATTAAGTCCTTATTTTTCCCATTTTTTTCTGATTTTTTTTTTTTTTAGGGAAGATCAGTCCATTCCAGAAATAAACATCAGGACCTTCTGCAGTTGAAATTTAGTGCTGAATCTAAGTGACACTATGGAGAACATAAAGGTAAACAAAGAGTCCGGTGTTTATTTATGTTTTAAATTAAGAACATTAGAGGCTTGGTAAGCAGATGCTTTTGTATAAGAGCTAAAAGTTAGAAGTCAGCTAGAACATCACCTATAATGCACATAGTATCTGAAATAATTCCTTCTCAGGACCAGATTTTATTGAGTTCTTTCTTTGCCTATTTTATCTGCTGTGTATCAATTTCATTGGTCAATTATGGCACCGAAACAGATGATAAGTAGGTAATGATTGATTCTGCCATAAAAAAACCCCATGAAGTGGATAAGAGGTGGGGTACTGAGGCTTAGGGCTACGGAAAGAGTAGATGGATACAGACATTTGTCCACACACAAGAGACAAAATATTCAGAGTTCAAAATAAGCATTTCAGTTGTTCTGACTGCAGAATGAAATTTCCATCTTGAAAGTTTACCCCTAAAGTTCAGGATAAAACAGTGCACTTTGTGCTGTTTTAAGCAACATGATCCCCAAATTTGACTTTTTTAGAGAAAAGAAAAACAGAATTGCAGTAGTCAATAAAGTTGCAGAAACAGATTTTAGTCTAATGCTGTTGCTGCAGAGAGAGGACATTCTCTCTCTCTCTCTCTCTCTCTCTCTCTCTCTCTCTCTCTCTCTCTCTCTCTCTCTCTCTCTCTCTCTCTCTCTCTCTCTCTTTGTGTGTGTGTGTGTTTGTGTGTGTGTGTGTGTGTGAGAGAGAGAGAGAGCGAATTAGTCAAGCACATCCTTATTATTTGGCCTAGTTCTTTGTGTAGTGAGACTTAAGTTTAGAAATTAGAGATAGATTTGAAACCGAGATTCATTTAGAATCAACAACTGCTGGCCCAGGCAACGTGCCTCATATGTAATTCCCTATATTTAGTAAATATTGTGGATTTTCTTGGCAAGTAAAACCATGCTTGCCTCCTGTCATCTGGTTAGGGTGTATTTTTGATCCCTTGTCAAGAAGAAGGCATTCTGTGAGCTTCTCACTCATTGTGGAATGAGGTCTTCTACGACACCCAAGTAACCAGAGGCAGATTACAAGATGGATGAGAAAGGTATCACTTTGGTCAAGGTGGCCATAATACAGGATTAATCAGATCTGGCAACACTTATCTAATGATGTATCTAAAAAAAAGAGTCTTTGTGGACAGGTGACACCGTGATACGTATATGCTTAAGTGTAGATGTTGTCTTATGGAACATTTACTCAAGTCAGCAGCCTAAGAAGTGTGTCTTTGCTGCTGCTTTATTATTTATAAGTGGCCTTCAAGTAAATCCATTGCTGTTACTTCTTGGCTGGACTCAAGTTCCCGGCTGTTTGCAGAGACAATAATGCACAACCTGTTTTTAGCTTCAACTGTTTGCCACGCAGTTGCTTAAAAACAAAACAAAACAGCACCCCCCCAAAAAAAACCCCACCATCCCCCTGGCCAATATTTCTGTTGACTGGAAGATAGGTTGAGTTCAGCCCAGATTACATTTGTGATTCTAAGACAAAAGCAAAGCAGGAAATTTGCAGTTGTTCTTTCTGGATTTGAAACTTGATGTCAAGGTTCCGACTAATGAAACACTTCAAAGAACTTCCAGGCATTGTTTATCCTAAAAAGTCTTTAATCATGAAACAAAGTGTCGGCACAGCATGGTGAATGCCAAGATCTGAATTCCCCTCCCCTGAGCACATAATATTCCAGCATATTTCCCTCCTCTAATTTGCAGTCATAAATCACATTTTCCAATCAGTTTGAAGGGCAAAGTTTCCCTTCCTTCTGTAGCCTGTGGTTTGTTATCTTAACTAATCCCCACAAACATTCTTTCTCCTCCCCTCCCAGCATCATCTAATTTAACTCTAAAAATACCACACAGCTTATACAGAGAGTGGCTGCCTCTTCATATTTTGTCAAATCAAGAATATCCAGTGTTAGCAGCGTTGACATAAGAGTTTTCTGAGATCATGTCCAAGTGATACTGTCTTGTTCCAAAGCCAAAAACAGGTGTTTTTTTCTCTTTTACAACCATTACCTTGTATGTACAGGTAATCTCCAACTCACAACCAAAACTGGGACCAGAATTTCCTTTGCCAAGCAAAGCAACTGTTAAGTGTGTCACACCCAATCTTACAACCATTTTGGCCATGGTTGTTAGGAAAAATCACTGCAGCTCTCAAGTGAATCTTGCACTCATTAAGTGAATGTGGCTTCCTCCCATTGACTTTACTTGTCAGAAGCTGGTTGGGAAAGTCACAAATGGCAATTGTGAGATCCCAGGACATAGCAACCATCATATATTTATTTACCAGTTGCCAGGCACCCGAATTTTGATCCCATGATATGGCCTGAAATGGTCATCAGTGTGAGGACCAATCATGTCACTTTTTTCCGGTGCTGTTGTAACCTTGAACGGTACTTAAAGGAATGGTTTGTAGGTCGAGGAGTATCTATCCCAAACCAAAGTGATACATTTGCTGCGCGTGGTAAAGACTTGAGGACCATTTGGATGAAATAAGAGATGAATCTGATGTGAGCTTAAGAAGGTCAGGCATAAGAATTAGGAAACGCCTGTTTCCATTGCAATTTCTTATAGAAAGGCAATCAGCAAGAACTGCAGGGATGGGAGCTTGCAATTACATTTAGGAGGAAGGGAGGAAATTCTCATTTGACTTCTTCAATGTCTAGTTAAATCATTAAAAATTGCTATCAAAATATGTTTTCCAAAACAGGCTGGGTGTTGATTGAATGGCTCTCTGATTAGGCAGACAAAGCATCAGAAGGAATCCAAACTGAGCTTCTCTGGGGTGGCTCACACTTTGCTCTAAATCAAACCCCCCCCACACACTTCCAAGGGGCAACTTTGCTGCTGAGGTCCTTCTGGAGAATCACTCTCAAGGGCCTTTTTCTTATCCCCTCTGGAGAACATCAGGCATACCAGATGTGTAATTTATTAGGAGTTTCCATTGAAGCCTTTGAAAAACATCCTGGGGGGGGGGAGAAAACAAAAATCTGTGAAAAAAGTAAAGCTTGTTCAAAGAATCTAAAAGTAGCATTTCAAGAGAGGCTTTTGGTGGAAACCCAGGAAGGTACTTAGCATATACTCACAAAAGCAGCCTATTTAGGAGGGAAAGAGATGGTGAGGGGTCAGCCTCTGGATATTTTCCACTTGAAAAAAAAGCAGTGTAGTTATGGTCACTAGGGTGGCTACTGACATTTGAAACTTATAATAATAATAATAAAATTGGAAGAGACCTTGGAGGTCAACTAGTCCAACCTCCTGCTCGGGCAGGAAACTCTATATCATTTTGGACAAATGACTGTCCAGTTTCTTCTTAAAAACGTCCAGTGTTGGAGCATTCACCGCTTCTGGAGGCAGGTTGTTCCACTGGTTAATTGTTCTCACTGTCAGGAAGTTTCTCCTTAGTTCCAGGTTGCTTCTCTCCTTGATTAGTTTCCATCTGTTGCTTCTTGTCCGCCCTTCAGGTGCTTTGGAAAATAGCTTGACTCCCTTTTCTTTGGGGCAGCCCCTGAGATATTGGAACACTGCTATCATGTCCCTGAAGTGCTGGCTTGTTTAGAGTTGAGCGTGGCTGTCTTTGCTTTCTTTGCACAAGATCTCTCTGTCAGTTCTCAAGTGGGAGTCACGGAACCACTAAACCACAGAACTGGAAGGAACATCTCAACTCATTTAGTCCATTTCCTTCTCAATGCTTGATCACTGTCAGGCTCAGCCAAACATCCAGAGTTTTCAGTTCTGTACCTGCTTACATACAATAGACAGACTCTTGCCAAACTAAACCTATAGAGATATACCCTGGGTGATGGCTATCCATATGCTCTGAATCCTATCCACAAGGCTGCAATGTAATATTTTTTTTGTTTTTGAGAATTCTCCTAGTTCTGGAGTGTCTAATCTTTTTCTACTTAAAATTTTGACCATGTACTCTTATCACATAGCTGTCAGGAGACGATGCTGGCTCACTCACAAAATGGCTTCAGTGGATGACATAAACATGTACCAACATCTACTCACCTCAATATTACTTGCTAACCCTTCTGGCCCTTGTAGGACACTCCCTACATCCTTACAGCTACATTTGGTGGCTATCAACGACTTTGGAAATAAAGATGGGGATGGAAGTTGGTTTGTTCCTCATCTAAGCATTGTCATTATTGTTGTTATCTCATCAAAATGTAGATGTGTGTGCTGAAGGAGGTCACTGGTCACTGTCAACCCTGAGTCTCAAGAGAGATTGTGACAATGGAACAATTTCAACACAGACCTAGTTCTGTACCCACAATTCTTTTCCAGACAGGGGTTGCTGGAAAAAAAGATTTGCTTGGTGTAATGGAGAACTACTAAAATAGTTTCCATTTGTTCTGAGGACTCTGTAGTTTCTTATTTATATTACAAAGGGCTATAATTTTATAAATGAGAAGCATAGATGGAGCTTTACGGCATTTTTTTAAGACTAGCAAAGTAAATCAGTGGGATCTGTAATAAAGTTCTGCTGAGTTCTCATATCTAACAAACTGACCAAACTGATTTTTGGATTTTTTTTTTTTTTAAAATTCATTCCTCTTCTACTGAATTTCCATTCCAATTCTATCAGACATTGCTTAAATTCAGATTAAAGCCTAAGACATAAACTCTGATTAGCAAAATTCAAGTGCTTTCTTCACTTGAACATGCACTGCGTAAACAGGGGGATGTCAGGAGAGGTTGACAATTTAAAGGAAAAACTGATGCAATAAGATTTTACTAGGATGGATTTCTCAACAAAGACATGATAAGGCATGATAAGTTGGAGAAAATTTGAACTTTGTTTAATGAATATGAATGAATTAAGGTTTAATATTATTTTGTTATTTTAAAGAGATGGATTAACTTTGGGATTACATATATATAGGGCTGATTAATATTTTATAGCTATTAAGATATCTATTGTGTAGTGGAAGAAGAAATAAATGAGTTTGGTGATAAAATGAGGGATGTGAGAGATTAAGAATTAGAACTGATAAATTTTTGTTTTAAATTTAAACTATTGTAATTGTAAACTGATACAGTTATAATACAGGTTTAATAGTCATAGAAATTTAAAATAGAAATGGAATATTTAAATGTATTGTGTTAACTGAGGGGAATAGAGAGGGGATAGTGAAATTTATTGAGTTGTGTTGTTTATATATATTTTTACTTTTGAATGTTTGACCACTCAACCATCATGGTGGGTCCTGAGTACTTTTTGCTTAAGAATTTAAAAAAACCAATAAAATGTCTTTAAAAAAAAAAGATTTTATGTCTGAGCCCAGAAGACTTCTGAGTTTACATTTAAAGTCACTGTAAATTGCAGCGTGGCATATTCTCCATTCAGAAAACTTCGGGCCACAATCTTCCCTATTATTTCTGGAGTGCTTATGCTCTATTTTTATTTGACTGTCACAGTCAGCAGAGTTATTTCCAGACCCCTCACGTACCTTGATAGACAAAATGGAAGCCTTTGGCTGTAACCTGCCCTTTGGCACTGAATTTGATCAATATTTGGTTGGTGGTAGCCAGAGGCAAGGATTCACCTAGGAAAGGAGGAAAGAAACAAACCTTTAGCAAAAATGCAATAAAATAAGACACCTTGACTTAGTTCTTTACTAGGCTTTGGGACCACATTGCCACCTACATTTTATGAATGGCACACCTTCAAATTAGGTAAATTAAACTCCAGTAAGGTAAAAATTTTGATTTATGAGAAATTATAGCATATAGCAATGGTGGAATGACTTCCCTTTTCCCTGTGGATTGAGCTGGAAATCGCCAAGGCTAAACGTTTTAGACGACCACAAAGAACACACGCAAATAGCCATCACAGAACTGATATCAAAGCAGGAATAGGTGGAAGGGAACAAATAGACCAGGGGTAGGCAAACCTGGCTCTTTTATGACTCGTGGACTTCAACTCCCAGAATTTCTGAGTCAGCTATGCTGGCTCGGGAATTCTGGGAGTTGAAGTCCACGAGTCATAAAAGAGCCAAGGTTGCCTATCCCTGGAATAGACTGAACATACAGAGCATGGTTTTTTAACAATTACATAATCAAAGGCATGCGTACAGTTTTTGATGGACATTTCTTAGGAAGCTTTTTTACCCAGAGGAGGAAGAAACAGGCAGAACCTCTCCTTACCTGTATGAGAACCAGAGAGAGAACTGAGGAGGCGGGAATGTTGGTTTTGACCATCATGTACTTCAATGATGTCATGGAGAGCTGTCTGGAAGAAGGCAAACTGGCCAAATACCACTATCAGAAGGAAAGAAATAAATAAAGGTGGGCCATTTAAACATAGGAGGAGGTGCACACATTGATCATCACTCTCTATGAGACCAGATTGATGCCCTTGTGTTGGCAAAACTGAAGCTAAAATGGAGCTGAGAGACGTGTAAAGGTGCTTGAGCCCCAAGATTTTGAGAAGGGGCTATTAATGCACTGCATCCAACTCTCTGACCGGTTCTGGAGTCCTATTTAAAGCATCCCTGTCATTTATTTATTTTATTTATTATATATATATGCCGCTCATCTTACTGTCCAGCACCCATGTGAGAGATCAGCTTTTCTCAACCTTAGGACCTTTAAGATATGTGGAGTTAAACTCCCAGAATTTCCCAGCCTGCATTTCTCACCCAGAATTCCCCTGCAAATTGAAGGGCAATTTACCAGTTATCTGGAATAGAATAGAATAGAATAGAATAGAATAGAACAGAGCAGAAGGAATGAAGAATAGAATAGAATAGAATAGAATAGAATAGAATAGAATAGAATAGAATAGAATAGAATAGAATAGAATAGAATAGAATAGAATAGAATAGGATAGGAGAACAGAACAGAACAGAACAGAACAGAAGGAATGAAGAATAGAATAGAATAGAATAGAGAACAGAACAGAACAGAGGGAATGAAGAATAGAATAGAATAGAATAGAATAGAATAGAATAGAATAGAATAGGAGAACAGAACAGAACAGAACAGAAGGAATGAAGAATAGAATAGAATAGAATAGAATAGAATAGAATAGAATAGAATAGAATAGAATAGAAGAGAAGAGAAGAGAAGCTAGAAGGGACCTTGGAGGTCTTCTAGTCCAGCCCCCTGCTCAAGCCAGAGAACCTATACTGTCTCAGACAGGTGACTGTCCAGCCTGTTCTTAAAAACCTCCAGTGATAGAGCTGGTTCAGCTGTCAAATTGCTCCTACAGTTCAGAGCTTTTTCCTAACATTCAATCAATATTTATCCTCCATGAATTAAAATGATTGTTATAAACCTCCTTTCTGTGATCAGAATATGTCTTGGCCTTCTTCTGCGTGATATATTTTTATTCTGCATGATATCCCCCTTTCTGTATGTATTTGACCAAATGCTGAAGTTAGCAGATGTATATAAATTTATTCCCTCTTCCAAATTTATCCCAGAAGAGGGAATTAAGCTATTTCCCAAAGCACATGAAGGCAGGACAAGAAGCAACGGGTGGAAACTAATCAAGGAGAGAAGCAACCTAGAACTAAGGAGAAACTTCCTGACAGTGAGAACAATTAACCAGTGGAACAACCTGCCTCCAGAGGTGGTGAATGCTTCAATACTGGAGGTTTTTAAGAAGAGACTGGACAGCCATTTGTCCGAAATGGTGTAGGGTTTCCTGCCTGAGCAGGGGGTTGGACTAGATGACCTCCAAGGTCCCTTCCAACTTTACTACTATTACTATTATTAAATGCCACTTCAATGTGGACTAATATGCTTAATAGAATTTGACCCCCACAGAACATGACCAAGAAAAGAGGGGGGGAGGGTCAAATGAGAAGGGATGGAGCAGTGAGGGGAAGAAACTGGCTTAAAATTTGGTGGACTCTTTTAGAAAAGTCGCTTTTCCTTAGAGTTTGAATACCTACAACTAGATAAGGGCCACTTATATACTGAAACCAGTAGGATTATGAAAGACTCTCTTCTATTCTATTATAACAGCAGTTTGAAGCTCTGAGGTTTCATCCTTCTGCGCAAGAAGAGTCATTGGAAATATTGACAACTTCCAGCACGTTGCAGTCAATGGACCAATTTGGGATATTATCCGCTGTTGTTCTGTTTCTGAAACTCTACCTTTGCTTGTCCTGTTGGTATCTTCAGCAATTCAAGAAGGGAAAGGATGAATGCAGGAAGTATTAGAAATATACAAATGTGAAGGTCAACTTTGACTTGGATTTAAGTTCACCCCGTTTTGGATTGGTTTGGCTACAGCAGTGCACTAGTTTATTCATCCAATCTGTTGGTTCATATGTTTAATAAGTATATAGCTGCATTTTCTGGTCTGGTTTTATTTGATTCTGAATCAAAGCATGTTTGACCTTGAGTCATAGGAATTTATGGTTCCAACCAATGGGAGGTGGCAGGACACACATTTGAAACTGAATTATTTATGTTTAATTGCAACTATTTTTAAAATGAGCTATATTCCTGCTTTGGGATTTTCCTACGAGTAACAAGCAAGACATAAATAATATGGGAAAAATAATAATTTTAAAAAAGACTCACTGATTGCTCATTACTGAGAATGGCCAAATGGTAATCAGTGAGTCAAGGTTGGCATTGACACATTTTTTCCCTCTGCTGTATGATAGCCTTGCCAGATTTTAATCGTGACGTTATAATAAATTTCATACCTGGGAATAGGAGAAAATGTGCAAGCTGTGAAAAACTGAGACTACGACCCTTTGCAGGTTTTTAAAATATATTTCATCTCTTAATTTTTAAAACTTGGATTTCACTTTAGCTCTATAAAAAGAGACTCAAGGATGCTCAAATACTAATAGAGTTTTTTTGTAATAAAACTGATATCAAATTTATCATATCTAGGCTCATTCTTGCCGAATGCTAGGGGAAAAAGTCTTCTTGACAGTAAGAGAAATTTGGCAATGGAAGCAATGATCCAGGGAGTGGTAGGCTCCACTTCACCTAGATGTGTCCATATGTATGTTCAAAAATGGACTTTCACCTGGGGGGTGGTGGTTAATTTGGATTTCTCCATTGATCAAGACATTTCAATGATCCTTGCCAGCTCTGCGATTTTATTTTTCCACCCTTACTGAAGCTAATGGACCTTTAGCTAGTAACATATTGAACCAGCTACAAACAATGTCAGGGCCTAGAAGAGGAAACATACAGCCATGTATCAAAAACGTTTGTGGTACTGATTTCTATGCAGTTTTATGCCAAAGCACTAAAGCTCCTTGAAGTTGTAAAATTCTTTAATGGCATATGCATAATTCACAATCTATAGGGGAAAACAAAACCATCTTATTAGTCATTCAGTGGAATGTCTGGCAAGAAAAATCAAGAAAGATACTGTATAAAGAAGGACTTAATTCCAAGCAAATTGTTATTCTCTAGAACAGAGGTCCCCAACCTTTCGGGCACCAGAGACCGGTTTGGTGGAAAGAGGTTTTTCCGCAGACTGGAGGGCGTGTGGTTTTGTGTGCTGACTGCATCCCAAAGATGGGGCTTTGCTTGTTTGTGTGGACCGGTTGCTGATATGCCTTGGCTTGGTACTGGTTCATGGATTGGGGGTGGGGACCCCTGCTCTAGATGTCTGTTGGGACATGTCAGGAATTCTCTCCCCATATCTAAAAAGCATAAGGATATGTCAGGAATTCTCTCCCCATATCTAAAAAGCATAAGGATATGTCAGGAATTCTCTCCCCACATCTAAAAAGTACAAGGATGTGAAAGGATGATCCAATAATTCCCCACCACCACCACCACAAGATATGAGTCTAAGCAGCTTCAAGAAGGCTTTAGGCCAGGGGTGTCAAACTGCCAGTCTGTGGGCTGGACACGTCATCCGGAAGCTGTGCTCACCCCATTGCCAGCAATGGCAAAACAATTCCGATACGTTGCGTGACGTTTGACGTGTCTGCTTTAGGCACATGCATGCACAAATGCATTTGTGTCAGTTAAAGTCACTGGAACTTCAGGTATTGGTTCAAAATTAACTTAACACTGAATGCAAGTTACTAAGAGAGACTAGCAGCTGAAAGAAATTATTTTCCAAATTTATGCAACTTGTTTTTCAGCTTCTCAGCTTCAATACGTGACATCAATAACTGAATCCTACTGTGATCTGATTGGCTCATTGCCGAAACAAGATGACACCCGATTGGCTCTCTAAACACTCATGCTCATTGGCTACAATCAGATGAAGGAAAGCTACCTGAGATCAACCTAAGCAAGTTGTGCTTCCTTTTTCTGGTTATTCGGCTATAACTGTTCATAGAACATAGTACAGATAATTGAACAAACTATGTTGCATTACATTCTTGATTAAATTATCTTTCCATTGATATATAATTTGATGGTACTACTCCAAAAAAAGTGGTGTTATTAGCCATCAAACCTCAAAAATACACTTTTTCCCAAAAAGGTTTCCACAATTTTGGCCACTACTGTAAAGTGGGACTAGAATCCATGATCTCCTGGCTTCTAATCCAGCACCATCATGACCATACCAAACCAGCTCTTGTTACCTTCAAGTCAACCTTGACTCTTGCTGATTACATGAACAAGTGCCTGCCACTTTCTAGCCATGATTTCAGAGCCATGATTGCTTCCTTCCTGGGGCGGAGAGAAAGTGATTGGCCCAAAATCACCCAGCTGGTTTCATGATTACAGCAATGCCCATGGCCTCCCAGTTTTGAACCTGGTGTCTTAACCACTATCCCAAACTGATTCTAAGAAATAACCCTACCCTTTTGAGAAATTGTTTTAGACTTTTTCTGTCTGCAGGATAAATTGAGAGATGTTATCCGCATAATGTTTCAGCTGGCAAATTTGGTGAAGAATCTTGAAAAGCCCTGTATACTCAGCTACGGATTCCACCATTCCGTATGGTGCCATTAAGAACTCCTGCCTCATATTACCTCTGCTCACCTTTCTGTATCAACACTACAACCAGAAAAGGATCAGAAGGCATGAACAATAGGGATATACCATAATCTTTGGGCACAACGATGAAATACAGGCACACTTGTCCACTGGTGTAGTTCTGAGGATAGTTGGGGGACAGGACGACACCATCCGACCCCGTGTACTGACCTCCACATGGTGCTACAACACGGAGAAAGGAAAAATGAGGTTAGCTTCTGATGTTTGCCTCCTTTTTCTTCCCCAGATTGCTGGCCCAGAATACCCTATTAATTCAATAGGCAATAAGCAGCAGGCATGCTGCAGGATGCATCTTAAGCACAACCTGTGCCTGATACATTTTTTATAACTTATGCTGCATTATACACTGGGAGCAATAAAACCCTAATGAATGGTTGTTCTACAGAAATTGATTTCAAATGGTGGAGAATTTCAAGGAATGCCCTAGATAATGAGGTTGTTGGCCTGGGGGACATGATATGGAAAACAAAACATTTCTGAGATGGAAAATAAATATATATTTTTTAAAGTTGTTCTAGCCACTCTACAATTCTCATAATTTCACTTTTAAGTTCAGTTCTCCTCTATCATGTATAGGTATGTGTATCAGAAGAAGAGCGACACTCAACCTGAATTCAGAAGACCTCCAGCTTACCTGTGCACATGGGCCTTGGCTTGTTCCACACAGGTTTCCCATCTCCTCCCATGACACACGTCAGAGTGGACACCCCTTCAATCACATAACCACCGTCACAGTAGTATGTGATTGTGGAGCCCAGTTTCAGCTCACTTCCAGCTCGAGTCCCATTCTTAATCAGACCTGGATCAAAGCAGGATTCTCTGGGGTTTTCTGGAAAAAACAACAACAATAACAACCCATACACAATCTGAACATCAGTTTCCTGATACTTCTAGCCTTGTTTTCTTAGCCTGAGCACAAAATTTCCACTAGAATTTTGTGGAGCAAGAAATGTTCCACTATCTGGAAAAGCCACACACAGCCATTTTAAATTACAGTAGGTATATACAGGAAGTCAAATAAAGTCAAGGATATATTAAGGAACCCAGAGACGCCAGGTACAAAATTCTATATTTATTCTTTTATTGTTTTGGAAATAGTGACAAAAAGAAACAAACAAACAAAAAAAGAACAACACGTAAAGATGAAAGTGTAGACATTATCAAAGAAAAAGAAACAAGCAAAGTGCCTTTTTTTTTAAAAAAAATAATAACAATAAAGAAAAAAAAGTATATCAAGTGACAGTAAAAATGTGGTGGAATGTAGTCTGGATTCCCAGAAAGTGGGGAGGGGGGGGAGGCTGCCTCCCAGAAGGCAAAGAGGCAGCAGAGCTTGGAAAGTCTGATCAGCAGGAAGAGGTTAAGATTGGTTTCTCACTAGCAGTTCACAGTAGTTCCCAGAATATATCTATAGTTATACAGATAGTTGCTTTAGTCTGACAAGATCCTCCCGATAGGTGAAGAACAATAAGGGAAACTACCCTTAAGTAATTCCACATGTCAATCTTGTTTCTTTGGCCTGAGAAAATAGTTACAGTTCTACTGAAGTCTCAAAGATGCTCTTCAAAAGGTAACTGGACTTTTAAGAAAGTCTAGTTTCTAAGAAAGTCCACCTGCCTTTGAAAAGCACCTTTGGGACAACCATGATCTGGATTATTGGAAATCTCCATAGACAGTTCCAGGGGTAATTATTTAATGCAATTATTATTTGAATACATATAACTAATTCACTGATATAACTATTATTTTTGACCTATTGTATTTTGTATAACAAGGCCCATATTTCATTATCCATACAACATCTATCGGCAGTAGGTGACAAGTGCAATCAAGTCCTCAATCCATTGAGTAAAATGTGCCATACATTTATCTTTCCAGTGGTGCAATATCAATCTTTAAGCTATAGCCCTTCCTATAGCTGCCATAAAGAAGAGGGAATCAAGCTATTTTCCAAAGCACCTGAAGGCAGGACAAGAAGCAATGGATGGAAACTAATCAAGGAGAGAAGCAACCTAGAACTAAGGAGAAACTTCCTGACAGTGACAACAATTAACCAGTGGAACTACCTGCCTCCAAAAGTGGTGAATGCTCCAACACTGGAAGTTTTTAAGAAGAGACTGGACAGCCATTTGTCCGAAATGGTGTAGGGTTTCCTGCTTGAGCAGGGGGTTGGACTAGATGATCTCCAAGGTTGTTGTTGTTGTTGTTGTTGTTGTTGTTGTTATTAGTGCTACTGATGTCATGAATACCAATACTCAAATCCATGTAAACTTAGATTTACAGCCCTTGAAATCAGTCTCTACAGCCTGAAATGGAGAGTGAATGGCTGAATTCAGGGTTAGTGGAATAGCTTATTAATTCCAGACTTGTCCTGCTCAGAGGCCAATTACTGTCTGCCTGTTGCAAGAATGGACGTTGCAAATCTCGTTGCTTCAACTCAGGGGAAAAGAAAGGTTCTAGTCTTAAGCCATGTCTAGCCAAGGCAGAGACCTCACGGGTCTATCAATCAGAAATTTTATTTACCTGCGGAAATGTAAATTCTCACATTTCTGTTTCCATGCTTCTGTGTCTGAAACACTTGCCTCAAAGCCAAAAGAAACTCAGTCCCAGATCATTGTCTATGTTTGTTTGAGATCCAGGATTGGAGTATATGTGTCTGTGTGTCCAAAAGGCAAGCTGGTCATGTGATTGATACTTCATCCTCTTTCAATGTGCTTCAAAATATACATTTTGTAATTTTATTAGTTTGTTTTTTTTTTAAAAAAATCGTCTTTATCAATCAACTTATAAATTGAAAACAATTACTTTAATTATTTATTTCTATTAAAAACGTGGTATGATCAAAGTCACATCGGTGAGGTATTTGCAATTTTTGCAATGCTTGCAAAATAAATAAATAAATAAAGGGGCGGGATATCAATCACACAACCTGCAGCAGCCATCTTGATTGTTTTGCCTTTCTTCTTTTAGATACTCCCTGGATTCAATTCCAAGAAATATTGGAGAATGCCATATGGTGAAAAGCGTTCCATTATTTAAAGAGAACATAACAGCCCAAACTGCAATTATAGCTTTTGTTAAGGATCCCTGCTTATGAAAAACAGCAAGGAAACAATCTGCTTTTCTGAACAGGCCAATTGCTATCTGCACTGGCTTTAATTATAATCAGGCTATAAGATAATGTATAATTATACTCAGGATGGAGATCGTTCAAAACAACAACAGAAGCATCAGTAACTGTTGGAAAAGAAAGAGTGGGATCTGACAAACAGAAATCAAGAAAAAAATATATTGGTGGACAGAACCCAGTTTGGGCTAATCCTTCATCACAGCTTTGAGCAGAAAGAACATCTACAGCATCCAGGTAGATGTGGAAGAAGCAGGAAGCATGTTTTTTCAAGAGCTATTTATGGATACAGACGCTCTCTATATATGTTTTCTGAGGTTTTCGCGGGTTTTTGTATGTAGGTCTTTGGTTATTCGGGTTTTCTCCCACATCAAATTGGAAGTGTCTTGGCGACGTTTCGATGAAGTCCCATTCGTCATCTTCAGGCTGGTGTTTTCGGCTTCTTGATCCTAGAAGCACGAAGCCGAAAACACCATCCCGAAGATGACGAATGGGACTTCGTCGAAACGTTGCCAAGACACTTCCAATTTGATGCGGGAGAAAACCCGAATAACCAAAGACCTACATATGTATGTGTATATATATATTACAATGGAGAAAAACAAACAAACAAACAACTTTCAATTCCAGTGTCAATGGTGGGTCCAGAAGTTCTGGCTCCATAGCCATAGAGCAGATGTGACATGAGTAAAATTGATGCACTGCAGCTTTAAGAAAGTTACCTTGGAAAATGTAGGAATTGCAAAAGCTGGCCGAGGGCTATAAATTCCTGCCCCACATTAACCTAGAAGATGCTGATTGTATTAGAATTTATAAAAAATCTCTCCGACTGAGCAAAGGTCCCTTTCCAGAGCAAATCTCTTAACTTGATGAGCAACACAGCCAAGATAATTGAAAGGTGATTACAGACAGTTTTGTCGCCAAGGAAGGGGCTTCTTTTAACTCAATGAGGTTTACTTCTAAGCAGATGAGCACAGTGGTCAGTTTTAACAGACGGACAAAAAAATAGAGAGATATTAAAAAATCAGTCAAGACTTGAAACAAAGAAATTAGCCAAATGCGTGGGTTTTTTTTTTTCTCACTTTCCCATGTGTAATCTTTTTTTTCTTCTTTCTTCATGCATAAAATATAATTAGAGGCTTTGATTAATCCAGAGATTTTGTCATTTGAAAATTGCTCATTAAAAGACCAGAACTTTTTATTATATTTTATTTTAATTGTGAACAGCATGGCCCTGGCACAATCAGAAAGCATATTTGGGAATTAGATTGTCATGGGGAGGGCGAGGAGGAGGAGGAGGAGGAGGAGGAGGAGGAAGAGGAGGAAGAGGAGGAGGAGGAGAACAAGCTTCTTTCTCTCTTCCTCCAATGGTTCAAACTTGTCCTGTTAGCATTTCCTCATTAAGTAGGTCATCCGTTCTGATTTCCTTGCAAATTGCTTTTGTACCATTAGCAAAACTCTGTTTTCTAGGTGATGGATGGACACATGGGAAATGAGTCTGAAGTATTTCTGGATTGAGACTTCCAAAAATACACGCCTTCCCTTCAGATCTGTAAAAAGGGTATTGTTTTCACATTGGAGGTGATAGTCACAGTCTATTTTCTCGGCTGCCCAGGGCCTTCTCACATCTGTAAAAGTCTCCTGTCAGAAAGAGTTCACCAACAGCTAAAGATATTGTCTACATGCAATAGTTTGAACTGTGGGGTCCTTGGTGCTCTCTAAGCTTGGGTGTTTTGTTATGTAACAGCATCAGTACTAGAAGAGAGTGGAATTTGCTGTCTTTTTATCTACAACTGGCCTGTCCAGCTGATGTTGGTGGGAGTGTTCTTGATAGTTCCTTGATTAGGCTGTTTACTATTTGATTGTTTGTCTCAGTTAGTAGTTCCTTGATTGGGGTATTGTTTACTGCTGGATTGTTGGTCTAGTATTAATCTTGGTGTTAATTGCTGCTTATCCGGGTTTTGATTGCTGGTGAAGTGATCTTGTGGTCTTTTAGCTTTTTGATTGTCTCTTTTGAATGGTATGTAGGTTTATTTCGATGTGCCGATTGGTGGCTGATTTGCCTGAGTGCCAGGCTTCCAGGAATTCTCTTGTGTTTTTGGACTTAGATGATCTAGGTCTAGGATGTTCAGTTCCCCAGTTGAAACTATGGTGAAGTCTGTTGATGTGTTGTTCAACTGAGGAATTTTCCTCAGGTCTTCTGACTGCTAGTTGGTGTTCATGGATGCTTTCTGCTTGTCTTCTGCCCATGTATCCTACACAAGGGGATGCTACAATCCTTACATTGTATTTTGTAGATGTCTCCTGATTTTTTTTTCTTTCTTCTGAGCTACTGAGTCTTTTGGTCTACTTAAGATGTTTGGGAGGGCTTGAGTTGGTTTGCGTGCTAGTCATCTACCATATAATCTTACCCCCCCCCCGTTGTGACCTAGAGTGATTGCCTGGATGATGCTAGGTCATAAAAGCCATTCTTCATAGATCAATGCCAATAAGCCACTGATAAGTCAGAGAAACAGGGAAATAAATTGTTCTTCTCTTTCCACAGTGTTTAATTCTAAAGCTTATTACGAAGCCAGTTTTTGCTAAAAGAAAAAAAATCCTCTGTCCTGCTATATTCCTGTGATCACTCTACACTTATTCTTGTTGTTTTGAAGAGCCAAGTTGTCTTTTATCTAAGCAGCAGCTACATCTTTGGCTTGACACGATGCCTCCCACCCCCGTCAGGCGTCTCAGCTACAGGCTTGATCTCTGTCTTGATGCTTACTTGGAGAGGAATAAAATAACACTTCACATTGCACATCAAAGTACTGACAGAGAAAGAGGAAGGGCTCGCAAACTCCACTGAATGTAGTGTTTTCTTGAAGGTCTTTTCCCAGGGTACTTTCTTCCTATAACCATCTTAAAATGATGCTGGATGTCCTAGTCATCCACTACAGCAGCCTTAGATCCCAACCCCTCCAGGCATGTAGGATCTGCTCCTCCTGAACCTCCTGGACCATTGCTGGAAAGAATTACTCCACCACTTCTGGAGAACATCAAGAGGATAACCCTTGAATATATGTCCCTAGTCCATTGCTACCCACAATCATGGCTTTACACCACATCAATCATAGATCATCATCTCTATGACAGTTTAGAGTAGTGCTTCCCAAACTTCATTATCCAAAACCTGTCAGAAAATCTCATCAAACTTCAAGGACCAGTCCTTCTTTCAGGACTCTCATAACTTCTAACAGTCAACTGAACAAATTATTGTAATTCAAGAACTATCTGTATTGTAAAAGTGATATCACTGAATGAGTTTTGTCATTTCAACAAATTACCATTGGTAATCTCATTGATTTTTATCTTAATAGGAATACTTTGGGAGATTTTCAAGTATGTTTTAGTACCTGTGGCAATCTTTAAGTCAATTTAAATGTCCCTGTTGTGGTGAGCAATGGGCTCATAGGACATTGCACCCCACCCCCCCATAAAGACCACTTTAACCCAATTTGGAATTTATTTTATTTGGTTCTGCTTAGCATTTTTAGCTTGTGTATCCAGGCATAAAAAAAATCTCTTTACTTGAATTTATCCTCCATTGATTACATAGACACAGCTAGGTAGTTTTCTTAGAAACTCTACAAAAGTACTTTGCCACTGCCTTCCATCTAGGAGTTTTATTTCCTTGTGGTTTCCCACCGAGAGAGAGAGAGAGAGAGAGAGAGAAAGAGAGAGAGAGAGAGAGAGAGAGAGAGAGAGAGAGAGATGCACATACACGCACATGCTTTGTTTTAACCATTCACTTATTTGCACATCTATGCAAAGTAGAAGAAAGGCTGGGCACAACTCTGTCTATTTGGAGTGTGGGCATCACAAGCCAGATGCTTCAGTTAGGTGATTCACCCCATGTCACTTTCTTCTGACATGACAAAGTGTCTCAAAGTGGTGGCACTACTCTATGTGAAGAGACAACGCAATGCCAGCTGGCCAGATTGCCATTATCAACCTCCTGTTCATGGGCAGTTGCTCAGACTGATGTGCCAAGATGATCTCTCTTGTAGCAAGGTCTATATGTCCCTACGTTCTATCAGTTAGAGTGTTTGTTTCATGAACCAAAGAACAAAGAAAACTTGAAAAAGTTTTCTTCTCCATTTTGAATGAACTAGGGTTGGAAAGAGGGAAGGGTAACAGATAAAAATGAGATCAATGCATGCTCCGTAAAATACAAATAGTTTTTCCTCCCACCTCCTTCCCTCTGGTGCATGCTAAGTTCCCGTGTGTATCAAACAAATCTTTTAAACCCTCTGCAGCATGAAAGTATTGCACCTGATGTGCTTCAATAGGGCAGAAACCAAAAGCTAGAAAGGAATAGAAAGAGAGCACACTCTGCTCTCAGGGACTGGATTGCTCTAATACAGAGAAGGAATGGGAAAAGGGCAAAATAAAACATGTAACTCACCTCTACAATTTCCTCCCACTCCTATAATGCACTGACTTAGCAGATGACTTTTTTTTTTCAAATATATATATATTTTCTAATTCCTTTCTTACATGGGCTTAATTTTCAGACTTTACCATATAACAAAAATGATTACATCAGCTTTATTGCATGCTTTTTAACTGATTATTGGACTTGACTCCAGCAGCTATAATTCCAGGGTACAAAACCACATCATCACAAAGGTTACGAGAGTGGGCTCAATGGGTGGAGAAAGACGGAGCTGAATTCCAATATATCTATCCAATATATTTAAAAGCACTCACAAATGCAGAAATAGATTTATTTTATTTTTTTTTGCAGCTGACACACCGGAATCAAATGAGGTTTGAATCTGCTTGCAGGTACATGAAGGAAAACAGTAAGGATGACATGCATCTCTACAAGACATACCTGTGTAATGGATGACAAATCCTGTGTTGCTGACAGAAGCATCACTCCGGAAGGCCAGGAAGAGGTTGTTACTGCTGCTTTCAATCCTCTCTGGTACTTGGGTATCATAGAAACTCCCAATCAGGGGACTAAGTGAGCTGGGCCCATCATAGATGTGCAGGAAATCATACCCGGGTTCCAGATTAAACCTGAAAGGGAAAAATAAAGAAAACTAAGTGTATAAAACATCTGACTACAAAGACCAGCGATATAATGGAACTCTCTCAGCCTCAGAACAACAATGGACATTGGCAAAACATTGTGAGACAAGAACAGAGGCATGTTCATACAGATGTCAACGCTGCTAATATTGAATAGTCTTGCTTTGACAAAATATGCAGAACTGTCTGGTATTTTTAGAGTTAATTCAGATGACAGAGAAAAGGGAGAGGAAATAACAAAAGCCCGGGAAAAGGAACGGAAGTGAATCTCTGCCCTCTGGGCTAATTGGAAGATGTGACTTGTGACTGCAAGATAAGGGAGGGGTTTAGCAAGAAAAGTTAGATGCCAGCAAGAGGAATTCAGATTGTGGCATAAACCTCCATCATGCCTGTGCCGACATTAATAATAACAATAAATGACTTTTAGGAAAATCAATGCCTGGAAGTTCTTTGAAGTGTTTCATTAGTCAGAACCATAACAATATATATATATATAATTTCATTAAAAATTTGAAACCAGTAAAAACAAATAGATGCGAACAACCAGGATAAAATTAAACTAAAAAACGTTTAATAAAATGCTGAGCTTTTGTCGATTAACACTACCGACATCATCAGAGCTTAAGAATAGGTCAATGGGAGTCTCTTTTTATAACACTGGCCGGTTTTGCGCATGGCTCCTGGTCATCGGTCCATCCAGTAATCTTATTTGTTTAATTCCTAGGAGATGCGCATTGGCTGTTTTCTTGATACTTTTTAAGGTTGTCATTCTGTTGTTCACCTCTCTTCCTCCAATCTCCCCCTTTGTACATGCACGGTTGTCCATTACCCCACCACTGGTTCCCAAAGTTACCATTTTCCTTTCCCCTCTTTTTTGGCCATTCACTTCCTTCGTATGTGTCCAATTGTTTACCTCCACCCTATTGAGTCTTAGGCTTGCTGAAGACTAGAAGCATTTCAGACTAGAAGCATTTGAAATGTGGATTTACAGGCTGCTGTTACGTATAAGCTGGATTGACAAGATCAGAAATGAGGAGGTGATCAGCCACCTGGGAAAGCCAAGGGAAATCATCAAAACAATTAAAAAATGAAAATTAGAATATTTCGGACATGTGATGCAACACCCAGAAAAATACGGCATACTCCATTTAATCCTCCAGGGAAATATGGAAGGCAAATGAAGTCCAGGCAGAAGAAGAACATCATGGCTTCAAAATCTAAGGGACTGGTTTGGACAAAACTCAGCAGCACTTTTTCATGTGGCTGCTGATAAAACCAGGATATATATATATTGTTTCCATATCGTTTGGTGTATTGTGAGCTGCCCAGAGTCATTTGGAATTGGATGTCATCAAATCAATTGACAAATGAAGAATAAAACTGTACCTGGGGCTTGAAGAAATGTCCTTGTTATTCCTTTATACAAGGCAAGGCACAGAAAGGAGAGTAAATGGAAAATCTACACATGGGCTATTTTATTAACTATGTCTGGGAAGAGACCTAGTAGAATTCTGGTTAATTGGGTACAAAGGGTGGCAATAAATAACATTTGGGAAGTGGTTTTGATGTCAGGCTGTGCAGACAAGATTTTTTGCTCTCCAGAAGGCATTGAAAAATATATGAATGTTAAGAAAAATACCGCATTTTTGTTGACTTGGAGAACATTTATGACAAATGGGAATTGGCTGGAGTTATGGAAAAAAATTATACATTTTTGAAAAGTGGTAGAGCTATAGATTGTAAATTGCTACAAATTGTATGAAAGGATGGTTATATAAATTGTATGGGAAGATGACTGCTGAAAGTGGTAGAGCTATAGATGATGAAAATGAAGCATGAATATAACTGCAGCAAGATTATTATATGCACAAAGATGGAAAGATTGAGCACTATCTGCAATGGAGGGACAGTTGGTGAAGAGGATGAAATTTGCTGAGATGGTTAAATTGATTTCTTTGATCAGAGAAGAGGTAATATATATGTGTATTGGAAACTTCTTGTAGACATTTTACGTGGAACAGAAAAAAATGAGCTTATGATTTATGGTATTGATGTTTACACAAAACATATTATAGAAAGAGAATTATGTTGTAGCCATAGAGGAAGAGGTAAATCTATAATTAAACTTCTAACTGGTTCAAAGTAGACTGGATGTCCCTTCTTTAAATCTTTTTTATTTTTATTTCTATTCCTCTTCCCTTTTTCTTTTTATATATTTTTCCTTTCATGCACTTTTAGCATTTTCTTTGATTTTTTTCTTCTTTTCTTTTTCTCATTCTTTATTAGTTTGTATTAGCTTGCATGCTCCTTCCTAAAATCTTTAGTAAAATATGACAATGAATTTAATTAAAATAGTTTAAATGATTAAAGAAAAAAGCATGAATGAAGGCTAAATGAATACCTAGCAAATAAATCAACAAAGAGCAGGAGTTCTAATGCCCCCTCCGTTGTTCAGTGGCTATGTATTTATAAATTGTGGTGGCAGCAGAAGTGTGTTGGTTGGTGATATGAATGTATATCTACTTTTGTAAGGAGATAATGGCATGTTGTAGGCTTAAACGCAGAATGCTCTGCAGGAAATGTTATGATGCAAGAAGCAGCGTAGACTTGAAAGGTACTGTAGTGAATCTACAGTTGCGCTTCGCTGCAAAAGCAGAGGGCAGCTTAGGCATCAGTAACAAAAAACTATGTCATGTAGATTAATTTGTATACCGTGTATACCGTGGGAACTTTAAGATGTGGGAATCCTACTAGAAAATGTGGTTTGCTGCAAGAAATGAATATTTTATGAAGGAAGCAACACCAGCTTTGTATAACAATGAGCTTCTATCCAGGTTTTTTTACAGGTATTTCTCAACTTACTGCACAACAGCCTTAGAATGGGTGCTTTACACTTTGTAAAGTACTGCTGGCCCTTACAAAAGGTTGCACATACTCCTACAGTCATATGATCATGCTGTCAACCCTGCTAACATTGGATGTTCTTGCTTTGACAACAGATGGAGATGCAGCCATTTCCCTTATGTTTTACTCTTAGAATTAGAGTTAGAATTAGATGATACTGGGGGGGGGGAGGAGGAATGTGCATGGGAGTTTAGTTAAACATAACAATATTGTAACTAGGGTGAGAACCAAGGGTTTTTGAAATAAGAGAAGATAAGAAATGGCGGGTTGAAGAACTGGAGGGAAAGCTTGCATTCCAAACTAATTGGAGAATGTGATTTATGACTGCTAATTAGAAGAGGGAATTGTGCTGGGGGGGGAATTCAGATTTTGGCTTTGCCTATGTAAGTGCCAATGCTATGCTACTCGAATAAAGATTCTTTAAGGTAAACAATGCCTCAAAGTTCTTTGAAGAGTTTCATCTGTCGGAGCCATGACACATGCTCTGGATGCCTAGCTGAACTACTACATTTTTGACCAATATATCTCCACTCACTTTGGGGCATAGACATTTTGATTTTTTTCCCAATAGTCTTCCTATGATCCCGCATCAAGGCAGGTCTTTCCCCAGATAATAGAGAAGGTTTGCAACTATCTGTTGGCATAGTTGATTCTTTTTCTGTGAATCAACCCCCCTCTTTTCTGGGAAACTGTCAGAGACAGTAACAACACAGAAAGGGGTGGTGTTTTTTTGTTTTTAGTATATGGCGTATATAATCAAGGAAGTCTACAATGTTTTTTTTTTTACTACAGAAGATTTCTGGCAGCCTAAGATTGCTACTTCATTTTGTTCATGTGTGTGCACTACTCATGGCATACCATAGGGGGCGAACTAGTTTTGCACCAGCTGACTAGCAGCATTCGACAGAATGTCGGATAATGTTGAGACTCTAGAAAGAGTACAGAGAAGAGCAACAAAGATGATTAGGGGACTGGAGGCTAAAGCATATAAGGAACGGTTGCTGGAATTGGGAATGTCTAGTTTAACAAAGAGAAGGACGAGGGGGGACATGATAGCAGTGTTCCAGTATCTCAGCGGCTGCCACAAAGAAGAGGGAGTCAAGCTATTCTCCAAAGCGCCTGAAGGCCGGACAAGAAGCAACGGATGGAAACTGATCAAGGAGAGAATCAACCTGGAAATAAGGAGAAATTGCCTGACAGTTAGAACAATTAACCAGTGGAACAACCTGCCTCCAGAAGTGGTGAATGCTCCAACACTGGAAGTTTTTAAGAAGAGACTGGACAGCCATTTGTCTGAAATGGTGTAGGGTTTCCTGCCTGAGCAGGGGGTTGGACTAGATGACCTCCAAGGTCCCTTCCAACTTTATTATTATTATTATTATTATTATTATTATTATTATTATTATTATTATTATTATTATTATTATTGATCATCGCACAGTCAGCCAGATGTTCAGACTGGATTTGGCATTTTGTCTACCTATCGAGTCCTTACCCAGGACCTGGGATAGGCAGATGTGGATGTTTGATGGTATTACAGGTATTGTTGCAGGATGGAAGCAGTTCCTAGTAAGGCCGACTTTTGCAATTGACTAATAGCAAATATTATTATTATTATTATTATTATTATTATTATTATTATCATCATCATCATCATCATCATCATCATCATCATCATCATCATCATCATCTGGGCTTTCTTCCCCCGACTTTGCCTCGCATCCGGTCAGATCCAGCCCCAGCAGGAAACGCTGCTAGCTTTTCCCACCAGAGTGGTACCTATTTATCTGCTTGCATTTTACATGCTTTCGAACTGCTAGGTGGACAGGAGCTAGGGGCAAAGGATAGGAGCTCATTCTGCCATGCGTGTTATGGGCTTGAACCACCAGAGTGCCAACCATTTCTTGCTGACAAATCGAGTGTCATTCAGCCACTGTGCCATTGGACCCCCTCTAGTACAGAAAGGTGATTTCTTCAGAGAGAACCAACAGGTTTAATCTCAGTTTACTGAGTTGCATCTATATCTTACACTTACGTTTGAAACACCAGAGCAATGACATAATCCGGGGAGACGGTCAGCTTCCAATCGCACTCTTTTCCTGGAGGGTAAGGCTCTGGGTAACCGGGGGACAAAATAACCCCGGAAGGTCCAGCCAGGATCCCACCACAAGGTGCTAAAGGAGGAGAGGAGAGAGCAGAACCACAGCTTGTTTTGAGAGACTCCTTAAACAACCTATAACTGCATTTAGGACCAATTAAGGCTTTAAACCTGAGGCAGTCTAAGACCATGTCTTCACCTGTAATTAACCATGGCTTGTGCAGCAAAATGAGAATACTTTCAAACTTTACTCCTTCATCCCCAAAAGCTCCCTTCACTCCTGCTTTGCTTGAGAAAACTTATGGCTAGCTTAACCAATTGCCATAAAATTCTGCAAAGCCTGCCCCCCCCCCCAATTCCTGCCATACCCTGATAACTTGCTTATGTTGTGTGAACCTTGGACTAAGTTACAGGCCATTTTCCCCTTTTGTAAAAGTGACGCTAAACAAATGAAACACCTTTTTTTTTTTTGCTTAATTCTGAAGTTCATTTCATTGTGCATTTTACATAACAAACACTCAAGTTCTGAAAGCGGGTATACATTTGTTCTTCCAGACACCTCCCCGCCTTGTGGGTATGTGTGTGTGTATATGTGTGCACATGTACGTGCACACACCTTTGAGTCAGTTTTGGCTCCTGGCAACTACCTGGATAAGTCTTTGCAGTTTTCTTGGCAATGTTTTCAGAAGTGTTTGTCCTTATCTCCTTCTAGGGCTGAGAGTGAGTGACTGGCTCAAGGTCACCCAGGCTTTGTGCCTAAGGAAGGACTAGAACTAGAATTCACAGTCTCCCAGTTCCTAGACTGATGCCTCAACCCCTATCAAACTAGTTCTCTTTTCCAGTTCTACTCTTCAGCTGATACCTTCCTCTATTAGGTTTAAGCCATATAACTAAATCCAGACAAGCTTAATGAGGCTTCAAAACGAGAAGTCAGCTCATTCATAAAAAGAGTATGCATTTCTTGGGAAGCGAAGTTGTTGTTGCGTGGGCTCATCAACATTTCCTCATTGTACCAATAGCTCCCTACAAGCAAGTTCATGTTAACATGCCCTTGACGTTTGCCTAACAAATGTCAATCTCCATCCTGATGGAACTGTTCACATCCAATTACCCGTTTCCCACTCTGCTAGGGATGTGTCATGTTATTAAGTTGCTCACTTAAAATAAGAAGCCCAAAACTGCCTTCCACTAAAACAGGACTCTCCAAACTTGGCAATTTTAAGACTTGTGGCTTTCAGCTTCCAGACTTCCCCAGCCAGCCCTGCCAATGGCTGGGAGTTGAAGCCCACAAGTCTTAAAGTTGGTGCCAAGATTGGAGACCCCTGCACTAAAAGAAGAGAAAGAGCATTGGAGTGGGACAGAAAACATATTCTTAAGCTAGTTTAAGAAAGGAATACATTTCATTCGATTTCCCTTGATTGGGACCCCCAAAGGGCTACTTTGAATCCCACCCTACAAGTTGCTTAGATGTTTTCTCCATCCTTCTGCTTAACATTGAATCTTAACCCAAAAGAGGTAAAGTGCCCCAGCACAACTAATTCAATATCCGAATCCTGAGAAGGAAAGGCCTGACCAGATTACAGTCTCATTGGCTCTGATTTGCAGTCATGGGCCTGTTCTACCCATCTGTACCTATGCAGGTGGGTGGGTCAGGCTGCCAGAAGAACCTGTTCTCAACCTGCACACAGCTGATCTTGGCGTCCCCCTGCAAGGTGTATCCTGGATCACACTGGAAAATGATGTTGTCTCCTGCCTCCTTGCTGTCACCGCTCCGACTCCCGTTTTGTGGAATTCCAGGGTCATTGCAGGAGGTGGCGGTGGACACTAAGAGCAAAAAAGATCAGGGAATGGGATGAACCAAGGGAACAGAATTATTCACTGAATTCTGAATGCAGTTAGAGTGCAGTACTGCAGGCCACTTTAGCTGACTGTGTTCAGCAGGTCAGCGGTTCAAATCTCACCGGCTCAAGGTTGACTCAGCCTTCCATCCTTCCGGGGTAGGGAAAATGAGGACCCAGATTGTTGGGGGCAATGTAAATATATATATACATTGCTTATTGGTGTACACCGCTTAGAGAGTGCTTGCACTTAAAGCGGTATATAAGTCTCATAAAATAAAATATAAGTCTCATAAAATAAATTATTCCATAAACTCTGAAGCTACGACATGACATTCATGCTGAGCATAGTACACTGCATTTCCTGGAGGTGCTTAGGGTACAAAGAGCAGCCACCTTGCACATAGTTAGAGCAAGGATGGCTTCAGAGGGAATCAAGGCAGAAAGCACCATGTTCCTCATTGCTAAGCAGAACAAAGAAGGAGGCTGAGAGAATCCATCCCTCCATCCCTCTATGACCTCCACTTGCAACTTTTCCTGCTGACTTCCCCACTGACATTTTAGGGAAGTCAGCAGAGAAGATTGTGAACAATGATCACATGATTGCCGGGTGCTTGGCAAACAGTTGCAAATGAGAGTTGGCTGCCAAGCGCCTGAACTGTGGTCAATGTGGCACAATGTTTTATGACAGCCAGAAATGCTTTATGGGCCATAAAGGAACATTTCCAAAGCTGTCATAACTGTGAACAGTCAATTCGTTTTAAGATAAGATAACCTTTATTGTCATTTTTATACTGTGGGCACAATGGCACACATCAAAAATGAAATTTAGTTGCCTGCTCTAAAATATATCAACTGTTCATGAAAATTCTCTCATAGATCACTGCTATCTCATGCAATGCATTCTGCAAATGTTTTAGGATTATTTGCATCATTATAGTCCAGAGTTGAAACCTTGACAATGAGAAAAGACTTTGCACAAACTTCCTTTGAGCTACAGTGAGCACACATATGGATTAATTGAACCAGGATGCATGCTTAAACATGCATTACTGATTTCAAACTTTTCTTTCTCCAGCTGGAAAAGGCTGTAGGGATTAACAAATCCAAGTCTGTTGCACAAAGATCAGATATATGTATACATCAGCACACTTTCCCGTTTACTTATTACATCTTGTTACATCTAGCCATCTGCTACTTCTACCTGGCATTCGGCTATAACACTATGTTGTCTATGCTGTTAAATAAATTATAATGTGCACATTGTTTCCTCCTCCCTCCCCCCCTTGTGATTGAGAGGAACTTTGCTTTTAGCAGGAATGATAAATTTGATTCTTTTACAGATGTGCCAGAGTGTCTTGAATGCTGTCTGAAATGAAACCTTGTTTTCTTTTTCTTTTTTGAAGCTCAGGAGTTTAAAATAAGTAGGGCTTGTTTGTTTTTTTAAATAGAAAAGATCTGAGATTGTTTTAAAGCAATAAAACTAGAGGAGTGATCACTAGAACAGCAGTGAAAGAAGAACAGAGTCAGATGGGACCAATTCAGCTTAAGCTAGTGATGGAGAAGACAAGAAACATTTTGGGGGGGGGCAAACAATATGTCTAATTCTAGAACTTGTCAAGCCTTTGCCAAAATGTGGACAGTGAATTTGTGGTCAATAATTTGGTTCTTCATTTGCAAGTAAATGCCCTTGGCTTTGTCTTGATCTGGCCTCGAACACAAATGCAGCTGAGATAAATCAAAGCATGCTTGCAGATCCTTTCAGCTTGCGTAATTCACAGATGAAGAGCAGGTCACCAAAGAAGCAAACATCGGCTTCATGAATGAACAAACCAACCAGAAGGAGAGTGTCTAGTCCAGCATTTTTTCAACCTTGGCAACTTTAAAGTCTAAAATCAGTAAGACGGGTTTAAGAATGCTACATGGGGAATTCTTGTTGCTAAAGTCTAGACACTTTAAAGTTGCCGAGGTTGAGAAACACCAGTCTAGTCCATGGAAAATGAATCCAGGAAGAAAAGGAAGATCCGGCTGAGCAATAGGTATTCTGCACTCCAGTTTCTGTTGATTGTGACACCAACCCACAGCCTCAGACTCATTTCTTACAAAAACCGGTGCTGTTTGTTAATTGTAGTCACTGCTTAAATATTTCTTTCATAATATTGTTATCCATCCATCCATCCATCCATCCATCCAAATACCTCACTAACACTCAGCTCTATTGCTATTTCTCATCTAATTTCTAGAAAGAAGCTGTTTCACTTATATGCTGCCCAAGACAGATAATGGGCAAGAGGAAAGTGAACACGCTGAGGCAAATCAAAATGCTGATGGTTAGTCATCACTCTGGGCTGAAAACTGCAATGCAGCCTGTTCTGAAATAACTTTTGCTCCCATTGAAAAATCAAATTGCAGGAGGAAATTCCCACAGAGGAAGAGTTAATACATAAAATATTAGCATGTACGGAAATGGACAGGCTCACAATGATATTAAAAGACAAATGTGGATCAGTTTATTATGAAATCTGGGATAAATTTTACCGCTGGAGGAATTCAAAGAGGACGGTTGGGATTAAAGATGAATGTTAAGATAGAAATATATGTTATTTTAGAATAAGTATTGTATATAAAACTTAGATGTATATGTAGAGATGAAGAATCGATTGTAAAAAGTGGAATAATCTGATAAGAATGTATATACTGGAATGTCACGTTAAATCCAATGTTTGTTTGTTTTTAACTGTATTATAAATAAAATTTGTCAAAAAAAGAAAAAAAAAGAAAAATCAACTTGCAGTGTGCTTTCCCAACATCTTCAGGTAGTGACTGTAACAAGTCAGACATTTGATTAACTCTATTAGTTTTGTTGCTATAAAACTTTCTGCATTAGTTGGATGGCAGCAATTATCCCGACCTTCGCTAGATTCTGTATTTTTTTTCCCCTTCTGTTAAATTGTGTTCAGTTCTCAGAGACTGCCTTGCAGTTTTCTTGTGCTGAGAGAAAGAGACTAGCCCAAGGTCACCCAGCCAGATTTGTACCTAAGACAGGGCTCACAGTCTCCTGGCTTGTGGCCTGATGCTTTAACCACTATCCCAAACTGGCTCTCATGGATTGGTTCAGCTCATTATATGTAGGACTATTCATGAGTAATAGTTCAATTCTGTGAATGCAAATGTGGCCGAGAAGGTAATTGTTTGCTAAGCTCAGATCAAGGTATTGATCTTAACCTTTGAAGCATTAGATGGCTTAAAGATTGCCTATCTTAGGTCAACAGATTTTATTGCAAATCTGCTGAAGTATTAAAATATGCAGACGTGATCCCTTTCAAGACCCCTCTGGTGCAGTGGCTTAGTTCACTAGAAGGCTTTCTCTTGGATAACCCAAAGTATGGAATGCTCTAATCCTGTGGCTTCGGTTGCTCTTTTAATCTCTTGGTTTTAAAAAAGCACATAAAGGTGCATCTATTTGGCCTTTCCAAATGTCAGTTTTAGTTTTAGTGTTCTTTTAATATTTAACATTTAATATGTCAATGTAGGATGTTAAATAATGTTAAATATTAAGATTATTTAAATACAGTCTTGGTACAAATATTACAATGGGCATTTGAAGACAATATCCCCAGCTATTCTGTTCCACAATTATGTTGCTATTCTGGATCAACTATATATAGAAAACAGCTGTATAAACGGCCCTTTGCAATCCTCCACTAACTCTCTGAGTGGAGAATGGATGATTTCTCTGAATTTCTCCAGAAGGAGAAGAAACTCTTCATTAATTTCTCACAGATTTCACTTTGGGGATGATCCTAACACCAGAAAAAGTCAATTTAAATCTCCCTGAGATTTAAGTGTGAGAGACAGGCAAACTGCACACCACTGGAGAGAGGACAGCAAAGTGAAAAGCTAAATCACTCATACCAACTCACTTACCCTTTCATTCCTAAAAAGTGCAAGGCTATATTCCATCCAAGGCACTTTCTTTAAAATTCTCTTCTCCTTTTAAATCACTTCTAGGGCAAATTATTGTTCATCAAATTGCATGAGCATTAAGAGAAAAATTGCCGAGGAACTGGCATGTCATGAATGCTGAAATTAATAAATGTGGGGGATTATCTTTCCTACAGCTTAGCAGGCAGAGTTGTGGAGAGTTGAAAACCTCTATGAAATGGTCCTCCTGTTTTTGTTCTCCTGACCCCCAAAGCCCAGATGGCATCTGTGAAAGTTACCTGAAAACTGAATGGCAAAGCCCTGTTTGCTGGTGAAAAAGTCCGTGTTGAACTGAAGGACCACCAAGTTGAAGGTGCTGTGGACATCATTGGGCAAGACAGAACCACTAACTTCTTTCAGGAGGATGCTCTTCTCCACTGGCCCATCCCAGATCCTCAAAACATCATGGAAGTCCTCCGTATGGAAAACTATGAAGTGGAGCCTGTATTCGTGGGAGGGCAAAACAGGACAGGGAAGAGCGAGAAGAGTTACAAATAAGACTAGATTTGTACTTGAGAGCTGGAAAAGTTTAGAAAAGAAAGGACTGAAGCAGTGGTTCTCAACCTTTGGGTCGGGACCCCATTTGGGGTCGAATGACCATTTCACGGGGGTTGCCAAACCATGCCGTCCGCCATTTTTTTTCCCTTTTCCCTAGCTGTCCTACTCCCTCTTATTGGTGGCCACACCCTCTTGGGAGTCACCACAACATGGGGAACTGTATTATGGTGTCACGGCATTAGAAAGGTTGAGAATCACTGGACTGAAGGAAAGTAACGTTATAATGTTCTTCAGGTATCAAAGAGGGATCATATAACAACGAGAAGTCAGGTAACACCTTTTTCAGACTTTTCTTAGTAAGACAACTGTGTATAGATAGTCCTCGACTTACACTATTCGTTTAGTGACTATTCAAAGTTGCAATGACACTGAAAGAAGGTGATTTATGACTGCTTTTCACACTTGCAACCTTAACCATATCCTCATGGTCACCTGATCAAAATTCAGTGCTTGGCAACTGGCATGTATTGATGACAGTTGCCCTGTCCCAGCGTCACGGGATCATGATGTGTGAATTTCTGACAAGCAAAGTCAATGGGGAAGCCAGATTCACTTAACAACTGTGTTACTAACTTAACAACTGCAATAATTCACTTAACAGCTGTGTCAGGAAAGGTCATAAAAAGGGGCAAAACTCACTTAATGAATGTCTTGCTCAGCAGCAGACTTTTTCATCTCAAATGTGGTCATACGTCGAGGGCTACCTGTATGCTTTTTTTTTAAATTTTATTTTAAATTTTCAATACATATAATACTTTCCATACATTATATATAAAACTAAATAAAGAGAAAAATACCTTTAAAATAAGACCTTAGGTGTCGCTCGTTTATCTCCCCCCCGACTGCATCCGCCCTCTCAGCCTTCCTTCCTTCCTTCCTTCCCTACTCCCTCTCTCCTTTCCTCTCCTCTCTCCCCTCACCCCTTCCTCCCATCCAACTTCCTTCCTTCCTTCCCTCCTCCTCCCCTCTTATCCCTCTTTGGATACAGTTCAGGGGAAACACCTGAGCAGCACCTCCCTCTAAATTACTCCATCTATTTCATACTTTAATATTTCTATATATACTTAATCCCACCCCTCCCTTCCCCCCCTACCCCCCCCACTTCCCAGAGCAAAATACAGGGTTATTATAAACAAAACAAGCACAATCTATAACTTTTAAAACAAAAAAAAATTCTATACAATAAACAAATTCATACATTACCCTTAACTCTCTCTAAACTTAAAAAATAATAATAATATAAACAAGCTTTTTAATAATATATATTGGTCTGTAAAGGTGCCACCAAATTTGTTCTGATTTTTGGTACTACACACCCTTCTCACTGCAATCTCAGAAAGTACCTGAGACCTGTTTTTCATTCATTCTGGACAGAGAATAATGGATATACATTATAAAGAGGGCAATTGTGACTGCACGTTAAGGGGAAAAAAATCCTAATTGAAAAAAACAATTTGACAAAGAAAACAATCCCTAAGGAGGTTGTGAACATTGGATTTGTTGAAGGAGAGACTGGAAAGCCAACTATTAGGGATGTTTTAATTTTGTTTGCTAAACTGAGGAGGAAGTTGACCTAAGTAAGGTTCCCCAATTCTAAGATCTTAAAATTCCTCTCAACAATTTGGGAACTGCCATTTAACTTGAGAGGTTGAGGACTCAGTTACAAATCTAGTCCCTTCTGTGTCACTCTGCAATTTCTCTTCAGTTTCCATGTGGAGAAAAGCTGGTCATTTCATAAGATTAGAGATGCAGAAAAAACATCTAATACACGACTGCTTGGAGGAAATGAAACATGAAAATAGCATCATTTACAGAGGCAGGAAATCATATACTTGTTGTGAAGGAGAAGAAATAACTGAGCAGGTAGAAGCAAATTCATTTGAAATAAATTCTCAGCAAAAAGAGGCTTTTAGACTGAGTGGGGAAGGTGATGATAGAGTGAAAAAAACAGATATTTTTTAAAGGTTCTCTATACTTGTGCCAAACTGAACAGCGCTTCTATTTTTTCTTTTTCTTTATCATTGATTCCCCCCCTCCACTTTATGGTAGGCAGTGGCAGCAGCATGAAGCTTTTAATATTTTAATTCCATCTTCATAATAATAGGTATGATGGTGATAAATGTTGGAGAACTGCATGGTTATTAATTGACTTGAGTTTTAGGGAGGGCTGCCCCTCCGGCTTTTTATTTAATATGCCTGTTACATTTATATTAGCATAAACATTTGTACTGAAGACGCAATAAAAGATTGATAGACTGTACTGTAGGAAGACTGGGAATACTGAGTTAAAAGACCCAACTATGTGCTTTTTTTTAAAAAAAAAAAAGGTGTCAAAGCTGCTGGCTTGTTGCTTAGTGTTGCTTGAAATTTCACAAAAATGCATTCTGCTGAAGGAAGCTGTAATTTTTCCATAGATCAACTGCAGCCCTCCTCAACTCAGTAACCCACAGTTGTGTTGATTAATGATGATTGAACACCTTTTGGGGGGGGGAGGGAGAAGAAGGTCCAGAAAGCAGAAGGCCAGAATTATGACATCTGTAGGAGCAACCAAGCATAGTTTTCATTCCTCCAACTTTATTTACTACTGAATCATGAAGCTCAAACTTTAGCTGTCCTGTCCTGTAATAAGTCATAAATCAATACCTGCTTTGGAAAAAAAAAATGAACATCCAACTGTATGTTCAAAAGACATTTTGTCTTTGTGGTGTGGGGCAGAGAGAACAAATGCCCAAAGTAGAATCTGATGCGCATGACAAAAGGTCTAGTACAATTTGCCTTGGCGAACTTGCCGTGGCAATCCCACTGCAGCCAATTCGTCGTGGGACAACCCGCCACAGAAAATTCCATGCAGGATTGACAAAAATGGAAATTACGTCAAAGAAACAGTGGCGGATAACATTTATTGTGCTGAGTTATCCCGCATGGAATTTTGCATGCTGAGTTGACCCATGGTGAGTTGACCATGGTGAACTGTCCCCTGCTGAGTTGGCTCCCATGGTGAGATGGCCCCAGTGAGTTGGCTATGGCGTATTGTTCCACTCTGCCATGAGGAAGACACTGCCTTAAACTAAGACCTTAGAAGTTTGCAAAATCTTTTTTCAGAATAACCCTAAATCAGGAGCAAGAGGTCTGTGGCCTTTTAGAATTTGATGTTATACAAATCTGAATTTATAGTTAATAATGGTAATAAAATCATTGTATATCAATAAACAACATTTAGAAGCTTGCTCTGGGTGCTGCTAACATCGGCAAGATGGTGAACGTCCCCAAAACCCGCAGGACTTACTGCAAGAAATGTGGGAAGCATCAGCCCCACAAAGTCACCCTGTAAAAGAAGGGTAAAGAGTCTCTGTATGCTCAAGGAAAGCGGAGATATGACCGTAAGCACAGTGGCTATGGTGGTCAGACAAAGGCCATCTTCCAGAAGAAGGCCAAGACCACAAAAAAGATTGTGCTGAGACTGGAGTGCATGGAACCGAACTGCAGGTCGTAGAGGATGTTGGCCATTAAGAGGTGCAAGCACTTCGAGTTAGGAGGAGACAAGAAGATAAAGGGCCAGGTCATCCATATTCTTTGATATGGAGCCCATTTGCCCCCACCACCAAATTCCCATTTATTTGTGTGGGCACGTATGTATATAAGGGAAAGAGCTTGAACCAGAACATCACAATGCACATAGTACCATTCTGAACAAATGTCTGAAGTTGGAGAGAGCAGAAGGAATGGCTTTGGGGGCAGGAGGAAAACCTCCTACCAAGTAAGGACCCCGATTTCCAAGCAAGAATGTAATGTCACTAAGCAAGTTCTTCCCAAGTTTATACGATGGAGAGAGGGAGGAGGGAGGCCCATTCAAACCAGCAAGATTTTGTTCTTACAGCTTTACAGCAAAAGTAGTATTGACCTACATGGCATTGACTTCCTAGTCTCATGTATCTGATAGGATCCTGTGGATGCCTCTTGCTAAATTTGGCAGGTAAGAACTCAGCACTTTCGTTCTGTCTAGCAAGATCTTTTTTCAAATTGCACCCTTGAAAGCTGTCATGCTGATATCACACAGCTCAGGCTGGAATTATACTGTTTGTGTTTGGATGTTCTCTTCTAAGCTCTTGAAAAAGGGCTTGGCGTTTCTCTGGCAGCAATCCATATTCTAAACGCATCTGAAGCTGTGCAGGTATGAATGTGATTAGAACCCAAGAGCAGAGAAACCACTGTGAGGGTGTTAGAACTTCCGGGGGTCTCTTTCCATTTTCCCATTCTCTATTGCTACAATGCACTGAATCCAATCTGTCTTCGAGCCTTGCGTTTGACCAATTAAAACCAGCACATCTACCCTGATTAATCCACAACTCGTATTTTAAAAAATGTATGGTTGATTAATTTGCTGATTATGAAGCTTGAGCCTTGTTTTTTTTTTTAATCTTCCTCCTGTTGATGCCAAATAGTAAACACTAAAGTATGCAAAGCAAGAGAAATCATGGAAATGCAATCAATTTGCATAATTCAAACAGGTCGTAGAGCTCGGCTATTCCTGCCAAGAGTTGGGGTTGTTTTGGCACGGGCGTTTTCATGCATCTATTTCTTTATTTTTAATTGCAGAGCAGAAATGGTCCCGCATAGGAACACCTGTGCCCTGCTTGGAGCACAACGTAATTGACTCAAAACCACAGTGACAGGAGGAGTTGCTGGATGTTGTCGGGGGTGTTGTCGATCTAATCTTTTCCAGTCGTTGAACTTACCCTATTGTGCAACCCGCCTCTGCTTCAATTGTCCAGACACAGTTGAGGTTGTGATCATAGGGCGTTGGGAACCCTGGAGACAGGATTCTTCCCGAAGACTCGCCTCGAATGCTGCCCCCACACTCAGCTGAAAGAAGCCACAAAACAATTCAGCAATTGAACTCTAAACATCCTTTGCTTCTTCCTTTGGGGAAGACTTTACTTTTGCTGCCCATTCATGTAAGAGATTCTAGAGAAAAGAGGCTACAGAAAATATAGAACGTCCAACTGCTATTATCATTTGGGTACCCACCATCTATTAGAATTACAGCTTCATAATTTCCTTTGACCAAACTACCTGGTAGCTCAGTTGTTAAATGAATCTAGTTTCCCCATTGGCTTTGCTTGTCAGAAGATCACTAAGGGTGAACAGATCGCATAATCTCAGCATACAGCAAGGGTCATGAATATGAATCAGTTACCAAGCATCTGAATTTTGATCATATGATCCCAAGCATGCTGCAAAGGTCATAACTTTGAAAAACGGTCGTAAATTGCTGGCTGGGGTATTCTGGGAGTTGAAGTCCACACATCTTAAAATGGCTACGGTTGGGAAACACTGACTTATTCAGACAGCCAACAGCTAGAAACCAAGAAGTGGCCAGACAATTCCCGATGCTCATTCCTTGCCAAACGGTGAGAACATGACATGGCGACAAAAGGAAGGCTTGATTTGTGCCCTCGAGGTGTATTAAAAGAGCGAAACCGACTGCATCTGGTATTGATTGACTCATTAGCCTGAAGGTTATTGGAAAAAAAAACAGTAGTATGAATGCCGAAAAGGAAATGGTAGGAATTAAAGCTATTGTGCACATTTGGACAGGTGAAAAAGATTAATAGGTAATCTTCTGCAGCACTCCTGCCATTGATCCTGATCCATTTGTAAAGGTGGCACTTTGTGCCCTTAATTCATCCTAAGCAGCCTTTAGATTAGAACCGTATTTGTCAGGCCCCAGGAACCAAGGACCACATGTGGAGGAGTGACTTCTGAGTAATTCCTTTATTGTTGTTCTCCTGCAAGCAATTACAAGTGTAGATATGTTTTGTGAGTTGCTAGGGAGGGTCCAACCTTGCTCTCTTCCTGCCTACCAGGCATTCTAAGCTCCATGCTTCTCTGTCTTCTGGATAAAAGTCCCTCTTTCTTGCAATTCTGGACTGATATTCCAATAACCTCTCAGCTATGTGTTCAATTATTTAACAATTTTATCCCATTGAACTTTCCATTTAGTAAGAACATTTCAAGGGATTTTTTCCTGAAGATTCCAAGAACTATGGGTGGCTTTGGGACATAAAATTACACAGCTCAACCAACTGCTTGGCCATCCCCTTAGCAGCTATGCCAAATGTCTGGGGAGTGACTACCACACAAGAGAGAGGAGTCATACCTACGCAGGTGGGGAGAGGCTGGTCCCAGGATCTTCGCTCTCCAGTCAAGCAAGTAAGCCCACGGCTGCCGCGTAATGTGTAGCCAGGGTCACAATTGAAAGAGACGGAGCTTCCTGCAAAATGTCCCTCGTCGTGGACTTTATAGCCAAATTGCGGGATACCAGGGTTCTCACACTTGATTAAATCAAAACCTGAAATCAGGAATAAAGGCAAATGGTTAGAAAGGACCCCCAATCTCCTCTCGGCTGTTGCTTTAGCAAAAACTGTCAATGGCTGATGAAATTCTTTTAGAGGCTTCCAGGATGTGGTCTGAGAAAAGGCATCCAAGAACATTGAGCCTGGTAGTCTTTCTAAAGTGTCAGGACTAAAGTAAAGCATCCAACGGAAAAGACCCAGGGAAGTGGAAGTATTTAAGAAACCAGAGAGGAAAATGCTGCAAAAGAGCAAGGAATAGATTCCTCTTCAAAATAGGTTTGTTATTTGCTGATTCTGAACTTTATGGATCAATCTGACGGATGGGTTGGAAACAGATGCATTGAAGGCTGTTTCTTGTGTAGCTTGTTTCAGTGGAGGTAGTGATCTGCAATTTTTCAAAAGAGGGCTCAACAACCTGATTATGTCAACACTGCAAATACTGTATATTCTTGCTTTGGCAAAATATGCAAAACTGTCTGGTATTTTGAGAGTTAATGCAGAGCAGAGGAGGGAGGAGGGAAAAGCCTGGGAAACAGAAAGGAAGTGAATCTTTGCCCTCCAAGTTAATTGGAAGATGTGAGTCATGACCCCAAAATAGGGGAGGGGAAATGCCTGGAATGTTATGTGCAAAAGGAAGGGAAGTTCAGACCTTGGCATCCCCATCATGCCGTGCTGACACGTCTCTGCTAATAAAGGTTTTTTTTAAGTTAAACCATGCCTGAAAACTCTTTGAAGTGTTTCATTAGTCAGACACATGACAGATTATGAGTAAAACAATAGACATAGAATGATGGGAAAGTGTGTGAAGATTAACACAATGATATTTACACAGACAACTTGTAATGAAAAATGTGCTCTTACATGAAGCAGGTACAAATAGTTTTCCTTTTGAAGGTTTAGGTATGAAAAATAAAATCTCATCAAAAGATCTGGCATTAGCTTGGCTTCCATCTAGACACCCTTACTTGCTAACTAATTTTCCTTAAATGTTTGGAGCAGTACATAGACTGACCCCTGGATGAATGTTATTATATTGTTTGTTTTGTTAATTTATATTGTGTTTTTATTGTTAGCCGCCCGGAATCCTGCGGGAGTGGGGCGGTCTATAAATTTTAATAAATAAATAAATAAACACTGCCCTGATCCTTTTCCCCAGCTGCAGAATCAGCAGCCTCCATACTTACTAGAAAACTGCAGCTCAAAACCTTGATCCGTGCCATTTCCATCTGTGATGAATTCAAGCCACATCGAGCTGGAAGTGCTGTTGACATTAAGACCCAACATCTCGGCACGGCTGAAGGAGCCCAGCAGGCGAGCCGAGTTATTGTTGCCATCATAAATCTTGGAAAAGAGGAGAAAATAAATGAGAAGATGGATTCCCTTGTCTCTGCTCATCCGCTGACCAGGTACCTTTTGTCTCTATAAAGTCAACGGTTTTGTTCATTTGGTACCCTGGGGATGGGTGGAACATTCCTCATTGTCCCATGCCTTTGGCCTGGGCACTGTGACATGAAAACAGTGTTGACTTTTCTTTTGAAGAGGGAAGGCATGTTGCATTGGTAGCCACTAGGCTGTGAAAAATATCAAAATGCCTTTGTCAAGCACAAAGAATTGGGACTTCCAGTTAGATTGCAGTATAGACAATTTATTTAAGCTTATAAACAAGAATCTGGTCAAGTGAAGTTCAACACTAAATTGGTGCCAGATGAGAGTCAACAGAATGCAGGTGGGGTTGGACTTTGATCTCTTCTGGCAACACAAGGACTCTAAACTGATGATACATTTAACTCTGCCCCCAGCTCTGCTTTTCTTCTGCATCCTTGCATTCAAAGCATCTGTATTCCTGCAATGCTCAGTACAAGATGGTCTCTCAAAACATGAAATTGCTTCCCTGGATCATTGTGAAACTTCCAACAAGTTTGCTTTGAGCTCAAAATTCCACCCAATGTCCCAAAACAGATCTCCTGCTCTCAAAATGACAATGTTACTCTTTGATTTAAAATGTTCTGCATACTAACAATAGCTACCCATAGAATTGAATAGAATAGAATAGGATAGAATAGAATAGAATAGAATAGAGCTGGAAGGGACCTTGGAGGTCTTCTAGTCCAGCCCCCTGCTCAAGCAGGAGAACCTATACCATCTCAGACAGGTGATTGTCTAGTCTCTTCTTAAAAATCTCCAGTAATGGAGTGCCCATGATTTCTGGAGACAAGCTGTTTCCACTGGTCAATTGTCTTCACTGTCAGGAAGTTTCTCCTTAATACCAGGTTGCTTCTGGGAAATTTAGATTTAGATTTCCCAGGATGTATCTGAGAGGTATGATTGGCAGTATAAACCTGGCAAATGACTAAATCAATGCAAGTGTTGGAGAAGCTATCACAGTTGCCACTATCTCCCCCTCTAAACCATATCTCAAAAAATAACTATTCCATTCAGTTAACAAAATCGGTTCACCCGATGAATAAAACAATTACATCATTTTTTTTTGTTTGTATACTATCTCAACCAATCAACCAATATTTCTTTATGGTCCAAGACCAAACACAACGACAAATTAGCATACAATTACAGTATCTATAAAAGAAAGTTTTAAAAATGGAGAGAAAATCCTATCCTAACACCTCCAAAACCTTAGGTCAGAATGAAATAATTATATAGATTGCCTCCAGAAGTGCTCTCTTCTGCAGCTTTTCGTTGAGAATGAAAGGTTAAAAAAAGATGACCTCTTTTAAAAATGTCTCTCCGCTTCATTATTTATATGCATTTCAGTTAAAATGACATTAAAAGTGTTTTATCAGTTTCCTGATTAATTCGAGACTGTTTTATTTTATTATTTTATCCAGCTTTCTGAACTCAAGGAATCTTAGAATAATATGAAGAAATATAAAATATAGAATTCCCCTATAACATCTTCACAACTTGGTTCTTATTTTACTTCTTATTTGGGTGCTGTTCTCACATTCAAAACTACAAGACGTATATAGAATGTCCATGGAAGGAGATTCAAGTTTGATCCCAATTTTCATCAGAAAATGACAATTTGGGACAATCCAACCCATAAGATCTTTTTTGGGTGTTAACAAACAAAAGTCATATTCCATTAAAACACTATCTGATTTGAAATTGTTAATAAAATTAGAGAAAACATTTGAAAGTGCCTAAAGTCCCTAAACCTACAGTCACTTTATAATTCTATAGTTCAAAACGTACCATGATGACTGTAGGAAACCTATTTTAATATATCAAGAGGCTAGAACATTTTAAATATTATATTAATATTGCACCTTTTTAACATGCGATGAATTCAATATTTTTTTTCCTGTTGGTTGAACAGTTGAGAAGATGTATCTGATGGGTTTCTATTCCTGCAAATTGGGACACTGACACTGATTTTGGACACCCTCAATGCTGACACTCTCGTGATTTGTTATTTATAAGGTTGCAAATAAAGTGTTGGAAGAATGAGGGCTAAAGATATTTATGTGAGGTTAAATTTGGAATCTAGTGAAGTATGAAGTGTGAGTAGCAGCTAATAAGATTATTTGACACTGGTGGAAACAGTCTAGCATACCTAAAATGAAAAACTTGAAAACAAATGCATGCAGAAATTGTACATAAGAATTTTATAATTTTATGTAAAATTTGTGCTTGTATTTTATGGACATTAGGAAATCCTCAATCAAAGTCCTTCTGTATAGTCAAAGTTTTAATTCATGGTTTAGGACTTGAGATGTAACATATATAAAATGTATGCAATAAAATATGCATGTGTAACTTTTTTTGGGGGGGTTTTCTTTGTGTTTTCTCCCTCCTTAATTTCATTTCTGTTACTCTTGTTTTGTGTACAGCGTATTTTTATTCTATGTTCTATTTGGTTAAGTTTTCTTCTTATTTATGTGTAATAGATTATGACACACTTTGAAAAGGAAATCAGAACCCTTGACATCAATGTTAAACTCACTATCATGAAATCTGTAAAAAATTAATAGCTTGGGAAAATATATGGCATTTTCCTACTTTCTGAAGTGCAAGATAGGGAAGATACATCTCCATGGAGAAATCTGCAAGCCACAGGGAAGAAGTACACCTCCCAGAGAGCTCTGCATCTAGCACTTCTTAGAACAGTGATTCTCAACCTTTTTAATGCCGCGACCCCCAACCGGTCATAAGTTGAGGACTACTCAACCGGTCGTAAGTAGAGGACTACTCAACTGGTGCAGCACCATTTGCAGAATGAGACTTTTGGCGGGCTCAGCAGGGCAGAGACAGCCTGGACAATTCCTATTGGCTTTTGAAAGCCAATAGAATTAGACTCTATTCAAGAGAGTCTATTCTATTGGCTTTCAAAAGCCAATAGAATAAAAGGGAGTAGCACAGCTAAGGAAAAGGGGGGAAAAATGGCAGACTGCGTTGTTTGGCAACCCCCGTGAAATGGTCGTTCGACCCCAAATGGGGTCCCGACCCACAGGTGGAGAACCACTGTCTTAGAACATCTTCAAAAAGTCCCTTCTCCTGATCTAATTTCAGGTAGTCCTCAACTCACAATAATTCGTCTAGTAATAATAATAAAAACTTTATTGTCATTGTATGTGTATACACAGTATACACATACAACGAAATTTACGTGACACCCAAAGACCAGGTCCCACACACATAATCCCCAAACACACTCCCACCCACCACAATTCCCCACCCCTAAAACCACCCAAACATCCACCCAACAGACCAAGTAATACTGTCCAACAGTCCACTGATGGTGGCCCTTTAGTTCATTATTAAGTGCAATTATAGCTCTGGGATAAAAACTATTCAGAAAATGTGTGGTCCGAGTTTTAAACGTTCTGTATCTTCTGCCAGAAGGCAACAGTCCAAAGAGATTGTAAGCAGGATGGGAAGAGTCTCTGAGAATGTTATGCAACGTCCTCAAACAGCGAGATTCAAAGATAACTGTTTAAAGTTACAGTGAGCATTGACAAAAGGGACTTACAACCAGTTCTTGCACATATAACTGACGCAGCATCCCCATGGTCACATAATCAGATTTGGGTGCTTGGTAACCAACATGCATTTACCATAATTGATGTGTCTTGGGGTCACATGACCTTCCCACTGGCTTCCAACAAGCAAAGTCAATAGAGGAAGCTGGATTTGCCTGATGACTGCATGAGTCACTTCACAACCATAACAAAAAGAGCATAACACTGGGCACAACTCACTTAACAATCACCTTGCTTTAAAAAAAAATGAAAATTCAATTGTGATTGTAAGTTGGGTAACCAGGTAGTTCTGTCCCAGGACAGACAGTCTCTGAAAACAGTCAGATCCATTTAGAGCTTTGAAGGTCTATGCTAGCATGGTAAATTATGCTCAGTAGACAATTAGTAGCTGGTACATATCTTTCATTACAACCATCACGTGATCCTGAATAGAGGCAGCAGTCTGGCCATCCCATTTTGCACTAATTGCTTTCAAGGAAAGCACTACATAAAACATATTGCTATGGTCAAGATGGGTTGGGACAAGATGTGGATAATTGTCAGCATATTCAACTGGCGCAAGAAGCGATGCAGCAGGCACAGAAGACTCCTATGTGAAGGCATTCCTCACTTCAGATGCCAAGGGTTAAGTTAGTGAGGACACTCCCAGTGCAAATCTGCTTTTTCAGGCAGAGTGGAAGCCTGTCCAAAGTAGGTCGAAGCTCATTTCTTGAGTTTAATATCCTCTTTACCTACAACATCTTAATCGTGTTTGGATTTGGCTTCAGCTTCTTCTCTAGTCCAGCCCATTATCAAATGTAGAGAGTAAGGAACAACAAGCTGAGCTGCATTGAAGACATTCTACTCCAAAGACCCTCCCAGTGGTGTGATGTGGGACTCCATAAGTCTAAGCCTAGAAGCCAAACAACTGGTCACAGCCTGATAGAACAGACCAGTTGCATACTACTTCAATGTCGAAGACCCAGTTCTGCTAAATAGTCCAGAAAGATACCATTACTGATAATATAGAAAGCTACCAAGAGACGTGAGGAAAGCAGCACTGTTCAGAAGTCCTGGAAGCAATTGGGAGTCTAGGATTACAGACCTACTTTTTCTGGGAAAGTACAACCCCATGCAAAATTTGGTCTGGGATTCAGCAGTTTTGAAATGCATTGGTTCTTATTTTCTTGTTGTGTTGCTGGCTTAGCTACACTTTAACCCTCATTTTAATCCACTGGATGATAAGTCCTTACCTTGAGAACATCTCCAGCTTCCAAACTGAATGCCCTGGCTTTGAGCTGAATTCCTTTTCCTGGCTGCGTCTGGATGGAATAGATACACTCGTGGTAGCTGTTGTAGTTTAGGGGATAATTTGGAGATAAGAGAACACCTTGAGTCCCCGTCACAGAGGAACCACATTCCGCTACAGAGAAAGAGGCAGAAGGATTGACTGTTAACAGATGGGGATATACAAGTGATATAAAAAGCATACTGTCTGGGTAAATACTGATGTGGGCCTATTGTGTTTTTCTTCCTACACATGGAACCTTGAATCTTGAATAAAGGAGGATATTTGCAGCTCAGGGTTGAACTGAAGGGATCCTTGGTGCTCTCTGAGCTTGGTTGTTTTCCTTGCAGATGTTTCATTACCTAAACTAGGCAACATCATCTGTGCTAGACTAGAAATCAAACATTGGATTACAGAAATAAAGAACCATTTGGACAGCGTAACGTAGTCTACTACTACATCCATATTGCCACCTTCTCTTGCTCTGTTATCAAGCTGGTTCAAAAAAGATGGTGCCCTCCTACGCAATTATATTGTAAGCCACCTAGAGTCATCTCTAGATGAGAGGGGCAGTATGTAGGTTTACTAAATAAGTATGTCAAGGTTCCGACTAATGAAACACTTCAAAGAACTTCCAGGCATTTTATCCTAAAAAGTCTTTTTATTCATGTGACAAAATGTCGGCACGGCATGATGAAAGGATGCTAAGATCTGAAATCTCCACCCCCAAACAGTTATTTTTGCTAGCATTTTCCCTCCCTTATTTTGCTGTCATGATTTATGTTCTCCAATTAGTTTGAAGGGCAAAGGTTCTCTTCCGTCCTGGGCTTTTCTCTCCTCCCTCCCTCATCTGAATTAACTCTAAAAGTACCAGACAATTCTGCATATTTTGTCAAAGCAAGAATATTCAATATTAGCAACGTTGACAAAGTAAATATATCCCTGTACCCTGAACCCTGATATTGTTTTATCTTAGTTCTGCATCTCTTAACTATGCTATGGGGCTGAACACATCTAAAACGTCTCAAATGTGTTGTATTCTTCCATGATTTGTGAAAGCAGAAAATAACCCAGCCTTACTGTCAATTCCCAGAAAATGAAGCCAAGTTGGTATATGACACGAGAAAGCTGGAAATCTAAAATCGGTAAGCAGCATTTAAAACATCAATTTCAATGTCTTGATGAGGACAAGAACTGAAATAAAAGCCATCCCAGCGGAGCAAAACTTTCACCGATGCTAGTAATACTTAAGTAATACTGTAACCCACAGCTGTCAAGGCCATTTCTGCAGCCTCCAGAGCACTCCTGCCTCACTACAATTGCCAGTGAGATTTTCCTCATTCTTTTATGACTGGAAATAACATGGATAAAATGTCTTTTGTCTGAAAAATATTGCTAGTTTAAAAACAAAATCTGAAAATGATTCATAAAAATCCTCCCTCTGCAGGGATGTCTAGAGGGCTGTTGGAGGAGAGAGTACCTAAAATTAATAACTGGGTGCTTGTTAAATCTAGTTTGCAAATCTTAATTTGTGATAATGAAGGGTGACCTAGATGTTTGTGCAGATGTAATGTTGCCTATACTCTGTGTCCTGAGTACTTGGCTTTGATTATTATTTTTTCATCTCTCTAAGGTCAAAGGATGATCAAACACATGGACAATGCAAACTATCATAGGGCCAGCAATTGTAGGCTTCTGCTCCTGTTTATTCACTCAGTCTTATCCATTTCCTAATGCTTCCCATAGACCAGGGGTAGGCAACTTTGGCTCTTTTATGACTCTTTAGCCTTTAGCTGGATCAGGAATTCTGGGAGTTGAAGTCCACGAGTCATAAAAGAGCCAAGGTTGCCTACCCCTGCCATAGATCAAAACCAAGAAAGGCTAAAAAGCTTGCCCAGAGTATGTTCTGATACACTAGATTGCCAAGCAAAATTAAAGCACGTGACCACCTACCAACACACCTTGGCAGTGGCGAACTCCACACACGCCGTCGACCGCCCAGGCAAGTAATGCTGAAGACACCTTCCAATCGATACCCAGGGAAGCAGGAGAAAGTCAAGATGTCCCCCACACCAAATTGAAGACCTTTGCGGATGCTGTAGATCGGCACTTCGGGCTCATCACAAGGTTCTAAGTCATATTCTGATGGATAGAGAGACACAAGCAACCACTGGACATTATCCCCAAATAGAAAACTTAGACTTTTAAACACAATTCCTAGACAAGAACATTTCTTTTTCTCTCTCTCTCTCTTTCTCTCTCCCTCCCTGATATTAATAACTTTCCATCTTCCCCCTTCCTGCTCCCGCCCCCCATCTTTTAATTGGACCATAATGTTTTGGATTTTATATTAACTTATTTATGTTTTTAATTTATATAGTTTTATTTTTTATGATTGTAAGCTACCCAGGATTACCTTGAGGTAAGATGGGCAGCCTATAAATTTAATAAACGAACAAACAAATAAATTTAAAAAAACTGGGATGTCCAGATTTCCTGGAAGGTTTCAACCATTTTCTGGACCATACAATATTGATCTTCTTGAGAAAGCCTTGATAATTATTCAGCATTTTTATTTGGGGTGGTGGTGGTGGTGGAGAGGAATAGGTTGTGATCCAATCTGATAAAATAAAACATGCTTTCTAATCTTCATTCCAAGAAGAAGAGAAAGCCGTGAGGCACTTGCACTTCTTTAAGGTCAAAGTAACCCAAAAGAAGGTCCTTTTCACTGTCCAATTCACCTCCTGGTGGCAATTTGCAACTCATCATTTTGCAAACGCCAATTTTCACACATCACTCCAAGAGAAGAAGCTAATCCCACGGATTTTTCCTCCTACAGGTATCTATGGGTACTAATCCTTGAGAAATTGTTGGGAAATTTCTCTTCTCCCTGGACTTCTAGTGAAGCATCCTGTTCTATCCCAGCCTATTGCCGTCCTTTTTCAAGGCACAAGGACCAAATCCCTGTTGATACAATAGGCTGGAGACTTTAAAACAAAACAAACCCCTTTTAATATGGGTGACAAACCTGCCAAATAGTCCAAAACACAAACAGCAAAACTCAAGTCCAAAGGAAGGAAATAGTCCATAGGAAACATGATGCAAACAGAAGAGTAGTCACAAGCAAGATAAACAGACCAGGATTCCAAGAAGCTCTTTGCAAACGGTTGCCTTCAGGTCCTCTTTTTATACAGCAGTCCCAAGGCGTTGCCTCTCATTGCCTTCTCCAACTCTTGCCTGGAGTTGCTGTATTGACTGCTGCTCATTTACTCTTGCTAATTGACGACGTGTGCGAGCATCAATTAGCAAGTCCATCAGGTGTGAGTCCTCCGGGTCTGACTCATTCTCCTTACACAGCTGAGCTTCATCAGGAACACGACTGGAGGGCCCAGGCTCTGTATCAAACCGTGAGTCCTGTAATTCATCAGAGCCGCCCTCTGCCCCTGATGGCCCTTCAAAGGCCTCCTCCACCTTCTCCTCAGATTCCTCAGACTCAGCTGTTGGGAGCACAGGCTGGCACGGAATCACAACACATCCCTTCCCAGTTTGGTGGGGAAATTTGAAAAACCCATTTCAAATGAAAAACCTAGGCGAAAAAAATATCCTGCAACTGACAAAGGCCTTGGAGGCAGGAGAAACCATTTTGCCTTTGGGCAAAGAACAGGAAAAAGGAAAACTCCTAGCCAGCCCATTTTGCTTGCACTATTGGGCAGCAATTCCTCAGGCTCTGAATGAAGCTTTTCCTAGACCTATTTGAAAACACAGAGGTTAAACGTTGAGTCTTGCTATATCAGTGTTTCTCAACCTTGACAATTTTAAGGCATGTGGACTTCAACTCCCAGAATTCCACAACCAGCAATGCTGGCTGTGGAATTCTGGGAGTTGAAGTCCACATGCCTTAAAATTGTCAAGGTTGAGAAACACTGTGCTATATGCAAATGGTAGTTGCTCTCTTAGTGAGCAATTCCTCCTCTGCTTCTCCTTTAACTCTGCTAACTTTGCTGACATTTGGCTTTGCTAGAACTAAAACTAAGACTTTGCGTTGCTAATTCCTCCATATTAATGTGGCAGTGCTGATCCCATTGGGAAAATATCTCCTCTATTTTTAGCCAGAAGTATATTTTAGCTGAGTTGCAGCAAATTATCAGCCTTTTCACTCACTGTTTTTTTTTTATGTGTGTGTCAGTGGTCAGTGTTCTTTTTTTTAATGCACTTTTATATTAAATGTATCTTCTGGTCCTGGAATCGGTTTTTAGTGCTTTGTTATTTTATCAGCCCTGGTTCATAACATATTACAAATACGATCACAAAACTGGCAAACAAATAATGCAATGGCTGCAGTGCAAACCAGACCATTACACACCTATTGAGCATGGTAGGGCTACAATTGCTTATTGGTTGCCACCAATCAAGATGGGAAAAATATAGTAAAACATGCCTTAGATTGGAACAAATTGGTACTCATTCATTAAAAAGAAAAAAAGAGTTTGAAACTGCCCATCCTGGAGAACACAGTCAATACAGAAGCAATCTTTTCCTATAGCTTCTCTAAATTTTATTTCTTAGATCTGGGCATTAGATCCTCTGTTGTACACGGCACAATATATTTTAAAATGCTAATGTTGTTGTTAAAATTAAAATGAAGTTGGTATGCTGCAACGGAAGGCATAGCCTTCAGGGTCATCATTATTTCTTTAAAAGAATTATGAGAACACTTTGCGGATGGGGAGAGGAGAGACAAAAATACGCTGAGGGTTGAGAGGAGGGATCCTTGTGGATTAGACAGAGGAACCTGGAATAATCTCATTAATCTGCCCTCTGGTTATTTGCTGCTTTCTGACTAAACCCAATGTGATAGCCATGTGGTCAAAATGTCAATTCTACCCACTGTCTCAGACTTCTGTTTTAGTTTTTAAGTGTAAAGAATTTTGCTACAACATGGGATGGCTGTAAGAAGAGAAGGCCAACATTTATAGTGGTTTATGACTGATTAAGATTGCCATAAACCAAGGAGAGCCCAGGATGGCTCAGTATTTTTTTACTTAAAGTTAGTGTTGAGTATCTAGAACAGAGGTGGAGAATTATGGCCCCTTTATGACTTGTGAACTTCAACTCCCAGAATTCAGGAATGGGTGGCTCAGGAATTCTGGGAGTTGAAATTCACCTGTCATAAAAGGGCCATAGTTCCCATCTAGAACATGTCTCTCCATGGTATCCTTTTCTTGTCTCCAGCGTATGGAGCAGTGGTTCTCAACCTGTGGGTCGGGACCCCATTTGGGGTCGAACGACCATTTCACGGGGGTCGCCAAACAACGCAGTCTGCCATTTGCCCCCCCCTTTTCCTTAGCTGTGCTACTCCCTTTTATTTTATTGGCTTTTAAAAGCCAATAGAATAGACTCTCTTGAATAGAGTCTAATTCTATTGGCTTTCAAAAGCCAGTAGGAATTGTCCAGGCTGTCTCTGCCCTGCTGAGCCCGCCAAAAGTCCCATTCTGCAAACAGTGGTGCACCAGTTGAGTAGTCCTCGACTTACGATTGGTTGAGTAGTCCTCGACTTACAACCGGTTGGGGGTCGCGGCATTAAAAAAGTTGAGAACCACTGGTATGGAGGATCATGATGTATTTTGGTGACCTGTCCGGGGTAGTTACTTATTTCTCAGGTACCAGCCCTTACCTGAAAAAGTGATGTTGAAGCCTTCATAAGAAATGGAGAAGTCAGAGATGAAGCGGATCTGAGCAGAGAAATTCCCAAAGAGGCCAGCGCTGAAAGGAGCAGGCAGGTGGGAACCAGTGAGCTGTTTCAGAGGCTGACTGAAGCTGCCATTTTCAGTGATCAACAGGTAGTCGTGACCACTCTCCAAGTGGAAAGTGTGGAAAGTGAAGAAAACACCTGGAGGTAATACAGTGCGAGAGATATGCTACTTCAGAGATACCTGAATGTTGCTGTGAACTGGATCGTGATTAATCAGAGAACAGAAATCACAGAACTATCAAATTCCATCATGCACAAAATCAAAGTCCAATAGCATTTTTTATTTGGCAAAGAATCAGCTTTACAACATGAATGAATGAGTGAATGAATGAATGAATGAATGAATGAATGGATGGATGAAGACTTCAGAGGTTGTGCAAAACATCAACAAAACATATTAATATGGGAAACTTTAGGATCAAAATAGATTTGATACAAGGGACATAGAAGAAGTCTGTTTAAAGCTTTAATGTAATAACGGTGGAAAGAATGGAAAGGATCTAGATATGATCAGAAGAACAGTTGCACAATATGACTCAGATATTTCTCCTTGTGTTATACCCAATTTAGTGGTTTTTCAAGCAATCCTCTGGATTTGGAACCACAGAAAACTAGGGACATGGTTTTGAAAACAAACAGAACAAAACACAATAAATCTAAGATAGCCATCATGAACTCTGCACTTTCAATTATGGTGTGCTTTCTTTCCATCCCTGTGGGAATCACAGGGACCACAGCATGATTCCAAATCTATCAAAGTTTTATCAGCTGGCAGTGGGACCATCAACCTGAGAGAAAACAAATGAGTAGAAGCCTTTAACCCAGAAAATTGAGTCAGGCTCATGGAACTCAGGGGATCTTGTTTTGTTGTAAATATGATATAGTAAAACTGCTAAGCTCTATCTGGAAGTTCCCGGTGTGAGGTTATCTGGTGGATGAAATGCCCTCTGATGGTGCTGTAATTTGCACATTAAATGAATGGTCATCAACATTAATTTCCTTTTCGTGGATCTTTGGGGATACTTCTGAATCTTAAGCTTAATTATCTTCGTTGGACTCCCAAGACCTATTTCAGACATTGTATGTGAAGACCTAGCTCTCTGGGGATGGCTGTAATGCTGGGAAAGGTGAAAGGAAAGAGAAGAATACAACAGTAGCAAAGTGGATAGTTATACTAGTCATGAGTGCATTATCGGAAGAGCTGAAGGATCAAGTTAGGGGCAGATTGTCCTAGGGAACAATCTATGGGATGCCTAAAAGTGAACAATGACTTTGTGGCACTTAATCAGTTAATCAATCAAGACCTCTAAAGTCTGTTCCTGGTTTGTTAATTCTTGAGAGTCCAGTCATTTCCAGCTAGGTGCTCCATCACTGGAGGTTTTTAAGAAGAGACTGGACAGCCATTTGTATGGAATGGTATAGGGTCTCCTGCTTGGGCAGGGGGCTGGACTAGAAGACCTCTAAGATCCCTCCTAACCCTATTATTCTATATTCTATGTTCTATGTCCTTTCATGTTTGATATTTCTTGGGTGCTGAATTGTACATCCCTTGTAAGATTTTTTTATTATTTCAATTCATATCACTGTAGTTATTTCATCTGCTTTGTGAAATAGCCTGTCTTGTAAATGCTGAAATTGATTGCATTCATTATGAGATGTAACTAGATGTGTAATCTTATCATGGTAAGTTTGAAATTATTGTAGAAACCTACTGGGTAGGATTCTATGTGGTCATGATATTTGCAATTCTTTATTTGCTCTCCAAAATGAGGACATCTGGCATTGCAAACAGATCTCTGAATCCCTAACTGAACCTCATCCTTGTCTTCTATTTTTAATTAAAATGGAGCTAGAAAAGAAGATTTGCTTACATTGGGTTTTTGAGTTATTGCATTTGTAACAAATATACTAGGATTGTTTTTTAGTGAAGCCCTTTAAGGGAGAAAAGACCATTATTTCTGAAGTGTAATGATACAACTCATTAGTCTATAACTTATAGAAGTTCCCTTGAACACAGATAAAACAAAAGCAGAGAATAAGGAAACATGTTCACATTAAAATCAAACCTTGTGCTAAGTCAACATTCATTGGAGCAAGCACTATGAAAGGTGTCAGAAATATTTCTTGTTTCTATCCAGTGTTGTTTGACATATTGTGTTTTCTTCTGCATTGGTTGAGGAGTTAATTATTTTTACCAGGTGTCTTTTACAGTTATTTTTACTTTTTTATATGCATGTTTTTGTTTTCAAGCTTTGTTAGCCTCCCAAAGTTATTTGATTACAGTGGACAATCATTAAAAAAAACAAACAGCAGAATAAATAATTATGTAAAAAGATGGTTGCTTCTTTACTGTTGACATCTTAATATAACCAGACTTGATCAGTTATACCGAGTGACTGGTCCAGTCATCCAGAAAGCTTCCACTTATTTATCAATTCATATTTTATTTTATTTTACTTGCCACAGTCAAGATACTTTAAGTAGGTTAAAGTACAGCCATTAAAACAGCCAGGGTACAATATGTTAAGGAAACAATCTTCAAGAGCTAAACATATAAATATATTTTACGTGTTAAAAATTTAAAACAAAAATCATAGAAAGAACCAGCAAAAAAAAAAAAAAGTGAGAGATGGCATCATTTAAGAATCAAAATCTTAAACAATGCTAAGTACTTTTCTAAAGGCCTTGCATGGTAGGAGCTGATTGAATTTCAAGAGGATGAGTTCCATTGTACTGGTGCTGCAGCATAGAAATGACATCCAAGGGCATTCATTTTCCCTCCTAACAAAAGTGGGGATCTGCTGACAGATTCATCCAGGACCCTAACAGGCAGTTCATCTTTTTTTTTGCTCACCACATGATCCTTAATTGGCTAAGATCTCTCAGTGAAGGAGAAAATATGTCCAGTGGAGGCAGATGACGACTAAGTCTCTGGATTGTAACGATAACGTGCTGCTATACAAAGGGACTTTGGGACTTTTTGTACACCCCTTCTTCATTATTCCAAAAAGCCAATCTTCCTTAACACCAGGAAAGGGTTATTTCGTACCTCCCCACTTTTATCTTGCCTGCTATCTCCATACTACCTTTTGGCAAGTATGTTGAAACCTCTCCTAAGCAGTTGTCAGTTTTGGGATCTTAGAATGATGTGTAATTAAATGGGGATAATCCCACCCCCCACCCAGTCCAGATTCTCATCCAATACTGTCTGAATATAGGGAGCCTGCTTACAGGATGATTTACACCTAAGTTGATGATGCAATTTTCAAAAGGAGTACTAGAGTCAAGGGTGGAGATTACTCAGGAGTGGAGAACTATAGAATTTCAACTTGAGACCATTGGACCATCTAGCTCAGTGTTTCCCAAACTTGACAATTTTAAGGCATGTGGACTTCAACTCCCAGAATTCCACAGCCAGCGTTGGGAGTTGAAGTCCTCATGCCTTAAAATTGTCAAGTTTGGGAAACACTGAGCTAGCTTTAAGCTCTGTCTTCAAACAGCAACTGCCAGGGCAGAGATGCAATCCTTATTAAGAGCTGATCAGTGCCCAGGGACTCCCATGAAGTGAGGCCGCTAACTGCAAACAACTATATATCAGAAACAAAGCCAAGAGCCTCAAGGCTTTGATAACGCAAGTTTTAGCAGACTAGAAAATTAATTCTAAGGGATAAGAGCAAAAGAAATGGACATGCTTAGCTTTAGCTGGGTAAGAAAAAGAGCCTTTTGCTTTCAAAGGAGGGGATGGCTCGTTTTTCAAGGGAGAATCAGAGACACTGATATTCCTGATGTGTGAATGAGCCTCTTTCTGCCCTTCTAGAGCAGTGATTCTCAACCTGAGTAAGTTCAAGATGTGTAGATTAATAATAATAATATGTTGCACCTGCAACATAACACCCCGGACTTAACAATTGTCGATAAGAAAGACAAAAAAGTCTGGATAGTGGACGTGGCAGTGCCTGGAGATAGCAGAATAGAAGAGAAAGAACTGGAGAAGATAACAAAATACAAAGACCTACAAATAGAAATAGAAAGACTGTGGCAAAAGCAAGCAAGGGTAGTACCAATAGTCATAGGCTCCTTGGGTGCAATCCCAAAACAACTGGAGCACCACTTGAACACAATTGGCATTGACAAATTCGCTATTAGTCAATTGCAAAAGGCGGCCTTACTAGGAATTGCTTCCATCCTGCAACGTTATCTGTAATACCATCAAACATCCACATCTGCCTATCCCAGGTCCTGGGTAAGGACTCGATAGGTAGACAAAATGCCAAATCCAGTCTGAACATCTGGCTGACTGTGCGATGATCCATAATAATAATTAGAAGTTACAACTGCCAAAACACCTTAGGGAGGTACTTACGTGAGCGAGATTCAAACAAGTGGACACAATGGTCAGATATGGGAGATTCCATTCTATACCTTACAATGAGCATCTCTTCATTTGCGGAGCAGCAGGGGTAGAAGACCTGGCTCACATACTGTTTGATTGTTAACTGTACAAGAGGGTGAGGAACAGGTACCTCGGTCTATATATCAAAGGAATGACTCATTGGGATCCCCATATCAAAACAACTTACCTCATGTGCGGCCAGAACTTGAAAATAACATTTAACGCAGCACAGTATTTAAACAAAATGGTTCGGCTGAGATCTGCATATGTGGGACTGATTGGGGTAGATTGCAAGGGTGACTCCAAGATTTTATCATATTTTATCTATATTTTAAATTACTGTACTCTATTTATTTTCATTTTAGACTGTATTTTACTCCAATTTCATCTTAAGTCATATTTTACTCTAGTTCCATTTTAAACTGTATTTTATCAAATTTTATTTTAAATTGCTTTTATCAGACTTTGGTAATGATTTGTTGCTTTGCACTTTGATATGGCCTAAGGGTTAATCAATAAAGATTTATTATTATTATTATTATTATTAATTATTATTATATTTCTTTTTTTCATGATAGATTTCAATTTCAAGAGATCTGGAGTTATGATAATGGGAAGCTTTAAAACAATAGAAGAATGAAGTGTGTGTGCCTAAACTGAAAGTAGATAAGGTAGGCAGAAAGATGGAAAAGTCCAAATAGAGCCGTTATTCAAGATATTCAGGTTCAACCATTCATTTGAACTCAGGAGTAAACACAGCTTCAATTATATGAGTTGATCTTATCCATAAGAACTCATGCACTAATCAAGAGGGAGATCTGACCTATTGAGGAGAGTCACATATTAAACATGTGCTCAACATTAATCTGCTGTTATGCCTCTGTCTAACCAGGATGTTAATGAACCTACATCTACTATAATAAGAATGAGCAGATATTGCTCATTCTTGCCAACTGACTTCTTGTTTGTTTTCTGGCTCATGCCATTGCTCTTGGCTCAATTGCTTGGACTGTAAATTCAGTTCTTATAGATAGCGATTAACCAGGTCTGTCACAGATATCATCAGAGTTCTTGTATGGTTAACTATTCCTACTTGGTTAGTGGGATAGGTCATCTGCTTGTTGCATTTTTGGCAGAGCTACCTACACCTTTTGCTCGTCCCTGCCAGGAAGGGCAAGGTGAGCTTGACTTAACATTTCTTCTAACCATTGGGACCAATTCATATCACTGGAAGGGCACAAAGAGCCATTGAAACTGTAAGCACTTGGTAAAAAAAAAAAGTGGTCAGGGATAAGCAGACATGGAATCAATAAGATTTCACGTTGTTTGTCCAGTTTTAGTCAATCCTTTTATATTTTTTTGAACCTTCCATTAACCTGTCACAGCAAATGGTTAAAGGCAGATCTATTCTTCTCTTTCTCCTCCAACAAATAAAAAAATTATGCCCCACTTTCTTTGAAATTAATTATGTAATGACTCCTTGATATGTCATATGCTAAACAAATAAAGTAAATATGTCATGAGCCATGAACCATTATCCTAGGATATTTCAAATCATGAACAAGTTGACTTTTCCCCCCTATAGCAGGAGATTTCAGACATCTTCCAGTGCCCTTCCAGTCCAAGGAGATGACTTTTCTCATGGTTTGGATTTTGGATATGGGTCAGGTTGTCTCCAATCCCTTTAGTTTTTCACTGAGACATTTTTAATAAAATAAATAAATAAAATAAATAAAATTGAGGAAACATCTACATTTTCAGGGAATTTCCTGAGGTAGTAACAAACCTATCTTGCCAAATCATTATCTTGATCCTGAAGCAGTCTTGCTTCTAGATACTTTAATCACCATTTTTTCCCTGATGTGAACTTATCGTACATCTGATATTATTATTATTATTTTTATGTGAATCCTAAGCTTCAGGAGATAGCAAAACATGCCCTAGATAGTAACAAACTGGCAGCTGGCATGAAGCTGTCTTTCTTCTAGCAATTTACTGCTTTCTGATTAAACCCCTGTGAAAGCCATGTGGTCAAAATGATGGGAATTTGAGTTGGGGGTCCCAGGATTCCCATTTTCCCAGAATAAAGGAAAAAAAATATAGTGTCTGGGAGAAGTAGTAAACATGGAGCTAAAACGCATTGTAAATTCCTGATAGCTGTCCAGGGTCCTGAAATCACTGTACATGGTGATGCTTTGCATGAACTCTGCCTTGGAGGTGCCCAGAGCCTTTAATTATATGGAGAAGTGGTTGCTGGATCAGAGACTGGACTTGCCCTGTCTGATCTCTTTCTGACTTTATTGTCCTCTTCAGATTGCTGCCATGTGCTGCCAGGAAGCACATCACAGACCACCCATCTGCATTGCCATAATGCATTCTGATCCCGTAAGGCTGGTACCAGAGAGATCCTAGCATTTGCAAAATAAACTATTTATAAAACTGGTGTTGTGAAAGCATGTTGCCCTGCACAGCTTACAAAGGCTGCTCACAAAGGGTGGCCAAAAGCCACACTTTGATCTGAACAAAAAGAAGGCACCATTTGAATAACATTTTAGGAGAAGAGGATCAGGCTCTGTATGGTATGTGCCAAGTATTGCAGTCAGATAATGGGAAGCCTCTCATCAGAAGAAAGATTTCAGGGCTGAGTGGATTAATGAAGAGTAGATTGCTCTGCTCTGTGGGATACCCTGCACAGCATGTAACTCGTTAGTAGTGTGTTGCATTTTTCAACACTGGGTTTATCTGCCTTAATACAATTGGCAACACCGAATTGATTGATAATAGTTCCCATTGTCTTGATTCCTAGCAGACTAGAGGAATTGAACTATTGAAGAACGTTCAAAATTAATGTGCAATTTCTCTCTCTCTCTCTCTCTCTCTCTCTCTCTCTCTCTCTCTCTCTCTCTCTCTCTCTCTCTCTCTCTCTCTCTCTCTCCCTCCCTCCTTCCCTCCCTCTCCCTCCCTCCCTCCCTAAATTCCTCTTTTTTTTCCTCAGCTCTTTGGAGCACAATTTCTTCAAATTCCACTTTATGAAAGAAGAGAGGAACAGGAAAGGAAGCAGGAAAGAACTCCAGACAATTTGGTGAGTGGAGGGAAAATGGACAGTGTATGTTCTGCCAAAATGCATACCAAAGAGATAGCAACCGAAGGCAAAAGAAAGAGGATTTAAGGAAATTTAGGTGGAAGGTGTTACAAAGAGTGCTGGGAGACAGGAAGAAAAAGAAGCAATTCAATACATACAACAATAAAAAATACTATCTGTCTATGAGATATCCTATTTTTTTTTCAAACTGTAGGTAACATATTATGGCTTCTACAGTTGCCTATTAATAAAAAATAAATAAACACAATGTTTAATTACTGATGAGCCTGATGAGCCTCAAAGCAGATGACTATACTGTAGACATATTTTGTGCACTTTGGGGTTCCAAGAGTATTCCAAACATTTACCTTAGAAACAGAGGAGGTTGTAGGAAATATCTAAAGATGCATAAAGATGAAGCTGTTTTAATAATGTGAGGGGATCATCAAAAGAGTGAAAGTGGATCTAAACTATACTCCTTAAGCTAAATTGGAATAGCAGCCTTCTTTGTTCTCAATTTTTCTATTTCGAGTTCAAATTTGCCTCCATGGAGCATAGTGGAATGATCACTCCTCTTCTTTTGCTTCTGCATCTGCTCTTTACCAAAAGTCTTGTGGGGGTAGATCCTCCTAACTTTCCATGGGTATGTATGTGATGAAAACATGGAAGAATCATAGGACTTACCTTTGCCATGAGAAGCTTCTATAATCCAAGTGCAGTTTAAATTATTGGGGTAGAAATCTGGAAAGCCTGGGGATAATACAGTGCCACTTGATCCTTGTATGTAGCCTCCACAGAGCGCTGAAAACCACCAGGAAAAAAGAAGTAGACATTAGAGTTCCAGCTGTAGAGATGTGTCTCTCCTTAGCAAAGCCATATACATCACCCCACACATTCTGCCTCCTTTCCCAAGCACATCTGGATGGCTAACTGTTGGTTGTCCAGTCACACCTAGACAAGCATGTCATTGTAATCATTTTACAGGTATGTTCTCCTGCAGATAATTCACTGGTGATCAAAGAACATTAGAATGCATCACCGGGAGTCTTGCCTATTCCTAGCTTGCATGAATGCCATGACTCAGGACCTTAGCTATAAGATCTCTGCCTTTGTTCTGCATTTGTACACCCAAATTTTTTGATCAAATGCAAAAAAAGTAGAGCTGAACATAGCTCCAAGTCTGACTTGTCCCAAACAGAAGAACTGTGTTGGTCTCAGCCCTATGTACTCCTTATCACCACCTCCTTCCCAGGACTTTTAGTAACAATAATCTTGGAAATAGTTATATTCCACCTGTCAAACTTCAAAGAAACTTGTTCTGCTTCAGCCATTGCTGTTTCAACAGACTCAGGGGGGGAGGGGGCGATGATTGGAATGCTCATCACAGGTGTGAGTGGTCCATTGTGAGAATCAAAGTCATCATAGAGCTGTTGGCTGGGAACTAAAGCCTTTTCTCATAACAAATGTCTGACACTTAATTGGGGAATGTGACCTGCACTATTAGGGGGGAAGGGAAGTCCTATATTTTTAACTTAGCGCTCTGGTGCCATTTTATCCAGAGCTGGTTTTCTATTCATCAGTGCCGATATGCTGTACTCAATAAAGTTTTGCATTAGAGATCATCGTTTGGAATCTTGGCACTACCCCTGTCCTATTGGAAGAGTTCATTTTTGTTTCTTTTTTCCTAACCAAAAAGATGTTGGAAACACCTTCCATTGCTCCTGGTTCTCCTTATTAGCCTTTGGGGCTTCAGATACTTATAAAGGATGCTTGATAACCTCTAAAAATGACATGAAGGAAGATTTCAGGCAGCTATAGTTATTTTATTGAATTATTAAAAACATGTCTATACAATTCCCTTAAAAAAAATCTTGAAGTGGCAGAAGGCAAGCCCTTAGGATATTCGTAAGCGGAATTCCAGGGTCTTAAGCAGAATTTCTACTTCGACACAGTAATCTAACTAAAGAACTAAAGAGACAAATTTTACCACTCTTGTGAAAAAAAGTTGGATCTTTACCAGGCTATCGTAGATATCCAGGTTTTCTTGATTTAAGTCAGATGAGACCAACTGGGGGAGGGGGGAGGAGGAAGAATGCAGCAATATGGAAGAAAGAACATTGCAGAGATCTTGACCCGGCAATTTGCCCCCCAAGAACCAAGTATGATATGTGGAACTACTTCTGAGTAGTTATCATTATGTTCTTTACTTATAGTTAGAAATCTTACCAAACTAAAGCAACAATTTGTATCACTATAGATAAATTCTGGGAGGAGGAGCCTTCCTAACTCTCCTTCTCTTGACTAAACACTCCATTCTTAGCTCCCTCTTTGCACTCTGGAAGGTACCTCTTCCCACCTGGGAATCCAGACTACATTCCACCACACTTGGTGACGAATAAATTAGCACAGCATATCCTTTTCTCCTCAGTGTCTAGCACAGTGGTTCTCAACCTGTGGGTCAGGACCTCATTTGGGGTCGAACGACCATTTCACAGGGGTTGCCAAACAATGCAGTCCGCCATTTTTTCCCCCTTTTCCTTAGCTGTGCTACTCCCTTTCATTCTATTGGTTTTTGAAAGCCAATAGAATAGACTCTCTTGAATAGAGTCTAATTCTATTGGCTTTCAAAAGCCAATAGGAATTGTCCAGGCTGTCTCTGCCCTGCTGAGCCCGCCAAAAGTCCCATTCTGCAAATGGTGCTGCACCAGTTGAGTAGTCCTCGACTTATGACCGGTTGAGTAGTCCTCGACCAGTTGGGGGTCGCGGCATTAAAAAGGTTGAGAACCACTGGTCTAGCATGCCAGCTTTAGATTCTTACCTTCACAGCTTGGAAGTGGCCTGCTCCACTGAAAATTTGGTTCACATTCCAGAGCTTCACTATCACTCAAGGTATACCCTGGATCACAGCCAAAAGACACCAGCGCCCCCACATAGAAATCATTCCCATATCGTAGCCCATTGACCGGAATCCCTGGGTCCAAGCAGTGATCAGACTGGAGCTTTACCGCTGTAAAAAAATAAAGACATTCAAATTTTCAGTTCTGTACGTGATAGTATTCAGCTTATCAGTGACACCAGCCTCCCCATGGTGGCCACTAAAGCTGAATAACATGTGAGTTTGGTGTCAATAAAAAGACGGGATACATAGATACTTTTTCTTTGTCTAATAATACATATTTTGCACCATGCTATTCAGTATTGAGAAATATTAAACTTGGGACCCAACAATGCTTTGGAAGAAGTATGTACTGTTCAGTTTAGTCAGATTTACATCTGTTTCAAAGTCTCAGTGAAATTTAGAACTGTAATGAAAAATCTATATTTTTTTTTTACATTTCTTTACTTAGGTCAGAGACCACCACACTGTGTTTAATGGAACCTCTGAGGGAAAAAAATGCATAGTCCTGCTGTTAATTGATCCTTTGGTGTTGATTGTGAGCTGATAATGAGGCTCTTTTAATTAATGTGAATTAATATAATACAGAATGGAATGGAAATGGGATTTGAAACATGCTTTTTGATTATGGCATGGGGTATATTTGGTGTATTAAATGGTAAACCTGAAGCCATAATGCCAACAATATTTTAAAGGGAAGGGAAATACAAACACATCACTGCCCTCATTATGATCATCATAGACCATATTTCGGGGACAATATACATAAAATAAATAGTATAATAGTAGCCAAATGACTGGTGAGGTTTTCAGGAGGATATTGCTGGGGCATTGCCAACTGAAAAGGCCTGAACTATATGATAAAGATGCTTATATTTAACTTTGTATACATTAACAGTACCAAAAATTGTAATGGTATAATGGAGGTGGTACATTGGTTCAGTGGCAGTGGCAGGGGGCAAAGTGGTGGCAAATACGGTTGCAGTTTCTCATGTGGTCCTTTGGGAAAATTAATTGCCCATCCCTGATTTAGAGGAACAGGAATGCTCCTCTGATTGGGTAATAAGAACGTAGAGTTATTTATTTATTTATGAATCACATTGTTGAACTGCTCAACTCTCTCAGAGGAATTCAGAAGAAACAAATAAGGCATGAAGAGGGGATTTGTGATTGAGAACTTTATACCATCCAGAGAAAGAACGAAAGTGAGAAAGAAACTCAAAATAACCCAAATCTCGATATTGTTTAACATAAGAGAGAATCTTGGACAGCTTTCATGAATCTGTTATTCTATTTTATTACAAGAAATTCCTGGTAGCTCTTCGATGGGCCTCCATAACAGGCCTTCTGGCTTTTCAATTGTATAATTTTACTTGATTGAATTAGTTACATTGATTTACCTAATACCCTTGACTTACAATGTCTAATTTACCTATTGTTTTTATTGTAAAGTGGTTACCTGCTTGATATTCTATTAATTTAGTTGGAGTTAAGAGTTGCCTAGCTTATAATGTATTTAATTTGCATGGAACATATTCGGATTCAATTGAGATTCTTTTATTTCTGTTCCGTGCTTAGATTTTAAATACATTCAGCGATTGCTATTATTCAATTGTACTATTGTGCTCATTGTTGTTTTTCTTCCTTTCGCCTTTCCACATTTTCATTTGCATTCATCCTGCTCTTAGGACAGTGTTTTCCACATCGCTAATACAACAGTACCTAGTTGTGCAAGTAATGAGAATTATGTATTTCCACCAAGACCACAACATCCTGAAGGGAGAAGGTTACACCATGAGTGTCATTGTCTGGAGTTGTACCAGCTGCCTGTGCCACAGTCGCAGCCAGCACTATAGAGATTTAGGTCCTTAGCACATTTGGGATTAAAAGCATACGTAGAAGATCTGCTCTACAGATTTAGGAGATCTATCATGACATTGGAAAAGGTCTAACTTACTTACTTTCAGAAGGACTCACTGGAGAAGGGTCTAATGCCGGGAAAGATTGAGGGCAATAGAAGAAAGGGACGACAGAGAATGAGATGGCTGGATGGAGTCACTGAAGCAGTAGGCGTGAACTTAAAAGGACTCCAGAAGATGGTAGAGGACAGGAAGGCCTGGAGGAATGTTGTCCATGGGGTTGCGATGGGTTGGACACGACTTTGCAATTAACAACAACAACAACACTTACTTTCATAGTGGATCTGAAAGCCAACGTCCGAGTGACTTTTGTCTGTGGTGAAGAGCAGGTAAAGGAAATTACTGGTGCTGATGAGGAACTGGGGGACCTGGGTCCCATCATAAACTCCAATCAAGGGAGATGAGTAGGATTTGCCATCACGCACTTCCAGCGTGTCATAATTCACCTCCGTTTTAAACCTACAGAAAAAAGCCAAGTGAAAAGCCGGTAATAAATTGGCCCCCTTTCATCCTTTCCTCTGTGTTCCCATTATAGGTAGTCCTCCAGTTATGACCACAATTAAGTCTCACAATTAGGCTCATAAGCTGCGATCATCGTAAAGTGGATCACCACTGATTAGACTTGATTTTATAACCCTTTTGGCAGCACTTATTAAGCAAATGCAGTGGCCATAAAATGAATACTGTGGCTGTTTGATATGGGCCATTATTATTTTTTGGGCTGGAAACTGGAAGTCAACACCGGTTTTTAGCAAAACCTCTGTAAATTGTGGTCACATGACCCTTGGGTGCTGCAAATGGCCATAAATATGGGATGGTTGCCAAGTGTCTAAAATGCAGCTATGTGACTGTGGGGTAGAGGACACTGGAACTTTGAAATTGGGTCATAAGTAATATGGGGGGGTCTGTCATAACTTAGAGCTGTCACTAAATGACTGGTTATAACAGGGGTCTTCAAACTTGGCCTTTTATGACTTGTAGACTTCAACTCCCAGAACTCCTTAGCCAGCGTGCCTGGCTGAGGAATTCTGGGAGTTGAGGTCCACAAGTCATAAAAGGGCCAAGTTTGAAGACCCCTGGGTTATAAGTTGCTGACTTCCTCTTTTATATCTGAGGGTGAAATATGATCCCCCAAAGTGAGCTGAACCTATCCTAGCCATGTTCACCCCCCCTTTTAATTTTATTCCCTTTTCCATATTTATAAACTGCTCCTACCACTGAAGTTCTCACAGCAGCTTACAGAATGAAAACCAAGTTAATACTTTCTAAAAACAGCACCATAACCTGTGATTAAAACACACGGCAACTTAAGATCAATAACCCTGAACAGGGAATAAAACATGAAACAGAACCAATTTTAAAAGAGCAGCAAAAACAGAAAGGCCCAAGGGTAGAAAAACATGAACTAGATGAAATAATTAATTCCCTTCCTGGGATTTGCATTCCACACTGAGCACCATTATGAATACGTCCGCTTCCCTAGGAGCCATTGGATGATCTGCACCTGACAGGAATCCCTTGAGAAAGACTTTTGGCAGGTCTTGTTATTCATACTAAAGGAAAAGCATTAAGTTCCAGCTGTTCAGATGCCTTCTCCCTTTTATCTGCACTACATCAGGAATGTCCAAAATTCTCTGCATCAGATGACAACTAGGAGAAAGTGGGCGGCACAAAGAAAAAGGACAAAATTGTAGTATGTCTGGAGAAAGGCAAGCATGCCATGAAAAGGAGTTATTTCAGTTTCCATTCAAACTCTATCTTTAAAATATTTTAAATGTTCTTGTGATGGAAGGTGCACCTGGAGAAACAGCGAGGAGAGACTTGGCAGCACATATTATGTCCCAGCAAGCCCAAATTAACAGACAACATAGTACCCAGCTGGATGGGGGAGGAAGAAAAAAGTCCAGGGTAGCTACAACTAATATCTCTCAGGATATATCTGGTAGCTTAGAAAGTTACAGCTTTAGTCTGGCAAGGTTCTGTCTATTAGATATGAGCAAATAAAGAATTGGGACTTGACTGGATTTCATTGTGTCATCTTTGGGCTTGGGCCTGACCAATCTGGGCAACCAAAATTTGGGCTTATTAATGCAGACAATCTATATTTCAATTTTATGTGATGGCTAAACCAAAACATATTTCTAGAAGCGATGACTGCATTGACAGCAGTGTCCTGTGCAATAGTGATGTTTAGACTCTTAACATTGTGTCTTAATATCTGTTTGTGTGTGTGTACTGTATATCTCTCTATATATACACACACAAGGAACTTGAAAAAGAGTAAAATGCGTTTTTCATTCTTTTTTCAGGTTCCTCTGTTTAAATGTTTTCTTTGACGTATTCATTGAAAGAGAAAACATTTCCCCGAAACCCCCCTCAAATCAAAATATATTTTGAAGATTTTCCATCCCATCTCCCTCCATTAGGCACTCAAGAGCCAGAAACCGCTAAATTGGCCTCATGGTGGAAGAAACCTCAGAAACACAATACAATATTTTGCTTTATTTTCAACAGTGAAGGAAGGCATTTGGTTCAACGAAACAGCTTTTAAAAATGCATCATAGCCTTTTTGCAAAAACATTTTTTTTCAAGTTTTTCACAACCTAATACACACATGCACAAGCAGAGAGAGACAAAAAGAATCCAGATAGTAAATGTTATTTTTTTTTTTAAAAGAGAATATTTGCAGCTCAGAGTTGAACTGTGGGACAATTGATGCTCTCTGAATTTGGCGGTTTTCTTCCAGACATTTCATTATCCATCTAGGCAACATCAACCGCTTCCTTTTAGCGCTGTTAAGGGTAATGAAATGATTGCAAGAAAACCACCAAGCTCAGAGAACACACCAAGGACTCTCCAAGACAATTTATAACCCAGCTGCCATTCAGGGCATGTCCAACAACGTAATTTTATTGACATGAGTCAATTGTTGGTCACCTGTCAAATGTGATTTTGATTGGGTACCCTGGTTGAGCTTCAATGACCCATGCACAGTTGAGAGAGTCCTTGTAGAATCCCGGCCATCCTGGAGATAGGATCATTCCATTTGGCGAGGTCAGGTGGCCACCACAGGGAGCTATCAGGGAGAGGGAGAAAAACAAAGAAGTTACAACCAACTATCAGTAAAAAAAAGCAATACTGTAAAACAGTAGCACACTTCTCCTTCCTGCTTCATTTTGTCACAGAAGGCTCTCTCCCTATTTATTAAGAATTCAGGGATCAACCAAGCTGAAAGACTGATCCTCAATGTCTCAGACCGTTACTAGAACTTCCAGGGGTGGGGAAAAGGTGAGGGTCCTGGAGTTGATGGCTTGCAAAACGGTTGCAAGCATGGCAGTCCAGTGGCCATGAACGAATGGTAACTATGAGACAGAGCAGCTTTTCCTTGTCACTCACCAGGTCATATATGGTGTTAAATTGCAGCTCTCCAGATTCTGCTGGCCTACAATCAGTATTGCTAGGAAAGCCCATCGGGAGTTGTAGCTTAGCCTTGTCTGGACTTCCTCAGAGTTTCTATGTTAAATTGGGTTATGTCTATTAGTTAGGTCAGCACGACTGATGCTGACTTGCAATAGCTTGTCAAGATTTCAGACAAGGAGCTGGGAATGAACAGAGACTTGTTACAGGTAAAACACATCTGTCAATGATTGATGGCTTAACAAAGGTTGGCTAGGCGCTAATTAAGCCAGTGGTTCTTAGGGTAGTAAGGAAAAAAAAAATACCTTGCATTTTATTCCTTGTGAGACTGAGATTATATGTAATTCAAACATTGTGCTTTAGGAAAAAAAATAATTGACAGCTTATGTATGCCTAAGAAAGAAATTCACTAACAAAGAATCTGATTTTCCTGGATCTTTTCTTGAAAGCATAATCTCCCATTTTTTCCCCCCAGTATTCAAACTGTATAATTTCCAAATAAGATTTCCAAAACTCTATAATTTTCAAATTCCAGAGCATAACCCACCAATTGTCTCCCACATTTTTGCGAAGCAACACTTTTCCACCCATTTTCTCAAACCCAGATGCTTTGCTTTGCCCATTTTGCTGATGGTTTTTATTCCTCAAACATCGAACAGTACCTTAAATATTCTAGACAGATTTCCCCCTTATTTAATTTAAAAAAAAAGCTAATTAGAAATTGCATTTAATTGAGCTCACACTGGAGGGTGAGTCAAAGGCAAGCAAGAGAGATGGGGGATAAAGGAGGACACATTGATAGTGATGAGGTTATCAAAACTGTCAATGAATGAAAAGGATTTTGAAATGGTTTTGATACTTTTCATAAACTAAGAGTGAGAAGGCACATGAACTAGCAAGCTTCTATGACCCACTCAGAAGAGATTTAACAAGAGTGGAGCTAAAGTAAACAAAGCTGCGAAGAGTTTGTGAGCAATGTTGATGCTTTTTTTCAAAAAGAAATGAAAAGGCAGAGCAGATAAATGGCAAATCTTACACTTCCTGTGACTGGGGAAGAATAACGTGGAACAAGCAGGTTGTAATTGCAATCGTTATTAGCATGAAGCACAAAGCAAGCAAGGAAATTGGACAGGGAAGCAAGGGGAGGTAGTTAGGAGAAGACAGAAGTCTTGTTCTGGAATGATCCAGAAAGGAGAATGGCTAGTTGATTTGGAGACCAAGCTGGAATGTTACTACCCCCTGACCTCTACTGAGCCAACAGCTGCAATTCCACCATCCCTGGTGCTGGTGTTTTAAAAGAAGAGCTCTGGCCAGCAAATATAATGGGTAGGTCCCCACATTTAAGCATGGTTTGTTTAGCCACAGCTTGTTGTAAAAGTACCACAACTGAGGTCATAACATGTTTGCAAATCACATCCACTTAGTTCTTTTAAGTGTGTCTGCTTGAAATTCAGGCTGATCCAACTATTTGGTACACCAAAGTGGTCCACCTTGGCTAAGAGTATTGGAGAAAAAACCACGCAGTAAAAAATATAAATCATCTCTGCCTCTTTGAAGGCCTCCAGTGATGGTGAGGATTTGTACAAGCCAGGTACAATAGGTCTTGTGAAAGCTCAAGCTATTGTTAATTAATGCCTGCCACAAAGGGTTCAATCTGCATTCTCTGGTCCAAGCATGGAAAGTATATTAGATTGTTTTGAGCAGAAAAGAAAATCTTCACTGCATTCTTCCTCTACTCCTCCCCCCCAAATTGCGAGATGGAACAGTGATTTTGGAGAGACTGATTTCTGGAGCTATTTAGCATGAATTCAGCGTGTCAGCATTCAAACCACGGTAAGGATGTGAATTAATGGCTGTTCTCTTAAGGAGAAGAAAGGTTTAACATTCTTCCTAACCACATTTTTTTTTCCCCATTTCACTTTGCTTCCTTGAAACTGAAAATTCTAATGCCCACAGAGAACTTTGATTGAGGGTGGGATGAAGGAGAAGGTTCTACTGCATCTGTGACTTAAACTCCCTTTTTGAATCTTTTCTCCATTTTGCTCAGTCATAACTTCAAATAAGTCAATTTTCTCCAACTACTAACCATCCTGCTTGGCCACAGCCCATATTGGTTGAGGACTCTGCAAGTTGATATCTACCCCATTCCGAAAGGCCCAGGTCTGAATCAGGTATCACGAGTTTTTGCAGGCTTTTTCACAAGGGGCAGATACTATATTCACCAAGATAAATGAGATTCAGAAGTCTTCCGAATTGTTCTTTTATTCAATGCATCAGTTCTAGCATGACTGCCATGCTTTTTGGCTGGGTGCAAATTGATACACTATTTGAAAGTAAATGTTATCTTCCTAAATAAACTAAATCTTGTGACAATAATCCCCAACATTGGTTGATGGGACAATTGTTTCATAAAAAAAGTATTTGCACTGGATTAGTCCTGGGGGACCCACAACTCACCAACTGAGTAATAAGTGAATTTAATAAAACCGTGGGCAAGAAGCGTTCTGTATAGGATTTCAGTTGAAACTCTCCATCTGTCTTTATGCTCGTCATTAACATCCTTGGTGGCAGGGTATTCCAGAGGGATACTCTTTCTTAGTTACAGCTTTTTTTCCTGGTGGGAGAATATTTCATTTGGTAATTTTGCCTGGTGTACAGAATTAAGGGAATGAAGCTAACTAAAGCTGACCTAAGTGAAGCTCAAGGGATCAATAAACCGAATTCTTTTCCATTTGAGATGATTTCATCTTTAGTCATTTCCAAACTCCATTAAGAAATCAAGAAGGCATGGAATTACACTCATAAAAATGAATACCGAAATGTAGTTTATCTCACAATGTTTTAATGTAACCTACCTGCATCTAAATATAGTATTAAGTTCCACTGAAAACTTAATAGAACAAAAGGCCAAAGAGACAGAGATAGAAAGCATGAGTGCAGTAATTTTTTTCAATAGTCTAGCAGCTTGTCTGGTGCAAGCAGCCAGATCTGTGTGTGAATCATCTCAAGCAGAAGCTGTGTCGTTAGTCACTTATGAATGTTACCAAACTGACTGCATTCCCATGCGAATGGTCAGATACAGCATCCAGGATTCTGTGGGATGTCAGGCCTGCGCCGCTTTCTACAGTGCAAAGATTCTAAGCTAATCACCCTCTTAACACCTCCCTCCAATCTAGCTGCAGATCCTACCAAAGCAGCTGTAAGTCTTGCAGGGATATCCAAGAGATGGGGAGGGGGCTATAAAGTCCAGATGCTGTCTGCAACCACCTGACTGAAGACTGCCCACTTATCTACAGGTGTCATCACAGCTGATGGGGATTTGATCACAGCTACCATCTTCCCTACTTTGATTCCCCTCACCCTCCAGATGCCATAGCAGCTACATCAGTTTGCATCAAAATTTACAGCCCCCCATTCCATAGATACTTCTTATATTTATTTCTCACCGTCTCTTAAAAGTTACAACCAAGAAAATGACAAGCCAACATGGCAATTTACCTTCACATCTCAGGACTGCATTATCCCAAACTACATTGCCTTCTTTCAAGACACAGGTGACTGTTTCTGAGCCATGGGTCCTTATGAAGCCTTCATCACATAGGAAAGAGACTGAACTGCCAAGTTGGAGGCTATCACCAAAGCGCTTCCCATTGACCGGCACTCCTGGGTCAGGACACTCATTGTGTCTGAAGGCTGGAAAGAAACAAGAAGACACGGTGAAGCAAATGCATTTTACCCCAAACAAAATGGCCCTCTGCCTTAGGCTTCTTGTCTTCAGAGAGGAATTCTGGGTTAACACATTCATGGGCTTCAAAAAAACCTTTTGTTCCTTTGCTATCTGCTGCCTCCCGTTAGCAATCTTGCCAGTCTGAAAAGCATCTCCAATGTGGACCTGAAGACTCTATCTGGGTTAGTGAGAAGGACCTGTGGGTGCTTGCCTGAATGAAGCCACTTGTTATATGAAGTTATAGATCAGTGGTGGTGAACCTATGGCACGAGTGCCAGAGGCGGCACTCGGAGCCCTCTCTGTGGGCACGCACGCCGTCATCCCAGCCCTGCCTCCCATCCCAGCCCTGTCGTCACCAGCAGTCCCCTTGGAGGAGAGTCACCCCAGGGTGTGGCCCACACGGGGAAGCGCAGCCAAGCACATGGCAGCTGGCAGCAGATGATGCCGAGGGGCGCAGGCGGAGGGCGTGGCCACCATGGCACTGCAGGGCTGCCTGGGTGATCTGCAGTGGGCTATGGATGGCCATGAGGGTGGGTGGGATGAGGGTGGGCAGAGCAGGGGCAGGGCAGGGGTGGGGCAGTTTTTGGGCAGTTGGTCTCTAAAAGGTTCGCCATCACTGCTATAGATCCATATGATCACCATTGGCTGAAAGACTCTGTCCCTGGGATTTTGGAGAGGTGGAAACCTCTGGGAACATCTTTCTTCATTGCTCTTTTTATAGAGACGTTCAAACAAAATGTATTTTCCCAATAATTAATAGATATCCCGGCTGGTCCGATACCGTTGATCTTCAGTGGTTGCTTAAAAACAAACAGATTGTAGTCACATCATAGGTAGCAGATTCTGCACAGCAACACTAAAGATTCCCTGAACTTGATGAATACTCCATTATAATAATTTTATATAATTAATGCACCAAATTGATATTTTTGATACCATCCTGTTGTATTTTAGTACCTAATAATTATAGGCTTTTAAAATTTAACGATTAATAATACATTATAGCTTAGGTTATGCTTTTGTTTATGTGCAACTGATAGACAGGCTGCCAAATTATGCTTTCAACATAGATTTTATTTGTTGTTTCTCATTATTTTATTCTAGAACTTTTAAGTAGGAACTCTTTTGAGTATTTTTAATTGCATAGGCCTTTGATTGTAATAAATGTTTGATTGATTGATTGACCCATATGATGGAGAAACAAATGTGAACCTCAGGCTTATTTGTTTGTTTATTTGATAGAAGTAGTTTAGATTTTTGCATTGTAGGAATGTAAGTTTTTATACTTATAATCTTAAAATGGGATACATCATATCAAGACAGAAGATTATATAGTTCAGGGCTTTTCAACCAGTGGTACGGGTACCACCTGTGGTACATTGGCACCTGGCAGGTGGTACGCAACCATCCTAGAAAAGTAGCGGGGGGAGGGAAATGAGCTGAACCTGTGGCAGCACTGGACAAGCCTGAGCGAGAGACGGCTGGAGCTGCAGGGCTGTCAGGGCTCAGCGGAAGCGCCAGGATCAGCGCCAGGCTCCAGCTGGAGCTCAGCGCTGATCCTGTGCTTCTGCTGAGCCCAGAAGAAGCGCCGATCAGCTGGAATGTTGCAGCCTCTCCAGGGTCTTGTGATTTACATTCAGATGCTTGGCAACTGATTCATATTTATGACAGTCATAGTGTCCCAGGGTCATGTGAAGTGACCAAAACCTGCTGCAACCACCCAGCAGATGGTCGGAATAAAAACCAAACACCCCTCCCACTCCACCCCCACTGCCAATCCTCAACAGAAATGTTCACAACAATGAAAACCTCGGACAGGAGGAAGAGCGCCCCCGGGTGGGCAGACAGGTGTCTTGCTCGATTGTGGCTTGGGGGCACTTTTTTCAGTGCCATTGTAACTTCAAACAGTCATTAAGCAAACTGTTGTATGTCGAGGACTACCTGTACTTTATCACTTTTTTCTTTCTCCTTTTTTTGTCATCAAGTTTTTGACACCTTACTAGGTGACTGGTGGTACTTGGATATTACCATATCCTAAAAGTGGTACAATGGGTGAAAAGATTGAAAAGCCCTGATATAGTTCATAGAAAGAAAGAAAAATGTTGTTTTTTCTTGTATGGGTATACAAAGATGATTTGCAAGAAGAGAAGGAGGAAGAAGAAGGTTGCCCTGATTTTGCTTTGATGAGAGACCACCACTTTTGCACATATGTTTGTTAGACTCATATCCTTCTTTTCCTCCAGAAACTCAGGGTGCCATTATTATGGGGAAAAACTCAGTCCTCTAATTTTTCCCCCATAATAACAATGCTATTAAGTAGTTTGGTGTATGGAATGAAGCTGGTGGGGTAGAAACCAGCAGTTCCACACTCAAAAGTGCTGTTATTCCATCACAGGTCAGGTGTCATAGAGACCATCAACAGAATTGCCTCAGTTGACTTAGAAAGGTATGAAGAAAACCTAGAATTTAACCCCTGGAGCATAGGCTTGTAAAAAGGGTTCCATTTATGTGTACTGCAGGAGGCAAGTGAATGGACTTACTCATTCATTACTCACTCATTTTCTGTATGAAAAAAGAAAAAAGTTGAGCTGTATCTGAGAACCTATCACCAAGTAAGCCAAATATGGGGTTAAGTATCTGGAGTGCTAAGAACTTGGCTGTGAAGGCTGACTGTTGGGTAGGAGCAAATGACTTGACTTGTCCCTAGTCTCTCAGTGTGAGGCTCCCCAAACTGATAGGTTCAGAATCACTGTATGTGAGTTGGGTGGCTATAAAAATTTGTTTAATGAATAAATAAACATGGCATAACATAATTAGAGGAATGTCTTTATAATATCCAGAATCAAGCCGGAATAATCACTTAGTTTTCTTATTCAATTCTGACACAGGACAGAAGTAATTGTCTCTAAAGTGATTCACAAAACTATAAAATAACAAAGTAAAATCTGTGCATCTCTAGCTATAAATATTTAATCCATAACTCATATGACATAAAAGTTGCCCTGAGAAAATGGCTAGGTATTGAATACCAAATTAGAAAGTAAAGTTTTCAACGCCTTAACACATGCCAATAATATAGGCCTTTAGCACACCTTCCTTCCTTCCTTCCTTCCTTCCTTCCTTCCTTCCTTCCTTCCTTCCTTCCTTCCTTCCTTCCTTCCTTCCTTCCTTCCTTCCTCCCTCCCTCCCTCCCTCCCTCCCTCCCTCCCTCTTAACTTTACATTTACTCTTCTCAGCTTGAGATGTTGTTTCTTGAGGCTTAAAATACTCTCAGAATTCTTGAAGCAGATCATTTTTGCACGCAAAAACAGACACTTTGCACTTACAAGTACACTACTTTATCAAATAAAATGTTTAGAGGTTTGACAAACAATTAATTATACCATTTCATCATGTGGGTGAGTAGCTCCAGGTATGAGCTACTATTGTTAGGAATTTATGAAGTTTCTGTCCTTAGTAGCTTGCTTTGGACTTCCTTTCCCCCATTTTAATCTAAATAAGTGGGAATTTTAAAATATCAACATTTATTGGATTTCTATTCATCTTTGCAGGTATCTTCTATATAACTTGCTACATAGACTGAATCCATTTGCTATTATTGGCATCTAGGTTTACAACTGCGAGAAAAGAAGCATCAGAAACTGAATATTGTATTCATGGAATCAGGATTCAATAACAACAGTTTATATCTCAGGAGAGCTAAAAGACTCTATTCAATATGTTCATAACAATTAGATGGTGTTCTTGTCATTACAATTATATATATTTTTTCTTTTGGGAAGAGTAAGATTGTTTGCATGAAGGAAGTCTCCAGAGTTTTAGGCAAGAATGTTTTGCCAATTCCATTTGGCGAAGTTAGGGGATGAATCCGAGACTTGCCACATGCAAAGTATATCTAACATCTTTCTAAGATTTGAGGCAGCTTGTCCACGCATATTGTGACAAGAATAACGTTCTTACTCTCAACCCAAATCTATACTTTTAAAACTTTACCAACAACAATTTAAGCAAAGACCAGGGACCCCTAACAACTAAATGACAAAAAAAACAAAAAACCCTCAACTCCCCCCCCCAAAAAAATATAGGTTAGCTGACTTTGATGAACCTGTCCTCTAATCCAGCATGACAAATTATTTTTTAATAATAGCAGATTTGCAGTCGGCAACCAGAAATCCCATTAATTTTGTAGAGCTGTTAGCCACCGTTGTAACAAAGGTCGTTTATCATTCTTGCCAAGTCAATCTAATTGTGTTCCATAGAAAATTATAGGAGAGAGCTTGAGTGCAAATTGCTGTGTGAAACTGCCATTCACTTGACTATGAAAAGCTTGGAATTAAGAGGATCCAAAAATAATGATTGCTCTTGTTGTTTTGCTATAGGCAACAAAGTTGTTTCTTCACTTTATACAGGGTTTGGTTGTTTCAGGAATCTTAGTGGGCCAATTTAGTGGGCCAATTCAACCATTGCACGATAACAGTGATCATGAAATCACTGCATGGGCTACCACCAGATTTCTAGGCCTAAGTCAAAGTATTGGATGTGACCTACAAAGCTCTATATGGCATAAGTGGCAGGATGTATCAGATAGTGCTTTGCCCAGATCAAATCTATCCACAAGTGGAGGACTTGCAAAGCATGACCTTCCATGCAAAATATGGGAAAGATACAAAGGCTTGGTTCCACAAAGATGGGAAGATTTGAAGCTACCCACAATAGAGGGATGGTTGGTGAAGTTAATGGAACTTGCTCAGATGGCTAAATTGACTTCTTTGATCTGGGAAAAGACAAGATCTAAGTTTACTGTTGAGTGGAAACTCCTTTTTGCATAAAAGACAAAAAAATAAATAAACAGGATTTCTGGTTTTAATGATCAGACAGGATGATTATAGAAAGAAGAGTGTTAGGTTATAGAGTAAGAAATAAATTTATAATTGCATTTATAATTGCTGTAAAGAAGATTGGAAGCTACCCCTTTGTACCTTTTTTCTTTCTTTCTTTTCTATTTTTCCTTTTACTTCTCTCCCCTTCTTGTACTTTGAGCTTTCTTTTTGATTTCTTTTTCTTTTTGTTATTTTATATTAGTTTTAATTATGGTCACAGACACACACTCTCCCTCCCTCCCTCCCTCCCTCCCTCCCTCTCTCTCTAGCCAAAAAAATAAATCATTAAACCAGGTGTGACTCACTTAACAACCACTTTGCTTAGCAATGAAAATTCTGGCAGCTTCAGTTGTGGTTGTCAGTCGAGGTCTTCCTGTACTGCAGAATTAAAAACTGAACCGAAATCTGTTCACTTGCCACATCAATCAATTCAGGGAAACTTGCAACACATCTTTTAACTTAATTGTAGCTCCTGCTTATGCTATTTCTCATTCTGCAAAGATGTGAAAACAGGGATTTCCAGATTTTAGTCAAAGTATGCAGTCGGGCCTTAAATATTCAAAAGCTACAAATATGTATATATGCCATAGATCCCTTCGGGAGTCAGTAGCAGTTTGCAGCTGCAAAGCATATTAACATCAAGTGATGCTGACATTTGCCATTCACTTAGGAGGTTTAATTTACCTGAAAATTATCTGAAAAGAGGATGCAGAACAGATAGTTGCAAACAAATAACACTAGCTATACTAGGAAGGATAGAGAGAATTTACAATGGGGAGAAAATACATTAAAGAACTGGAGAAATTGACATGTCAAAGAATGAAAGAAGGGCAATTTGCATTTTAAAAAGATTTCTCGAGCAATTGATATTCAGCAACATAAATTAAAGGAAGATATGCACAGAGGCTCCATATGCTAGAAAATATGGTGAAAGTACAGTAGTGATCATCTCTTGGATCAAATGACAGTTTTAAATTTCAAGAGCATGTGGTAGATGCATTCTGAGTTGGTTGGTCACCACTTTGCTTCTGGGCCCAATTTAAGGTGCTGGTTTTTATTTTTTTAAACCCTAAATGGGGATAGGGATGGGTTATCTGAAAGACTACCTCTCCCTGATTACATCTACCCATCCTAAAACATATGAAAAATGGTTACAGGAACTGGGTATGTCTAGTTTAATGAAAAGAAGGACTAGGGGGGACATGATAGCAGTGTTTCAATATTTCAGGGGCTGCCAGAAAGAAGCACCTGAAGGCAGGACAAGAAGCAACAGATGGAAACTAATCAAGGAGAGAAGCAACCTAGAACTAAGGAGAAATTTCCTGACAGTTAGAACAATTAACCAGTGGAACCATTTGCTTTCAAAAGTTGTGGGTGCGCCAACACTGGAAGTTTTTAAGAAGAGACTGGACAAACACTTGTCTCTAAAGTATAGGGTCACCTGTTTGAGCAGGATATTGGACTAGAAGACCTCTAAGATCTCTTTCAACTCTATTATTCTGTTATCCTATCACATCTGGCAGGAGAGACATTTTGCAGGTCCCATCTATTAAGGAGTTTCATCTGATGGGACACAGGAGACAAACCTTTTCACCCGCTGTAGTCTTGTTTTTACTTATGTTATATTGTTTTAATCTGGTTTTGTAAAATGTTTTATTACTGGTTTTATTGCAGCTACCGCTCATTGCTTTGTGCAAGATTGGAGACCATGTGAATTTGATGGGACCTCGGAGTGCTAGTGGACATTCACTTAAATATGAGCCAGGAGTGTGCTGCAGCTGCCAAAAAGGCCAACACAGTGCTAGGCTGCATTAACAGAGGGATAGAATCAAGATCACGTGAAGTATTAATACCACTTTACAATGCCTTGGTAAGGCCACACTTGGAATACTGCATCCAGTTTTAGTCACCACGATGTAAAAAAGATGTTGAGACTCTAGAAAGAGTACAGAGAAGAGCAACAAAGATCATTAGGGGACTGGAGGCTAAAACATATAAGGAATGGTTGCTGGAATTTGGTATGTCTAGTTTAATGACGAGAAGGACAAGGGGTGACATGATACCAGTTTTCCAATATCTCAGGGGCTGCCACAAAGAAGGAGTCAAGCTATTCTCCAAAGCACCTGAAGGCAGGACAAGAAGCAACAGATGGAAACTAATCAAGGAGAGAAGCAACCTAGAACTAAGGAGAAACTTCCTGACAGTGAGAACAATTAACCAGTGGAACAACCTGCCTCCAGAAGCGGTGAATGCTCCAACACTGGAAATTTTTAAGAAGAGACTGGACAGCCATTTGTCCGAAATGGTATAGGGTTTCCTGCCTGAGCAGGGGGTTGGGCTAGATGACCTCCAAGGTCCCTTCCAATTTCATCATCATCATCATCATCATCATCATCATTATTATTATTATTATTATTTCCTTCAGAAGACTTGACTATTCACAAATGGCACACAGATGCCCGCTCCCTACACACACACACACACACACACACAATTAGAATACTGTCCCCACCCCAATGGAACTTCTGCAGAACCCAAATGACTCCTGCTCGTAAATATGAAGCTAGATGGTCATGTTTTCTTGTGTAGCATATCAGCTATCTATTTAATTTATTATTTAAGGCTGGCTAAGGGTGGAAGCCTTCTACCACGAGAAATACCCTGGAGAAAACAAAATAAAACTCCATCAGACCAAATGTTGATTTACCAACTGTAGCATTTGTACTGATCCGTGCTTTCCTAGCTGCCACTCTGATTCAAAAGAACAAAGAGATAAAAAGTGCCCCGGATGCTTCCTTGCACACCTGTTCACACAGCATTGGCCTTTGCCGTCGGTTGACTTACTGGTAAATGTGATATTGAAGCCACGCTTCTCAGTGGAGTGGTCTGTCTGGAATTCCAACCTGGCAACGTGACCGCTACTGGTCAGAGAAGATGGGAGTTGGTTTCCAGAGAACGTCCCAAGGGTGGGTGATTCAGCTGTTCCACCATCTTTCACTGCCAAGAAGTCAAACTGAGGCTCCACGTCAAAATCATTAAAAGCCAAATGGATCCGACTTTCGGGTTTTGCGATGATTAGCCAGACACAGTGCAAGCTACTGCCATATTCCTCCGGGTAATTCGGGGAGAGCACAATCCCAGATGGACTGGTGAAATTGAAGAAGCAGGAAACTGCAGTGAAAGAAACAAAGGGAAGGAAGGAAGGAAGGAAGGAAGGAAGGAAGGAAGGAAGGAAGGAAGGAAGGAAGGAAGGAAGGAAGATGAGTGTCACTGTGCATGCAATTTAAACAGATTAATTTAATGCCAGTTCTTTGCATTTTGGGATTGTAAAGGGATAAACGGAAAATGGAACTCAAGAATTGTCATCTTGTCGGTTAAGTATAAACTTATCTATTTCTCAAAACAGCTTTTTCCCCTTTAATCTTTGTTTTGTTTTCTATTTTCCTTCTTTGGAATATTCATAAACAGTAACAATTATAAACTGGAGATCTCAGTATTATGTACCAAGCTACAAACAGTAATCCTTATTATATTACAAAATAATTTATATGCAGGGTGCGATATCAATGCCACACTTAGCTTTAATTGTACAAGTCAAGTAACTTTATGGTCATTAACAAGTCAGAATTAAGTTACACTGATGTAAATGTTTTCTGATCTTTAAAAGTTTATCAAATTATTATTGTGTCAAGGAAAATTTAGGCTATTGTAGAAATACCACTGTACCTAGCTAATATCTGAATTCTGGAATGTATTAATTGGATCTTTTATACAATAAAGTAATGAATTACCCAAAAAAATGGGGGGAAAGACTTGCTGTCTTTTTTGATTGAAGAGCAGTTTAGAAAAGTGAAATATCTTTAAAAACAACAACTTATATCTGATATAAGTTTCAAATTTTCTACCACCCAGTCTCAATAAATAAGTAGGAGTTTTCAAAGGGATTTTGGTTTGGGGGAAAGTAAGTCTGAATTCAAAGCTGAAAATGCAATAAAGCAAGAAACAATATTTATTGACCCCCTAAAGGGTTTTTTGCTAATGTGTTTTACAGAAAGAGTAATTAAAGTGAAAAACACACTCTTTACATAATGTATCAGTTAAAACTGTGTATATGAAGTTGTGGAAAACAACCCAATTCTTGGGAGTTAGGAATGTTATGTTAATTATGAGATATGGCAAATTAGATATAATAAAATGATTTGATCATTTCAGGCATTCCAAATCTATATACAATTATTTGGTTGTTTCAGGCATTCCAAATCTATTTGTGTGTTTGCTGGATTCAATTTTTTTTCTAGAATATACAGTATTTGAGATAATTTTGAACCTGACACTGACACTGAGTTAATAATTGGTAGAATAAGATCAAACTGTACATTAAGATGCAAATTCTTATATAAGCATATGCCTATTTTTGCTTCTTCTCATGCAGGCTTTTATTTTTATTGATTTTTCTTGTTGTTTTAGATTCATATGGTGCTATTCCTTCAGAAATGCAAGGGGGCATAAAGGAATTCTTTCAGTTACCATGAAAAAAAGTAAGGGGAAAATTTCTTTTATAAGAAACAAAGATTAATGATAATACAGGTAAGTCTTCGCTTTAACAACCACAGCTGAGCCTGGAATTTCTGTTGTAAGTTGTTGTGGTAGTTAAGCAAGTGACCACATGACCTGACCTGATTTTACAACTGTTTTTATGATGGTCGTAAAATGAATTACCATGGTCATTAAATGGACCAGATAGTCATTAAGCAAACCATACAATTATAAAGCAAATTGAAATGTGTTTTTTTTTTCTGGAAAAAAGTGCTGGAAACTGGCATAAAAGTTGCAGATTGTGGTCACGTGACTGCGAAACACTGCAATCAGACATAAGTGCAAGTCTGTTGCCAAGCACCCAAAATGTGATCACGTGACCATGAGGGGAAATGCAGCAGTCGTAACTTCGGGAAAGGCTCGTAGGTAACTTTTGGGGAGTCTGTCATAATCCTGAACATCATTAAGCAAGGACTATCTATAAAGGACATTTCTTATATTATACAAGATAACCCTAGTTATCTTTTTGATGGATCCTGAGGCAAACCTTTTCAGCAAACCAAGGCTGTCCACTCAAAGAGTGCAGAAGACCAACATTAGCAATAATTCATTCAAAGCCAGGCAGACCAGATGTTTAGAATATGGAAATATTTAACACAGCAACTTCAAATTATACTTATATCCGTGGATTTTCATGAAACTCTTCAGATATCTATTGGCTTGTCAGCTCAGTTTATTTATCACTTCAGATTAGCCTTTAGGTCAAACTCCAATTTCATCATGGCAGCATGGAAGTCATTTTCTTGCAACACATTCACATTGATCTGTTCATGGATATATATGGGAGACATACGGATGGATTTCATAACCTTTCTCCTTCTCAAACAGTTCCTATGTGCACTCTCGCATATACACACAACACAAAATGAAGCCATAGGCTTAGTATAGATGTTGACCAAGTTGCCACAAGATGACTTGGTCTTGATATCTGCAACTATGTATCACTGGAGGTTTTTAAGAAGAGATTGGACAGTCATTTGTCTGGAATGGTATAGGGCAGGGGTCCCCAACCCCCATCTGTGCACTGGCACTGGTCCATGGCACACCAGAACCTGGGCCACACAAACAAGAAAAGCTCCATCCATGGGATGCAGGCAGCACACGAAACCATGTTCCCTCGGGTCCACAAAAACCTCTCTCAATTCTGTTACTATGTGATTGTAGATGTATTAAGTCTAACTCTTTAGTAAGATGAAGCAGAGGAAACTAAAATTAACCCAGAAGCATCCCTAACTCCTATTTTGTGACTTTTCCACACCTAAAGATTCTGCTGCTGATATTTGGTGAGTGACTGTCATTCAAAATGACCGAATTTGGCTGATCTGAGGACTATCAATATGATGGTGCATAGCTACCAAATTGTCCACTTCTGAAAGCTATTAGTTGGGATTTCAAATTCAGATCCATCCAATTTGTTCTCTTCTCCCCTCCCAGCTAGGTCTGTTCGCAGTAGTACAAACTAAAGGTCAGACCCAGATGGAGAAAAATACCTAGCTACAATTTTATAGACTGATGGAAATAGAGGTGAGGGTGCTAAGGTCTCAGTTCAAAGGTTTGTTCCCCAAAACAATGTGACACTATGTGTGTGCAACCCTCCACATGGCCTTACTGCCATTAACTAAGAGGAAAAAGAGACAACAATTCTGTCTTGGGACAGACACACAGGCGCAGACAGACAGACAGACAGACAAATAGAGTGCCAAGCTATGGATGATACTGAAAGTAGTACCTGCTACTACTCCTGTGAAAAGAAACTCTATAGTGGAACCAATGAAATAACTGTTATTAAGACATGACACTGTCCTCTTTACAATAACCCTTGCTATGAACAGAGAGAGGCATGACTCTCACGTTTCCCCAAACTGCAAACTCTTTTTCTCCTCTTTTTTCTTTCTTTCTCAGGATTTCTGGCTATTTTAAAATATAAAGTTATCCTTCTGCTCATCAAGTAGCTGAGCTTTCTACATTGCCCACCCTTTCCCCAGCCCTCCTGGGCTAAATTCCAAACAGCTGCTATGGGCGGAAGCCAAATTATCTCGCTCCCTTGGACTTGCCATGATAATTTTATACACCTCTATCACATTCCCCCTCCCATTCCCAAAAGTGGTTCCAACATTCTGCAGACAGCAGGCTCAGATGGTTAGACACGTTCCACATGAGGGCGAGCCGAGAAAAAGTCGGCATTGCATTCCCTGAGCAGAGTGCAAGGAATCTACTGCTCAGAGGCCAGCAAGGAAAACAACTGTATTCCAGCTCCTGGTAGGCACATCCATGCCGATTTAAGGCAAAACCACTCCCCATCCTCTGCCATTAGGCCATCATCAGGAGGCAGAGTGGCAGTTTCAGCTAACGAGGTGTGAAGCCAGATGGTGGGAAAGTAAAGGCAATTAAGAAAAAAATGTTTAGAGCACAATTGCGAATATGGAGCCTGCTCAGCCGTCCAGAGGGAGCTTTTACCAGACTGTGGCTGATGAGGTCCATTGGCTTCCCATAGCAAAGAGGTTCTTTAATTGGGCCCATCTCCTGGATGTCCAATCCATTTACAGTTAGGCTGGTTTATTCCACATTTGCCTTCCACATTTTGCCTGCCTCTTCCTAGTCCTTGCCCATCATCTACAGCCCACTGCAGACATTTCATGCTAATTAACAAGCAGGGATAGCATGATGCTCAGATGCGCTTTCTTAAAGATATAACTGTAATGAACTGGACCTATTTGTCATGTCTTTGCTTGTATTTTCTCCAAAGGGGCTAATGGCGGCATTTTATCTTTTAGTGGCTAAACAGAAGCTGACAAACGTCTATTGACTTCACTTTAAATGTTGTGTGTTTATTTTAATTAGGGTGATAAGGAGTAAGTTGGGTTATCCTACGGAGTTTTTATCTGGATGGGCTGAGGGAAGAAAGTTTTATGTTTGTGTATGTATGTATGTATGTATGTATGTATGTATGTATGTATGTATGTTCCTAAAGGAAATCAATCCTGACTCTCCTTTGCAAGGACAGATGCTGAAGCTCAAATACTTTGGTCACCAAACGGGAAGAGGGGACTCATTGGAGAAGACCCCAATGTTGGGAATGACTGAAGGCAAAAGGAGAAGGGAACGGCAGAGGATGAGGTGGTTAGATAGTGTCATGAACGCAATGAACACAAAACTCCAGGAGACAGTGGAGGATAGAGGGACCCGGTTTGCTATGGTTCATGGAGTTGTGAAGATTCAAACTAATTTTGTGACTGAACAACAATAACAATTGGGTGCCTGTGCATGAAAAAAAAACAGGAAAGCATATTTCTCTTTCTCAGCGATTTTCTACCAAAGTTTGAGTGAATTTTAGTGAATTTGGTGAATTTTCTGGGAGAGATAGAAAAACAATTTGGGTCAAAGGTAGAACACTTCAGTTGCGATCATTTCAAAGGTGATAAGACTTTGCTGGAGAGAACATTTCCTGAGGCCCCAAACATCTTGAAATTCTATATACTGAGACAAAAAGAACTAAGAACTAAATCCAGAGCTAGTGAAAAACAAAAACAGAAAAACTAGAATTAAGTAGAAAATTCTCTTGCACCGTACTTTCA